AAAAAAAAAAGGAATAAAAAAAAAACAATAAAAAATCATTCTTGACAGTAATAACGAATTTGTGCGTTTTAATAAATACCTATTGCATTCCTTTCCTTGATAAATTATTGCATTATCGTCTTATGGCAGAAGCTGTGAAAATAATGGAAAATTAGATTTGTTTGAGCCCACTTTTATGACAATATAAATAGAAATATCATCAGTTAGAAAACTCTCTTACTGATTATAAAAGTAATGGGTGAAAAAAGTTAATATCAGCGCTAAATTAAAAAAAAATATGAAACGAAACCAACCGAATATTCATAAAAATATTTACTAACTAGTCCCCCCGAAAAAAAAAAAAAAAAAAAAAAAAAAAAAAAAAAAAAAAAAAAAAAAACAACCCCCCCCAAAAAAAAAAAAAAAAAAAAAAAAAAAAAAAAAAAAAAAACTTAGACGTAAATGCACGTCGACCGAATTTCCATTAAAAATCATCGTCGTCGTATAAAACTCGACTCGCAGCTGTTTTTCCCCGGTCAAATCGTCCACGCAGTACCAATAATACTTATTCCCGAGGAAGAGAGCGTCGGTCCGAAACGATCATTGAATAATTCCGAAATCGACGCGATGGGCTCTCTCCTCTCCCCCTTGCACCGTACAGCAGCCCCACGCACGACCGTAAAACGTAAGCTCCGCATTTGTCGGCTCCTTAAGTGATTGCTTCTCTTCGGCGCTTCATTAGCCGGTCTCCTCGGCTCTTCCCTCTCTCTCTCTCTTTTTGCTCGTACGGGGAGGGACAGGTGCGGTAATGGTGCGTAACGTGTGTACAACCCCCCTCGCCCTACTCCCCGTATACTTTTATTTTTTCTCTCCTCCCTCGCGCAGTCGAGATCACCCAACTACGTCGATGGCGCTTAGCTCCTCGTTTAAAGACGGTATAAACATGTACGGACCTTCTGCAAGTTAGTAAGTACTCGCTTGAACGAAATAGTTTTCTCTTCGTCAACTGGTTGTAGGTACAAAGTTCGACGCATCGACTGGCCTATCCAATTTTCATGTGTACATTGTAAATGACGGAGTGGCAGCTTTCATCCCTAGTAAAAAAAAAAAAAAAAAAAAAAAAAAAAGAGAGTAAGAGGCGCTTGCAGTTTGCATGAGGATCGCGGGTCTGATTTACAGCGACAGCGCGCTCCGTGTACGGGTATGTGTGTGTGTGCGCGCACTGCAGAGAGAGAGAGAGAGCGGCTGACTGATTTGGTCCGCCCGCGAGCGAGCCGAGGAGGATCCTCTCCGCCCCTTAATCTAATCCGAGGATAATCCAAAATTCATGACGGACATAACTGCCAGGCGATGATATATATCCGACTGAGGGGCGAGCCTGTGTATGTGTACTCGCTCCTCTATCGCCTTCTCTCGTATATAAACTGCAGTTTTCACTCCCCTGACCGGCTGTGCATCGTTTCTTTACTTCTTTCTCGCTGATGTCGCCACACCCACAGATATTTGCAATTAGTGCTTGGAATTGACTTTGAAGCTATTTCGAATTCTCGTTACAGTCCTCATATTGATATTAACTGCTTTGTACCCCCAATAAATTATGGTAATTGAGATCTTTTGTGTAAATCTATTACATTACGCGCGCATACCTAAATAACAAGGGAGAGGACACTGGAGGTAAGAATATAACTTAACAAAAGGGAGACAACTTTCCACGAGTTACCTGTGTAGTTCTTTACTTTACTTTTGGTGCTCGATGATTGGGGAAAAAACAACGACACAAAGTTAACGGTAAAATAGTTTCTGGCCGAAAAAATATCACATATAAGTACCTCGATTGTGATAACTTGTCGTTAAAGAAATCCAAATGTTGGGGTGTAACTACTTTCTTGAAATATTTTGTTCAGAAATGACGTTACCGTGGATTCCGACTTCAATGCACCGCAACATATCGTGCACTAAAAAAAAAAAAGAAGATTATTCTTGAAAACACCAAAATATGCAAACATCTCCCCCGCGTTGTATTTGACGCGTTGTTCGACCGAGATCTAAATCACGGGCCATGGTAGCGCTCAATTATTCGCAACTATCATGTATACGTACACCCCTCCACCTACAAGTATATGTACCAGTACAGCTAGAACGAGCAGCCATATCAACCGTAGTGATGAATCGCCCAGCCCGGCATCATGGATATTATGGTTCTCGATCAAAGACGTTTGTCTCGTTCCTGCAAGTGAACGAACACACTGTTATTGTACTCCTGGGCCACCGTACAGCTTGTAAATCAATCTTCTTCGTTTGGAGGAAATCAAAGTGTTCAAAGACTCGAAAAAGTGATATTAAAGGGCTGAGAAACCGGCGGCGGCAGCATCAGTTATGCACATATATTTGGTCATTAGGAGGGAACAGGCTAGCTGATTTAAATGAGCGCAAATCGTCATAAATCTGAGAACCATACGGGTGTTTTGCGGTCGCCGCAAACGCGGGGAGCCAAGGCTGAAACAACCATATACCCCACGGATGTATACACTATATACCGGCCGGCCGGCGCGCCGGCTCGTGTGTCTTTCGCTCTCTGGTAATTGATGATGCGCCCGTGGCACATTATTTCGCAGTTATACTCCCACCACGACTGTGTGTATACACTAAAATATCCTCACCCTTCCCCCATCCCCCTACCCTTTTTATTCCGGTTGACGGGAGAAATAACACGAGAGTGCATACTCATCGGGTCGTCTTGTTCCCTATAGTATATGTATATATACATGTGCAGCCCAAATTGAATCGGTGCTTTTAACGCGGTGACGATGATTTCTTTTCTCAACTCATCTTGTGCAGATACGCATTGTATATCAGCGGTACAATACAAAGATAAAAATCCTTCCTCCTCCGTAGCTCTTATCCCTCTATAGGTTAGAACAACCCCTCCGACAAACGACAGCCAATTTGCGAGCCCATTGCGACCCACCTCCTGCCACGAAGGACTGTATAATAACTAGAGATAAAAAAGAAAGAAAGAGGGTCCTTCTTAAAACTCTGCAGGATTAAAGCGATCCCCCCCCCTCGACCCGAATCTCTTTATTTTACACTCACCCGAGACGTCCTCTTTTTTTTTTATTTCCTCGCCCTTCCACTCGGATTCGCAGCCGCTCTCGCGGTAATAAAGTGAACAACCACTTCCTTCCTTGGAGTTGTTCTTTTATCTCCCTCATTTTCATTGCGGAAATGGTGTACTTGGAGAATCCCATGGATTATACATAATCGGTTCCACGACACCCAGCAGAAAAAAAAGCACTCATCATCGGTGTCGGATCAAAGAAAATTAAAGTAAAAACACACGGGTGAGACCCGGGAAGGGTGAAAATAAAACAAATCTAGTGTCCGCAAATTGGAAAAAAAAAAAAAAAAACCGGTAAGCAATAGTGCTCGGACGGTACTTGGTGATTCCGCGGGAAAATGGGACGTAGGATTAATGTCGCGACCTGGGCCAACAGCACCAAGGTACACCCATACCCAGACCTGTACATGTATATACTTGGGATACAGCGTAACGGTACCCCGGGGACAAAAAGATGGCACGGCAGCGAAGGAGCAGTGGTACGGTAGGAGGTGGAGGGATGACGGGAGTAACGCGATTACGCGAGAGACTCTCTCTCTCTCTCTCTCTGCAGTTGTATAACTACGTGTACGGACAGACAGACACACGTACAAGTATAAACATCAGGACGACGCTTGATTTATCCGTGCCCCGTTATTGCATTAGCGCCCCGTTCGTTGTTGCCGAGCTGGTATGTACATACATATATATACCCGTACAGAGAACTTGTACACCCATCGCCCCGTGTGTATATATACGTTTATCTCTGGCCGATGCCTGCACGGACCACGGTCCACTTCTCGCCTCTACCCTCTGAATCATCCGCTTTTTCATCATCGCGGACTGTACCTATACACACCACGTACCACACGTACGGATAAATGTTTCCGTTTGCTTGGCTCCTGCGCTCTTGATGTCTCTCGCGTCCTCAGCACCGAAATGGGCAGATCTCTCGTTTTCTTTGTTCTTGTATGTACTTTTGATGCAGCAAGATAACATTCGAAGATCGGTCGGTTGTTTGAAAAATTGTAAGGATACAGGGTGCGGGGTTTCGTTTCGATTGACCAGACAATTTTCACTGTTGTTTTTCTTCTCAACTACTTTGGCTTTATTTTTTTTTTCTTTTTCACTCTTTTTTAATTTCGAGTTACAGTGTATATTATTTATACGTTAATTTACAAGGATATTTTTATTGTTCCCCAATCGTGGTAGACGTGCGCTCGTGGGAAATAAATGCACGGTATTGCTTGAACTTACTGTTTCAGCAGCTAATACTTTTTCAAAGTTTATTTGTATGTTACAAAGTCCACAGCTTCAATTGAATTACACCTACAGTCAATGTACACTCGGATAATTTATATTTATATATTGTATGAGATACTTATTAGATACACTTTGGCAACAGGTCGATTTATTAAACGCGCCATAAATAATAGTAATAATAATAATAGTTTATCGTAACGCCGCGAAACAACGATAAGCATATATTTATATAATACGCGGCTATTGTTAATCACAGTACCTACACCTAAATAAATATTACCCACACTGTACACGTATATATTTATTTATAATAGCGTTACTTTTACCTTTTCCCATCATGATTTAGACACACTTTTCGAAAATAATCGTACAACGTTGTTGTTGCGTATCATAGGTACACGTTGCATCTAAAACATTCGTAGGGGGGGAAAAAAAAGGTAAGCCCCAACTCATACGTAATAGAATATACTGTACACAGAAAAACACGGACTCTCACGCGTACAACGATGACAACACAAGACGCTTAACTTATTGTTCATCTGTACAAATCCTCACTTTGCACAACTCCGCATTAGAGAAGCTCCCAACACTCGATACACAGATCAACGATCCTCGTCCACTGGGCAAATATACGTACTCCGATGCATTGGAGAGTGGCGGATGCCTAGGCCGGCCTCTCCAACCCGAGCGCCTCCTGGTGCCGCCTGGCCTTGAGCCTCAGGTCGGCGATGCTGCTGCTCTTGGACCTGCTCGTGGCGGCGGCGGCAGCCAGGGACGCCGCCAAACCGAGCGGGTGCGCGGAGCTGGGGCCGCTCGAGCCGTTGCCTCCGGTACCCGAGGCCATCGGGGCCGGGTGGTGGCCGCCGCTCCCGTGGGGCAGACAAAAGAGGCCACCCGCGGCGGCGTAGTGGAGGACCGCGGGGTCGAAGGCCGAGCTGGCCGCCACCGCCGCCGCAACTGCCGCCGCGCTGCTCGACCCTGGCTGGATCTGCGGGTGGTGTAGCCGGAGCCCCGGTAGGTATGGGCCCACGCGGCACGCCTCGAGGCTCGTTGGTGGACTGCGTGGGGCCAGGACCATGCTACCGCTGGGCACGCCTGGAATCGCACATACAACAGTGCCACCTCGAATATAATATGCGCGAGGGCTTATTGTGTCTCGAGAAGATAAGGAAAAAAAAAAAAAAAAATCATGGTTTTTGTTGGTGAGTATTTTGCAAACCCCCTTTTTTTCAACACAACGGTTAGCCGATGAAATCTGGTCTTGTTACTTTTTATTTTTTATTTTAATGGATAGGAATTTTTCAAGCAGATTTGGTTCATTACCGCCATAGTTTTCCCACCGACAGAGAAGAGTCGGAAATGATATAAGTACACGCGGTAAAACAAATCGAATCGATCGAAGGCTTTAAAACGGTACGTGGTGAGTGCAATATCGTTAAAGACTCTCGATTTAACGGGTAAATTGAGCTTGGAAAAATTTTGTTAACTTTTGATCCGAGCAGTATAAGTATATTTTTCTCGACTCAACAAAAGCTCATTAGACCGGTATATATGTAGGGTACTCTGTTTAATAAACGTTTTCAACTCCCGAGCAATATCTGTCAGAAAAATCTGTATACCCAAGAGAAGAAGATAATCTTTGAAGTTATTGTAAAGCTCTGCTCTCGAATCATCATAAATATAATTTAAAGCCTCATCGATTCTGTGTAATTGTTATGTATATATTCGGCAGTAAGGATGCGTACATATAAATGGAGTCTCAAACTGGCAGCCATACACTTAAGCTCGTGTGAGAAGCAATAACGATCGTTCTCAATGTCTCGCTCACCGGGGCGTGTTATAACCATACCTATATTTACATGATAAATTGTCACAAACTGCGAGTACACGGCACACTCACCCTTGTGCAGTTGGCTCTCGTGTTTCCGGCACTTGGCGCGCCGGTTCTGAAACCAGACCTGCACCCGCGCCTCGCTCAGCCCTAGCCGTTGGCTCAGCTCCTCGCGCATGAAAGCGTCCGGGTAGTGGGTCTCGTCGAACAGCCTCTCCAACTCGGCCAACTGCTCCAACGTGAAATTCGTCCGCGACCTCCGCTGCTTCCCACTGCCGCTTCCACCGCCCGAGCTCGCCCGGCCGATTGTCGCGCCACCTGCAATGTCTACACAATTCTCGTCATTATACTATAGGTACCTCTTTTTTCCTCCCCCGAAGATTAATCCGATCGCTCCGTGGCCCCCGCCCCCCGAAACTTACAAACGTCCTCGGGAGATTCAAAGGTCCGAGAAAGAAATTGAGCCCAAAGGCAGGGGGCGAAGAGCCTCGTAATTCACGCCCTCGGGTATAGGGGAGGGAAGGAAAAGCAGATGGAAGAGGAGGAGCCTCCGCGCGACTTCCGAATCTCTATACTCCTGGCTTCACGGCTCATTTCTTTCAACGCGCCATCAGCGACACCACCCAGAGGCGCATCAGCATAAAACGCTTGCGTTATACGATATATATATACCCTCCAGAGTCGTCGATATTGCCCGATATCAGCCCCTTCCCTCTATTTTTTTGTTTTTACTACTGCACCGAGACGTCGCGTCGCCAAGTTTTTCAACAATGGTGTGTGACCGTGACAAATGAAAAAAAAAAAAAAAGCATCCGTACAGTTTCGCGCCAATGAATCGGCGTCAGCAGCCGCGGTTGGAGCTCGATAATGGAGTGCGAGTCCACGGGATTACCAGAGGGCTTCGTTAGGTGCCGACATCAAAAGCCTCCCCTTTTTTCGTATGCGAGCGACGCCTTATCCCCGATGTAATATACGTCGCGTCTACGAAAAGCCACAGCATGGCTATATGTATATACATATAAGGATAGGTTTACGTATGTAGAAGGTACCTACTTAGGGGTAAGGCGTGTGCCTTTGCTCGCGCAAAGTAAATTTCATTTGCCAAAGTAAGTGCCGCTAGTCAACTCCCAACTTTTGGCCGTTTATTCGCGCGGCTTTCTCCTTCTTTTGCACTTGCAGCTGTAAGGTAGCGTGATATACATGAGTATAGTATACGTGTATGTATGTCGGCTCGTTCGCATCGCCGCGAGTCAAAGAGACACTCGGTTAATTAATCGCCGGCCCCTAATTGATGACTCTTTAACGCGTCAAAGTTTTATGAAAGTGCCTGTGTACATTGCACCCGAGAAGTATGCTTTGCGCGAGTGAATCTTTACTTTGCTCGGTGAAGGCTATACATATATGTATATTCTGGGTGTACGAAGACAAAAAATCAAGTGCTTCGAGCGACGAAAGAACCGTGATATCTGTGTATATAATTTGTACCAGAGTGCCGCGAGAGCCCATCAAGTTACAATCGCGTGTGTTCAAATACTTCCACCTGCAGAATGGAATTACTGTACTTTTCTTTTTTTTTTTTTTTTTTCATATAGATGTAGGCCTAAAGAAGGAAATTTTGAGTATTTTTCGTGATATGGTTTGTTTTTGGTCTCAAACTTTTGAGCTCTCGTCCTTGCTTGTTTTTTTTTTATGAAATTTCTTAGATACAGTTCCCGACGATAAAAACTCATAAACAATGTGTGTTTAAATCATTTCAATCCCAAACCTCGACCGAACAAATCCATCGAAAAAAGTTCTACGAGACACATCTCGTTCAATGATTAATTTGTTCTCTGATTGGTTTTGCTCATCATGCTTAAATTGTACAGTACGATTTTCAATACAATTTTTTTGGATTCGCTTGATGATGTTATAATCACCGTTATTAGTATTAAACCATTTTATTTTATTATTTTACATTTAATTGAATCACCCGCCAAAGATCGGACTTTACAAATAGGCTACGTTATCGTTTTTAATGAGCGCGAGAGAGAGATAGAAATTATTACATCATCTCCCCCTTTTACTCCTTAAACGTTAAGGGGGCTTCTTCACGAAAGTCCCCAAACAGAGATATATTATTTCTTGTAAATAAAAGCTTACTGAATTTAATGGTGGTCTAAATTATATTTCGAATGGGTCAAAATTTTGAGAAATCCGAGCTCAAAGTTGTAACTATTAGCACGTGTTCCTATGGGGCAGCGTGAAAAACAATTTGTTTTCGTTTATAATAAACCTAAATTAAATGTCTCAGCAGACTGAATATATACATTTTGTAGATGAAGTCTTCCTCTGTAATATGCTGTATTAAAAATTGTGGATAAAGGACCATTTTAGCGAGATATTTGTGATGGAAATAAATAAATAGCGTCCGGGAGGTCAGGAGGTCACGTGGGTAGCAGACGTACTTGTTCACGACATATATATACCATATACCTATATATTACATCGCTATACTACACCAACACAGGTGGTCTGGTCTGGTGGTGTACCCTCGTATGCACTAGACTGGTCAAAACAATAATTAATTTTTCGTACAAAGTTAAACTACACACATAAATATCATTTTTCCCACTTCATACGATTTTCAGACACATTTGTTTATTGAAAAACAAAACTTTATTTTTTGTTTGTCTTTGACCTCAGCAGTAGTCGTAGGAGCCCCCTTAATGAGTGACTCGAGTAACTGATAATTAGTCTAAGTTTATACGTGCATGCGTACGCACAAAGTGCTTATTTTGTACTTCTTTTGTCGCTATAGAAATACGTGGCACTGCGAGAGATTGTTTTTGTAATGTTACTGCTGAATTTTTTTCATTTTTCAATGAAAAAACGATTTTTGTCACATCTTGTCAAGACTTTTTTATAGCAGTATATAATCAACATATTTGCGGTACGTACGGATTTATTTAGCTTCCAGTGCTACGAGCCTTTGAAAATTAATTTCTCCGTTTCCAGCAGAACACGCGGCAACGCATATTACTCAGCTAACAGCATAATTGATTTTACGGGCAAGTAAGGCATCGAAGGTATTTGGACAACGCAACAGTTACTTGATCTACGGTAATTTTTTTTCTTGAAATTAAACTTAACAAACTTTCGAGGTTTTTTTTTGTCATGAAATTAATTGACTGTTTATGTGATTCGTAGAGTTAATCGATAGTTTACGCTTATGTTACTCCCTGAATAGTCCCCTTCCAATGCCACAATCACCATTACCTCTTGCATGCTTATTTTTTTTGAGGAACGAAGACGCAATTCGAGCTTTATGAAAAATATTGGTACAAAAATTACTCTATTAAAGCCAAGAATCAAAATGGAGTGAAATACCAGCCGCTCAACTAACAAATTTATTTTTGCTATGTACAACACCGTCACCAAAAGAAAAAAAATGATTATATTAATTGTTCAAAATAAGTTATATGGTTTTTTTCTTGAGAATTAGATTTTCATTCTTACTTTAGGGTGACAAGTTTTTCAATTTTCAGAGTGTCTCTATTGGTAATTTACTTTACGTAGAAACATGATATTGTATCGCTGTCAAATAATCATTTTATATACGCATATAGTATAATATATAATGGTAAAAATTCCAAAACTTAACCCAACAATATTCTAAACAATCTTAAAAAGGTAGAGATTGAGGTTTTCAACAATAACTCCATTACAAAACCACTAATAGCTCATGACTCTAAAGCGATTAAAGCGAAAGATAAGTGAAAAATTCCTGTGCTAGATGAGAATCTAAAAGTATTTTTCAAAGTCATTGCGTAGGCTGACAAATTAACAGAAAACTCCAGTTTTTACCTTAAATGACAGTTTAAAGTGTTGTTTTTAATTTTTTTTTAAATAAATAAAAGTTGTAAGATGCAAAGCAATATGTGCCTTGGATCGTTGCTATACCTTTTGATATAATTTCCTTGCATTCCTACACGAAATACACGCATCTTCCTACAATTGGCGCGAAATAGACGACTATTTAATCATGAGAAAATAAAAACAAGTAGGTCCAATTAACCGTGTACCAAAGTCAATGAAAAACATGATTAATTTACGATGCTCAGCAAAAATTCGTGTAACAACAAAACTAATCGCTCTCGTAATGAAATTTCAGGTGTATACTCGTATATACTTGTCGAAACAAAAATGTCCGAAGGTGCAGGTTGGTTGGAAGAACCCACGCTCAAGGGTCACAAAGGTAACCGCAACAAGTCACCGAACAGTTGTGAGGTCTGTTTCAAGACGTTTGCTAGAAAATGTTACCTAAAGATCCACAAGCGCATACACACGGGCGAGAGGCCGTACACTTGCGACACGTGCTCGCGGGCTTTCTACTCGAAGAGCAGCCTCAGGTCGCACGTGCTGATCCACACCGGCGACAAGTCGTACGCTTGCGACGTGTGCTCGCGAGCCTTCAGGGACAAAAGGAGCGTAGAGAGGCACGTTTGGGTGCACACCGACAAAAAGCCGTACACCTGCGACGAGTGCTCGAAAACGTTCACCGAAAGATTCCAGCTCACCATGCACAACCGGATACACGCGGGGGTGCCGTTCTCGTACGGTTGCGACGAGTGTCCCCGGAAATTCATAACCGCGCGCAAACTCGCGAGTCACGAGCGAGCCCACGCCAGGAAAAACCCGCGCGTCTGCCGAGTGTGTTCCGAGGTATTCAGCAACAACACGACCCTCGGGGTGCACGAGCGCAACCACACGGGCGAGAAGCCGTACAGGTGCGACGTGTGCTCGCGGGCTTACAACGACAAAAGGAATCTCACGCGGCACAGGTGGGACCACATCATGCTGAGGCCCCACAAGTGTGACAAGTGTTTGAAAACCTTTAAGCTCAAAACCCAACTCATCGCCCACGCGAAGGTCGTGCATAACTATCGCTGCACCAAGTGCTCCCTTACTTTTGTCAAGTACCACGAGCTCAACAATCACGAGCGTGATCTTAGTCATGTTACCGAGGAGTAGATTGAGAGAAATCCTTCAACGGTTATGATTTTTGTTTGTTTGGATGCTGTCCGGGGCCAATTTGTCATTTTTCCGGCCGGTAAGTTGACGCGAAGCTCACATCGGTACGCACCATATCATTTACAGCTATTTTTCAAAAAATTTCATTAATCTCATTTTATGTTACCGTTCATGCAATTTCAATATAATTTTACTTGTGTATGTACGTCGATTTTTTGTTTTACTTCCACTGTACCATACGGGTGTAAGTAATCGATCGAGCAATCAACCAAACATGTATATGAATTTAAACACCAACTCGTAAGGGGTGAAATTGTAATTAAGTCGAGGCCAAGCATGTGACGAATAAATTGTTTCTTCCACATCAATTTCATGCATTATCAATTTTATGAAAAAAAAAAAAAAAAAAAAAACCATACTTGCAAAACAAGACTAAAAATCTTTTTCCTAAAGAGTTCAATGTGAATAGTCAATTCCTGATCGTATGACTTTAAAAAAATATTTAAAAAAAAAAAAAAACAATACGTTTTTTGTTAAAAACTTGAAAAAAAAAATCAAAGTAACAACCAAATCGCACTCTTGGGCAGCGATGTGGGAGCTAAAGTGTAACACCCAGTAAAGGGAGCGATCAAAATCTGTCCACCCAAGAGAGAGAGAGAGCAAAGGAAAACCCAGCAAACAAAAGTGCAAATTAATGAAACGGAACGAATTCAACTGGGTGAAAGTATATCCATTCCACTTTGAGTAAATGAAATAGCGACAAAGGCGTTGATATATATATATATATATACACATACATACGGTATAGTGATGTGAGCTAGAAACGTACGCACTTAATCGAGCAAAAAAAAGTCCTCCAAGATAAAAACAAAAATCTCGGCTGTATGCTTCCTTCTCTCGAATTATACGCGTCTCGCATCATTTAAATGTACACGCGTGCATGAGTCCCCGTGTACAATCCATGCGTAGGCGGAGTAAAACCGAACGAACGAATTAAAGAGACGTAGGGAAAGGGGGGGAGGCGTAGGAAACGGTTTTAATCAATTAGCGGACACCTATCGTAATCCAATCTGCTCGCGCTACCCCCTCCGGACGCAACCCCATATGCGCGGTGGTTTAGAGCTAGCTTTATTCCTTCTTCTCCCACTGTAAATGCTATAGACATGCAGGCTCGTGTATGTGTGTGTGTGTGTGTATTGCAAATTATAGAGTCGCACATCCCCCGCGTCCTCGTGTTTGGTGCTCTCTCTCGCACTATGGTTGTTTTGTGTCTGTAGTAATTTTTTTTGCTCGCCCTTCGCGCGAGAGCACCGACAGGGGGACGGATGAGATTCACGAGTTACAACACGCGGATTATAATTTGTTGCACTGAGGTTTTTTTTTTTTTTTTTTTTTTTTTTTTTTTACCGAGAAAAGGGAAACAATCTTTGTGACCAAGGAAAATCGGATTACGCGTTGGTTGGGTGTTTTTTTTTCTCCTTCGAAAAATTTAGAAACATTTTTGCCCCAAACCGCTTCTTAAAAAAAAAAGCAAATACGAGATCTGTGGTATGAGTCCCACGGAATTTTCAATAAATTTTTTGTCCCCATCACGTTCCGCAGTTTTATTACTGTTTTCGCCGAGTCGCAGCTTCCCGTTTTCTCAGAGAACCTGGATAATTTTAAATTAAAAACAATTAACACGAAACAATTACCACACGTGCTTTTTGCGAAACACCTTGGAATTTTCGGCTCATTTTTCAAACATGAGCTCCAACATGAGTACATTTCTCCTGTTTCCACTCGAAAAATTCAAGGCGCGTTCTGGAATAATCGCGCATATACCCATACAATTTCTTGATAAAAGAAATACGAATTAATCATTCTTAGGGCGAAAATCATAGTTTCAACAGCAACAACAACACAGGGTGTAAAGGGGGAAAACCTCCGAAAATTCAATCAATTGAAATAACGGCCACACTCTCTGTCAATATATATATATATACTATTGATAAGTACACGTTTCGGCCACGATCGCACGCATCGGAAGGGCACGCGCGTGTACGACAAAAGCGTCAAACTGCCCATAAATACATAATAAAACGAAAACAAGCAAGTAAGAAAGAAAGAACACGAGAGGGGGAGGAGGGGGTGGTAGCCCCAGAGAGCAGAGAAAAAAAGGGGGCGAGTGGGAAATCGACGCGAAAACCCCACGCACGCAATCACACTCGCCTCTAAGGGGTCAGTAATTCGATTACCCATATAGTATATACACGTATGTATGGACGCAGGCACACGTACTCGCTCTCTCGCCACCCCCTTGACTTTTCGACTCGATCCATCTCTCCTTGGCCCCATGTGTCGTGTACTTGTTGTATACATGTATACCTCCGCGTGCGCAAGTCACCCATCTACTGCTAATACTCGGAGATTTTTTCTCCCCCCCCCCCCTCGCCCCTCTTAACGATACAAAAGGAAGCCGAGATTTAACTCCTCGTTGTGTCACCCTTGCTCCACTATATGGAAATGAAAATCTGATAAATGCACCGATGTGTATCACTTAATACTGCGCTAAATAGGTAAGCGCCGCCGGCAATACATTAGGTAAACGGACCAGTTTATAAAACGGGAATTGCTTAATGTATACGTGTAACTGTGTAGGGGAGCGTATTATCCCGCGCCGCTTGTACGGGGCGAAAATCTACATGGCCGAGCTCGTAATATAGTCAGGAATTTAATGTACTTACTTACTTTGTTGGATCGATCGTATACGTAAACTTATTTATATATCCACAGCTGTTGCGTAAATATTACAATATGTATATGCGGGTACGTGGGAGTCATCGAAGAAGAAAAACAGGGATAAGTGACGAAACGATGCGTCGAATCGACAGCGTGTACCTGGTCGCAAGATCTCATTGAATTTATGGTTTAATATGCGCCGGCGACCCGCCCTGCCCACCCCCCCCTTTTTTTTTTTTTTTTAAGAGTGAGAGAGCCGAACGCCTCCGCGGCGCGCCATAACTTTTCCCGATTAAGCGCAAATCAAAAAGCAATCTGCTGCCCCCCCCCCTCCCCAACCCTTGGTCCGAAAGTTAAATAATAAATAATCCAGGCGAGAAAAGTGTACACGTCTCGGACAGGGTGGGGGGGGGCTGTGTACATCAGTGCGGCAGTTCTGTGCGTAAGCGGGGGCCCAAGGAGCACTTTGCCCGCCGATCTTACGAATTTACGACGCTCCCGGCAAACGGGACGGCTTTCTGCATGCGTGCCATAACATACACTGACCCTCGCTCGAGTGGCCGGACACCCGTTTTCTTTCTCTCCTCCTTCCAGCGCGCTGTGTTATATTTATGGGGCTTTTTAGAGATTCCTTTTTTTTTTCTCTCATTTGAGCTGTACATGTACTCCCTTATCTCCCCCCCCCCTCCATGTGCATTGGCTGTTTAGTACACCCGAGAGTGACGTTTTAAGGATCCAATTTTGGAAGAGCATACAGATCGCATCGGTTTCTTGTAACAAAAGTGAAAAAAAAAAAAAAGGCACCTGAAGAGCGCGTCCGGCTGATGTATCCGTCGGACGTACGGAAGGATCGAGCGAAAATCGAAAGCGAGGAGCGTGTGTCGGCAGTTCGCTTCCATCGGTATGTGTAGGTATACATGTGCACGCGTTGCTTACTACCTGCGAGACCTCGGAAATGTGACCGGTCATGTGGTTGAAGGCTCCGCGGGGGAGGAGTGTATAATATACAGCCTCGAGCGGTCCGTCTTGCCCCCACCCCAATATAGCTTCTGAGCTTTATTGGCCGATACGCTTGAATTATAAACGAGCCGATGTCACGTGTACAGTTATACACTGGTCGGAGGGTCCAGTAGCGGTCAATGTTACGGCCGATTATTAATATTTGATCGATCAAGACGAATGGACGGAAGCGCGTGTACAAGTTTATTTATCCGGACCTACATGTGGCTGTAGTATATACGGGGTATATACACCTACTCTTGGCGGAGATGATGCGTTGTAGGTTCAATGGTACAAAGATTTGTCAGACTTATCGTTGAGCCAACGAAAAAGTAATGTATGTGTAATATCCATTCACCTCTGCAAGTAGCGGCGTCGTCGTGGATGAGCCGAGGTGGCCTGGCGATGGTCGTGATCTGTTGCCTGGGACTGGGGCCTCGCTCCTCGGGACTGGACGACCGGTCGGTGTCGTTGACGGGCGGTGGCGAGGGTGTGCAGCCCAACAGCTTGCGCACCGAGAGCTTGAGCTCAGGTGGCTTGGTCGGCGGTTGGTGGGCCGTTTCGTCCCTGAGTCTAGAGGCCAGCGACAGGTCCTCCGGTTGCAGCAGCCGCAGAGACGATTCCGGGGAGTCCGGGTGCTTGCTCAACGCAGGGGACGGCTGCCGCTCCGCATCGCCCATCTCGGCTTTTCCATCTGAACGACCGACCAACCAACCCATCATACTATACTTATTGCTCTCTATACCGTGCACGTCTCATCGCCCGGGTCCGACCGATCACCGACTCGTACTACTTAACGGATATACATGCTTAGCGCGAAGAATTCTACTCGGACTAGCCATAAGACTATAGACCAGAGGCACCTTTGTGTATAATTTGAGCGAAACAAAGGAATACCAGCTGTCTTGGATTTCTAAAGGCGGTACCGAAGGTAAAATGTGCAGTTAGTTGGTCTGGCGGTACAACAAATTTGACTTGACCGTGGCACAATCAACACGTGTATAAAAAGCATTAGATCATCGGGTCATTGATAAAATACAGAGATAAAGGTGGTATAACTACTGACCGTCTCGCAATTGTTGGTCAGCCGGCTCTGGTAGCTCCGCCGACCTCTCGTCCTCGTGGTCCCCCCCTGGCTCGTCCTCCTCTCCGTCCTCCTCCCCCTCCTCTTCAACGCGCTCGGTAGAGCCGACGAGGTGCGCCACGCTGAGCGTAATCGCGGCCAGTTGGTGTTTCTGCTGTCGCAGCCTATCAACGGTGGACTCCTGCGTTGGCTGGCCACCCAATAACTCCGGGTTGATCGGCGACGAGCGTTCCTTGTGGTGCTGGAAATGCTGGCGTTGGGTGTAACGTAGCTGCTGCTGGTACTGGTGAAGGTGCTGGTGAAGAAACGGCCTGCCACGGCCTATCACGCTCGCGGGCCCCTCGAAGCTCTGCGAGACGAACTGGGCGAGCTGCTCCATGCTGGCCGCGCGGCCCGGGACACTGGCTCGTCCATGCACACCGGCGACGCGTCCGCACGGCTCCCGCCCCCCGCTCCTCCGCTCAACAAGAGCCTCCTCCTGCGGTCCCTGATGGGTGCGCGAGGCGTCGGCGCACCAATGGCCGCCCCCGCCAATCGCAGCCCACCGGGGGCGGGTCCGTTGTGGATTCGGGGAGGCGCCCTCTCCCACCGTTCGTTCGTCCCGTTGATGCGCACCTGCTGCTCCTCGCGGACCCTCTCATTCTTATCGTTGTATCATTATCATCTTCGCCCACCCTCCCTTTCCCTCCCCTCTCTCTCTCTTGGTGCAGCTCTTTTCTTCCACCTAACTGTATGTACAACGAGTCCCGTCTGATATCCCATACGCGTTTGTCGGTTAGAGTTGTCCTTCCTCGGGAATTTAAGCATATACATACCTATAAGCCCCCTGGCACCTATATGGGCAAAAATGTGTTTGCTCGTCGGTTCCAACTCTTTACGGCACGTGTGTATTGTTTGCTTGTGCATAAATCGATACTGCGAAGAAGAAAAGAAGAAGAATAATATTTTTCCCAACGGGCTCGCCAAGAGGGAGTTCCGCGTGCAGACGATAAAATTGATTTACACGCCTATACGGGAGCGTATTTGTATATATAGTCGTTTTAAAGGGCCCCGAGTCGAGAGGAAGACTTTTCGCCCGCTCCCGTTAATCCATCCTATACACTTTTGCCAGCGTATAATAATAATAATAATAATTTACGCGTAATGCGCCCTAAATCGTCGACATACCGCGAGATCGTTCGAAAGAGAGAGAGAGAAAAATGTTGAACCTTCCATTTTTGTCCAGTGGATATTGGGGACAAAGGACATGGGTACAACGCTTGTATACCGGTGATATAAAATAAAAGCTTCGCAACTATACTTTTCACACACCAGCAGAACCGATCGCTTCTAATAATCAAAGGTTCGCCGATAACAACCCGCGTGGTATATGTATACACATCACAGAGAGAGAGAGAGAGAGAGACGTAAGAATACAATTATCTCATTAGGGATGTGGTGGTGGGAGGGCGAATCGAATTACATTTAAAACAGCTGCCGACAACGAGAGCGCGGATGGAGTCTCTCTCCTCGCTCGTCTTTGCGTGCGCGTGTATATGTATTTGCCGCTACCAAACTCGGCAATATTTAAATGGGATTGCGTTTGGAAATGTAATTGCTCGCGCAAACACGCCGGATCGCAGTGTACGTATATATACGTATATAGGGCCGTTGCGCACGGGAAACGCAAAGAGGGAGAGGGGGGGGGGAGGGGTGGTCGGATACGGTCCGTATAACGCGGCCAGACGGAGCCAATCAGGGAGCAATGCGATTACCCTTAACGAGAAATCCGATTACTTATTCATTCGCCTAACTCGAAATCAGTTTAACTAATCGTTTAATTCGCTCCCTCTTTCCATACGCACGTATATATATATATACAAGCTCTTATTTAGTCACCTATAACAATCCATATATTTATATGTACTGTATCCACGGCACACGGTGCCTTTCACTATGTATAGCTAAGGGATTTGCTATATGTTTGCACATTTATGGTATATCTGTATACAATGCGCGTTCGCATGATAGTTGTAGGTATGTATCGAGTCGGTCCTCGAGATCGTTGCGTTGTGGAAAAATTTGCGTGCACAGTCCACTTTTTTTTCTACATACTTTGGGTACGTAGGGTCGAAGAGCCTTTACAGCAGGGGATGCCGTTTGGAATATGGGATTTCCTTTATTTATTCGATTTCAATATATCCAAGGAATACGCCAACGATATGGTCGCGAGGGAGAAAGAGAGAGCTACGAACTAATTGAAACGAGCAAACAACGGCGCGCGCCTCGTTAAATCGCAAATTATCGACGCGTTAATTTTCCAGTAGCGGCGGTCAAGGGGGGGGTCATTGGAAACTAAATGACCGGCAAAAGCGCGATCGAATGACGAGGGAGAAGCAAACAAGTTAACGGTTGTTATGTGCGCTCGAGTCGTTAAATTGGGACTTGGTTATTATTTTTTTTTTTTTTTTTACAAAAGAATGATATGGAAAACAAGTAGAAAAGAGGGGAAAAAAAAAAAAAAAAGTAGAAGAAGAAACCAAAGGATACAAGGAGCGAGTATTTGTATATCCACTGGGGAACCGAACGATATACGAGTGTACGTGTAGGTATAGAGTATAGGGAAAAAGAGGAAGGAGCCGGAGATTGCGGAGGCCTCGTTCAATTCAATTACGTAATGAATTGTCGTGTCTTGAGCAAACACCCCGTCCCTTTCTCACCGCCGCGCTTAACACTATACGTGTATACACCTATACGTGTATATATGTATACAAGGGCACGCGAGCGCACATGCGAAGGAGGGTAGGGACAAGTTGGCGGACTCGTCCTTCTCCGATGGCTACTGCCGCAGTGACTTACTGCAGCTTTAGCACCCCCTCTCTACACATATACTTATATGTTTCTCGGATTCTCGAGAGATCTCGAATTGTGAGTGTGTGTGTGTGAGCATCCCCTCGGCGAATTAGAGATGGAGTTTCACCTAGCTGTTTCTCTAGCTCATTACGCTAATAAAACCGGGTGCTCTTGATTATACTTTTATACATACACGTCGTTGTTCTCCTTATTTCTGCAGGTGTGTTTTGGACTCTCCCTGCTCCCTCTCTCTACATAGGTAACATGTATATATACATATCATCTGCACAGGTGTGTACATACGTCACCTCCACGTATTTTGAAAGGAAAAAAAAAAAAGCACAATTAGGTACGAGGTTTGAAACGTAATGAATTATCACTTATAAAAACCTGCAAGCGTTGTATAATATTGTCGTATACGGGTGTATCTTTCAGTGGTGCCTTTCGTTTTTCTCTCCCCCCGATCGAACTCAACGCCGATCTCATTAGTGGCAATGAGCTCCGTTGCGGCTACTACATGTATTTGTATACACACAAGCCCCCGGTGAATCCAAACAAGCCGATGATTAGACGACGGGCGATAGGTATACGTATACATATGTATATAATGTATGTTGCATCACATGTATCAAGCCATCCGAATATGACGAAGGTGATGCTCGCTCTGCTGTACCATGTGATGTTTGCACGGAATAATGTGCGATGATGGCCTCGCCTCCGTTTCCTCCCTCATATACCTATCTACTTCATCGAATCAACTGCAAGCATCTCATCCATGCGTATACCTACATGTAGGTACCTATATGGGAGAGAAGATATAGCGCGCAAACGAGCCGGCCATTGATCCGCGCTTTGCACCTCTCTGCCAAAACGTCCCCTCTGATCCTTCACGTCGCGCACACATGCTACAGTGGGTATATTATGTATATCACGGTTGGGAAAATAATTGTAATAACCCAATAACCAAAAATTACACGGTTGGTATTTGGAAAAATGTTACAACTTTTTTTTTTTTTTTTTTTTTTTTTTTTATTTGTCGTCCGAACAAAAGTTTCGAAAAATGTTCAATTGGAATAGTATTGTTATCGACTTTTTAAAAAATGGAAACAAAAAAGTATCGAAGCCCCTGCAGGCCGTGTGAAATTTCAATGTGAATAAAAAATACGCGGTATTTTTGTTTCAGGTGCCAAAATTTTCCGGTAATACAAGCGTTCAAGCATTAATACTTAATTAAAAACATGTTACTCTTTCGCGTGAGTATACAAACACATGAACACTCAACAGTTTGTGCACTCGAGCTAACCTAATGGAACGTTGCAGAGCAATAACGTTATAACGAGTCTCTTGACAAATTCGATTTGGACCAGTGGCGCTGGTGTTGCGCCGCATCTCCGCGGAAAATCGTTTTGGTCGCGTTTTTCCAAGGAAAGAAACTCCCAACCAAAGAAGTGCAAATCCAATGTGCTGCTCACCGAGAATCCCTGCAGAAGACGCGTGCCGGATTGTCCGCAATTCATCGACACTGGCGAGCCGTCCAAGTGTTTGGAGGAAGGATATGGTACCGCAATCAGACACCTACATGTATAACATATAGATACGTACACGCCGTTGATAATGGAAAAACCAACTTTTGTCGTCTCACTGGTTCAGGCGAGCCGATAAAAATCAAGAAGTCGTGGTACAAGTTTGGAGCGCGACCCGTTGTCATAAAACAAAAACCCACCAACTGTCCTCCTCCACCAGCCGTTCCACCACCCGAAAAACGAATAACTTTTTGGGAGTACCTGTTTGGTTCGTCGGAAAAACCATTGCCGGACCCAAAGACCTGCCGCCTCAACTACAAGTACAACCAGATATGCAAGTACGAACTCTGAGTTGCGCATAACCCTACTTCTATGGAATCATTGAGTCTACCTATACATAATGTTTCAAAGTGAAAACGACCCGCGACTGGACGATCCGCGCTACCAGGAAACATTGGGCGACGTTTTCATCTACAGCGAGCCCGAGCGGCTCGAGATCTGCTTCACTCCGGGGCCGAACAAGCCGAAATCACCGCCACCGCACATACCACCGGGAGCCGTGTTTTGCAAAAAGATCATCTCCGACTCCCTCACCGACCCCCTCGTCCACCTTGGCCGGTGCGCCTGCACGCCCAAACCGCTGCCCGAGCCCTGCATGCCAGCACCGTAATTATGATACATATACATGTATACTCACTCGTCCACACGTACAATTCCACGTGCATGACGTGCGTTCCAGATGTCCAATACACGACAGATCGTTCGAGCGGCCGTACGAGGAGTTGAGGCCCGCGCGAAGGTCGCGACCGAGGAGGTTCTTCACCTGTAGCCGGGGAATAGCGAACGAGGACATGAGCGACCCGCCGCGGTACAACAGCTCGACGTGTGTCAATCCGATGATCTCTGGTAGGAGCAAGTACAGTGGCCCACCGGGTGACGTGGAGAATTGCGAGTTCCATGAGGCCCTGAGGCAGCGCGCCGAGACTATCAGGCGCAACCGCGTCTTCGAGGTTTCGAATCGGAAGATGACCAGGTGCGAGAGGCTCAGGCTCATACAGATGGAAAAGGAGCGGCCTCTCGGTTTGCGGGAGAAACGAGCGCCCCCTACCTGTGAATCTAGGTGCCTGGTGCCGGCCGGTGCAGGTGGAGGTCCGTAGATCCGGTAATTGTGTCCTTATGCTGGTGTTGGAAGAAGAACATCAATTAATCGGAGGTTTTTTTTTTTTTTTTTTTTTTTTTTTTAGTTTTGCATTAACTTTAATATTTTGCTTAATGGCTTTGCGTTGAGAATATTGGGTCATTAAGTAATTTCAGAATATGTATACAATACCTAGGTGACAAAGAAGCGTTTAATTGAAGAGGTGGAAGCGGAGAACACTTTAATTCGAGCAATAACGGAATCCCTTTATTGCGCGTACAATGCAAGTATGAAACTTCGAAATTTTTCAATGCCCTTTAAATATATTGGATTGAGAAAATGGTTTTAAGTACAGTATTACATAATCCCCTAAGTGATGAAATTTCACAATTGATGATAAAAATGCAAAATTGCACCTATACGGTTGTTATTTTATTTAGAGGATATTGCTAAGACATATATAAACTATCAAAATGCAATTAACTGTATATCAATCAGAAAAAAAATTTTGATATTAAAAATTTTGCCAACTAGTTACATTCCAATAAAAAATGTACTTGTGTTGTGAATTTTTTTAATTTGGGCTTTTCTCTATTCTACATTTAATTGTCATCAAATACCTGTGGCAGTTTTCTAAAAAATTCCAGATTAAAATGTTTTGTGACTGTTAGCTCTAAAATAACATGTACTTGGACTCGAAAACGAAAAAAGTGCCGTGAACAAATTGTTTTGCCTGACCACGACTCCTTATGTCATTTGGACTAAAATCTTATAATATACCAAGAATAAAAAAATTATAAATTGGTTTGAAACCCTTATTGAATCAATTACAACTTTACCACTTATACATTTGAAATCAATCAGTTCAATTTTGAAATGGAATGAAGAAATGTGTAAATTAAAAAAACTTTTTAAGCTTATATCCGGGAAAAATTTGACGAATTCAAGAGAAAATTTATAAATTGTTTATGAATTAAAAAATACATAGTTGTTAAAGAAATCAACTTATCGTTTTGAATAAAATTTCGAAACAAATTTTTCAAGCCTCTCGTTCCTCTTTTTTAATCTCTAAAATCATGTAGTAACTCTTAAATTTCGCGCGCAAACGCTGTTGTCAACTACCTTACCGTCAGAGTATCTGACAGTTGGAGAGGCGCGAGACTCGGCCGATAAAACAAATTGCCCAAATGTCACCGGGTGGTTGGAATCGAGGTTATGATGACACGTGACTTACGTCACAGCCCACGCGCTCCAACAACAAACAATGCCGGTTGGCGGGCCGTCATTGTTGTGAAAATGCGACGTTACAAAAAAGCGCCGACATAACTGTCAAACATAAATCCCATGCATCGTTAGCGTAAGTAAAGTAAGAAAAAGAGACAAATAAATGACGCGGAAGTCGTGTGGACGCTGGCGAGCGATACAGACGGAAGTTCTCTTCTCCCTGTAATAACACACGAGAGAGAGAATCTCCCGCGATATTTCACTGTACGTGACATTCGGCAGCAGCGCGTGTATACCTATATATAGATCAGCGCCACCATAATCCAACGGCGTGTGTTCAGTCCTCGGTGCGACGACGGCGGCTGTCAAAGTGTATGCGGTGACAGAAGAGCGAGAGCACCCATGTGTATAGACATACACGCGCATGGTGAGAGCTGAGAGAGCATTACAAGCACGCATTCTCGTTCTGTCTCCCGGTGAAGCCGTGCATCTGACATGTTCTCGAGATGATGGTCCAGGACGAGTTGTCGACCTACGTGCTTCAAAAGGTAATACACGTGTGCTCTCCTAATTACTGGTTGGAAATTTTCTTGTAAATTTTGTAAAAAAACACGTGCCCAGTGCCACCGCTTACATATCTCTTCTTTTCTCTCTATGCATGCCGCTGCTCTGAAAGTCCCTTTGTATAACGTCGGTGCAACATCTTTCTCGACGCTGCCTGTTATCCAATCTTATATACCCAAACTGCCGCTTTCTCTCAGCAAATAGGGATGATTTTCATTTGACATTCCTTGCAATGCTCTTTGACATAACTTGCAAGTACCGGCAAAAAAATTATTCAACATTTTCGTGTGTATGTGTGTGTGTGTGTGTATATATATACACACATACATATTTGTTTCTCTCGCGTTCTGGCCCCCTCTCGCCATATACACGTATACGCAATATAGATATACACGGATCCTTCGATAGAATGTTCTTTGTTTACGTAACACCTGTCAATTTTCGTTTATTGGTGAAATGTTGTTAATTGGGATTTTGAGCGGGACGGACTCGCATGATGAAGTGACATTTTGAAGAAAAACGCGGTAAACTATTCTCGTTGTCGTGTATTTAAACTTTTTTTTTTTTTTTTTACCTTGCGCGGCAAAGTACGCAGTTGATTTTTCGTCATTTTTTTCCTTGAACGTTTGAGTGGTCGTTACATTTTTTTTTTTTTTTTCCTCAGACTAGAACAAATAATTTGGAAAAAAAATTAGGAGAAAATTTTATAAAAAAATTTTTTTTGTAATAATTTTTATGTTTTCAGATAAATGATTTTCGACAAAAATCTGTGGAAGAAATTGAAAACTGGTTGCAGGATGAAGAACCATTTGTTCCAAGAAGCAGTCAGCAGATAGACGTTCAAAAATGCTTTGGTGACCTGTCGGTTCAAATTCTCTATGATAATTACAACGTTGTACTTAATAATGCCACAAACATCAATTTGGATGGTACCTTAAAGGAGGAACACATCAACAACATTGTAGCAGAGTACGAGAAATACAGCAGCAATGTTTCATCAGAATTTCAACAAGAAAATTTGGACTCATTTTTAACATCGAAAAATAGCGATATTGGAAGAGATAAAAATTTATTACTAGCACATCCTGAACAAGTGCACAACGGTAATAGTCACGAGACCTTGATTCAAGGTATTGTTAAGACAATCAGTGAAATCGTTAACAATGAATTTGTTAACAATCCTCAAGTACAAAAAAATATACAAAATCCTAACAATGTAGAACAACATTTTGAAAATGGCATAAACATTTATGAAAAAGATCTTGCTGCTAAAACTAGTGATGTCCTTCCTGAAAATACTATTGAATCTTCCAATAAGAGATCAACCAGTGATGTCTCAAAAATTTCTTCAAGCGTTGAACATAATCTTGTGAATAATGGCACAGCTTCTGAAAATCCGATTCCTAAGCATTTTGTTGAAACTAAGCCAAATAATTGTAGCCCAGAAGGTAAGGGTATTAAATTAGTTATCAAAAAAACAAAACCTGCAGCAAGTAACAACAGTGGACAACTATCAAGGGAAGGCCAAAATACTTATATTATTACAAAAAATTCACTATTGGATACCAGTGATTCAACTACTAAATCTAGTAATGCTCGACGAACTAGCAAACGCAGTTGTACCAAAGGTTCCATGAAAAAAAGCTGTAACCAAATTACAAATACTTCTTCTGAATCCGAAACAAGTGAAGAAGAACACAAGTTGTACAAAAATAAAAAAAAATCAAATCCTAGATATCATTCGGAAATAATTACAAAAGTATTGGCTAATAACAATATTACAGATGATAAGTTACGATACATCAAAAGTGATGGAAAAAAATTGTGGATATGCCACATATCTGGATGCGGAAATAAGTATCCCAAACTTTATTTGATAAAGGAACATTTACTAACACATTTAGGAATAAAACCATTCAAGGTAAGTTTTCTTATATTATTATCTACTCTTTACAATAGCCGAAGTTATCGCATCTATTTAACAAGATAAATCCATTTATCTTTCAGTGTGATTTCAAAGACTGTGCGTGGGCCTTTTACTCCATCTTCAAGCTGAAACGCCACCAAAAGTCTCACTCGAAGGTAAAAGCGTACGTATGCTCGAAACTCGACTGCAAGCGCCGATTCTCGACTGCCAGCAACTTGTCGATCCACGAGCGTTCGCATCAGCAAGTAGAAAAATACGCGTGCTGGCTATCCACCTGCGACGCTAAATTCTCAACGCAAAGGGTTCTGCAAACGCACATGCGAAGTCAGCACGTCGAGGCATCCGCTCCGTTCGTATGCACCGCACGCGGCTGCGATAGGCGTTTCTACAGCAACAACGCTTTTATGTCTCATCAGCGCTGTCACAACTACTCGGTTGAAGATTGTACCTGCACGTGGCCCGGCTGCGGTAAAACCTTTGACTTTCCCCGCATACTCAAGACGCACATGCTCTCGCACACGGGTGAAAAATCTTACGTGTGTATTTACTGCGATGCAGCGTTTAGTACTGCGAGTAAGCTCAGCCGTCATAAAAGAACGCACTACAATGACCGTCGATTCGTTTGCTACGTGAAGGGTTGCGGCAAGAGTTTCTTGCGAACAGATCATCTCAAGGGGCACATGATTGTACACAAAGCTGACAGAGAAAAATATATCTGCGATTACTGCGATTGCACGTTTATGACCAAAAATTCAATCACAGAACATGTGAAAAAACATTTGAATGGACACTACGAGAGATTGAAAATGCCCCGTAAACGTTACTTGGAAAAGAACAGTAATGATGCAGACAAAGAAATCTGTGCCCGAACACAGCCTTTCAAAAATCTCGTCGAGCTGTCAAAAAAAAAATCAGTTGGTGAATGTACAAAAACCAAGGTGAAGAAAACAAAGCGAAGCCAAGAAAGTTTTTCCGAGGTCAAAGAAGTGAAATCCAAGAGGGCTAAGGAGTCACTTTTCGAAAAAGAAAATGTACCACCTCTTTCTAAAGTACAAAATAATAGTGCAGCTCACTTCATTTTATCTAGTCCAGCTTCCCAAGAAGAATATTCACCGGCAGACCAAGGCATGGTAAGACCTGCATTTGAAGAGAATAAAGCCGTCTTGGGCGCTGAAAATTGCGAAAGTGACCTTTTAATCGAAGAATCGACTCTTTTGTACACACAAGACAACTTTTAAGTGCCTGAATATCAGATGTATAATGTTACTCCAATGGACGAGAGTAACATGAAAAACATTCTCATCTTAGTTCTTCAAATCTCTTGAATAGTTCATTTCATTAAACACAAATCATGTCAATTTCCTACAGCAGTTCGAGTCTTGAGCTGAGTATTTTTTACAACTATTTCAATGAAATGACATATTTGATGAGTTTGTATGGATTGAAAGAGTAAGATTTTTCACTATTTTCAGGAATGCGTTTTCATTCTTGCATTATCAAACAAATTACCAAAAATTACATTTTCAATCGCTTTTGTAACTTGAAGTTTTACACAACCAACTTGACTTCCTTGTTAATTAGTTTTGTAAACTTTTGCAGTTAATGCACAGTCTTAGTCGTTTAATTCGTGAACTGCTAAATTTGAACGCATTGTACACCATCTGTGATAAATACTACCACTGAGCCAGTGATAACCTCAGCTTTTGTTAGAAAGCAGATAAAGCATTCAATTTTCGCGGTTCATTTACAGTGTACTTTGTAGATCTACTTTTTTACTTATTCGTGCGTTTTATAAACCATAGATTTGCGTATGATTACCATTTTAAAATCAGAATTGTATTTTTCACTTTTGATAAATTTTTTTTAAACAAAATTTCAAGATGGTAAGAAATACGCCAGTAAGCATTTTCTTGTTTTCTTTTTGTAATAATTTTGTTTGAACAGGTCTAGATATTAAGATTGATTAGAGTAATAGAGTGAATACAGAAATTTTTCTACCAAGCCGATTGTACTGCTAAGTACTCCAAGCATGACTATATTAATGAAAAAATTTTCACAAAATATTTTGATACAACGAATGATGTGTAAAACAAATTGCCATTTAATGTAGACGTTAGTATGAAATCTGTGATGAAACAAAATTTTGCCTACCATTTGTACTGTTACTAATAAATTGTTGATCTTTTTCAGAACAATTGTTCTTCATTTTTCGATCCCTTAAGAATGAATATAATACAAAAATTTTCATAAATCCTTACAGTTTAGACTGAAATAACATTCAAAGTTAGGGTATAAAATGTTTATTCACAATAGTTATAGTGATCTTCACATTTGAAATCATAATCTTTGGATTACGGCTTACAGGCGAGAAATAAATATCTTGAGTCACATCTAAATGATATTGAAAATGTTGATGTTACAATAGTACCATAACACGTGCCAAAATAAAAAAATTATTTCTCGATGATTCGCTCTCGGAATTCTAAGGAACAATCGTCATAATACAAATGTCGCAACTTACGATTACGCAACAGAGCAGAACAGTGATCCAAAGTATTTTCAACAAATTTTTTTTATCTCAATAATACTAGAACACACGTCTGCTAGTTTCATTTTTACACTACAAAAACTTTTTCGTTGACATGGAACACGTACTTTATAAAAAAAAAATTGAATACATCTGCTTTAATACTCTATTTGTAATTATTAACACTTTCAAAAATACATCCGCTTGGGAAAATGTAGACCAAATCAAACCAGTTGCTATATCCCGAGGATATTGTTATCCCCTACCTTCACAACGGAGAAAAAGTATTTTGGATAACGGTTTTCAATCAATGTTTGCTCATACACAGTATAACTATCGCGTTACGCGCTCGGAATGGGAATAATACCTTTGACGGTAATAATACTACTTACCTATGCAGTTCCTCAAAACGCCAGAGTCGAGTGAGCAATAGCACACATTTGTAGGTACTTACAAACACAGTGACATATTTACATGCAAAATGGTCATTCATGCAGGATATACACTTATACCGATCCTCCATAGCGAGTGATCGGCAACGTCATAGCACACACACACACGCAAACTTCGTATATCTGCGACCAGGCTCGCAAAACTCGTTTTTCATCCTATCTAGTTGTATTAAAATCGTACAACTGCCCACGGGGCGAATATCAATTAAGCCTCAAACAACAACGACGGCGGTGCCGGCGACAAGTAGCATCGCCTCACCATCACGATCACACCGACGCGTTTAGCTCGTCCTTGGTTCTGCAGGTCCCAGCAGCTACGGAGGCAGCGGTGACCTTTTCCACGGCGTACTTGGTGGCGCGTCTGCGGTCAAACACCCGGTCCCTGAATCCGGCCAGCAGACACAGCACGCAGTGCGCGAGCACGAGGAAGCTCAAGCCCGCGGCGCACACGACGAGCGTCCGGCCCGGCTTTTCCCAGTCGAGTATGTTGTAAATACGGTGCTCGCCGCGCTTGTCCAGCCCACCGGCGGCGTAGTACGCCACACTGAAAAGCAGGTACAAGCTGACGAAGAGCGGGCACCACCAGAAGCAGCGCAGCTCGAGCGGTACCCCGGCGACACCTAGATCTACGAGCATGAGCAGGCTGTTGCTCACGTGGATCATCAGGTTGAGCGCGTCGACCTTGTGGTAGCGGGGATCGTGCACGAGGGCCCAGTAGATGGCCGTCACCCCGATGGCGAGACTCGACGTTACCACGTACAGAAACCAGTAGATCTTTTCTAGTTTGCCGTAGGTTAGGTTGGAGGGATCGAAGCCACTTGCGGCGTTCTTGCAGCGGTGCTGTTGTCGCCAGCGCCGGCTGACGATGACGCAGGCCAAGAGGGCCTGGAGGAGGCCCAAGCTGATGTCCCAGTTGGTCAAATAGATCGGCCATTTTTCGGGGAGACCCAGAGGACTGACGCTCCCGATCTCGAAGACCGAGCAGACCACCACGACCAGCCACAGCCCGAATATCAGCCAGCGGTACAGCAGGTACCACAACTCGAGCCTGTCCTGGCACTTGGGCTCGCTGAAGCACCGGCCGGCCGGCGGCTCGAACTTCCTACTGGCGTCGAACCATCTTCGGCCTAGATCGCGGAACCACAGCTTTTTCACCATCGCTCGTCTACCTGCAACACGTGTGTCGAATGTTCAAGAAATGTCAAAGAAAATTTGCCGAATTTTTTTTTCTTTTCTACAGTCAATAGTTTATATTATGTCGGGCTTTTCCCGGTATATATCGTTCAGGGCGCGTCGATATAAGTTGTAAATCAAAGTCAGGTAGAACAGTAAATACGTTAAGTATTTTTTTTTTTTTTTTTTTTTTTTTTGTAAATTGTCTATTAATTCAAGATTTTTTGGTAATCAATCAAACAAGTAATCGTTACAAAGTTGGTGAAAAAATACGCCGCTGAATTTTATTTTACTTGTCAGTTTGTCAGTGCAAGTCGCAAAAAGTTCGATTCTTCTCAATATTTTTTACATCTTAACTTACACGTTAGTCTCGTTCCACTTTCGGTCTCATGTAGATGTAATCCAATTTAAGGAATCATCCAATGAAATAATACAGTTTAAAACCGAGGGTTCGAGGAATAAGGTTCAGTGGCGTGTATACAACACAATTTTATTTTTTGCTAATCAATAGGCTTAGTGGAAACAATATAAGGTTTCGACATACCTAGTCCCCAACGCATCGTTGACTCCTATATTTAGATTTATCAAGAATAATAATGCCAAAGCGAATTAGTCGATCGGTGAGCTTGCGAGGATTTAAAATACGCAAAAAAAAGGCTTATCTTTTAAAGAATAATTACTTGAATGTATTGCACGGAGAGTCTATGTATAACGCGATGGTTTATAACATTATTACACTCCACGCGCGTCGTACTGCGGCTTTTTATTCGCTACTTCTGAATTTGTTCAGCGATAAATTAATGTTCTCTACGTGATTGTGTTCGACATCGTGTCTCTTGGGTACGTGGTTCGAGTGAAAGTAGGAGAGTGTTGCGAGTTTTTTTTTTGCTCCTTATCACAAAAATCTCAAGAGTATGTTAGTTAAAAAAACTGTTCCGAAGCGTATAATAGTAAAATTTATTATCGCCAACTAATTATTCCCAACGGAAATACCAGAGTCTGCTCAAAATCACTTTCCATTCTTTCTTCACTTATCATTTTTCGTGTAATCATGATTTGTCAAATTTCAAATATCTTTCGTGGATCTAAAAATAATTACATACAGCTCGAAGCCTTCTACTAATTATACTGGCTGGACACTTGGCACGACTAATAAATGCACCTGTGATAATAAAAAATTGTTACATTAAAAAGACATCAATCAATCAACCAAGATAAGAAAACAGCGTCCTCGTTTTAAGCAGTTTTTGGTTCACTTGCAAGTGCATTCATATGCAAATATTGATACAATACATTCAATGCATTTAAAAAAAAACGTCACAAAAAGTAATTTGTTACTCAGGAATGATGGACTCAAGTAAAACGTGGCCCTAATTTCCCAGGACATTTCGACGTTAAACCTTACGTGTGGTAATGTTAGTTGAAATGGTAATTGCTAGCGCTAATTCAGCACATTACCATAAAATTACGCGTCAAAGTAGCGCACTCGGTACCAGTGAATACGATTCGTCGACAGCAAAGTAGTTTGCATAAACTCAGCTGGTAATAACCGCATAACTTTTTTCCGTAATCTGCAATCAATTGTAATTATTAATACACACAAGACTGTGCATTTCAATCAAATGAATTAAATTGAGCAGTGTACGATAGGACGAGCACCAATTAAACAAATACTGCACTGGTAACTTCATTACCTGGATTACTTTGGCAAACGCTCGTTCGAACGGTTTTATGCGAGTATACTGATCCAATTGTTATTTATTTTTCTATATATTAACTACCGCTGGAGTGATTTGAAGCGTATATATTATATTTACCGCAGCGTATGTATAATTTATTTACAAAAATTATTTATAAATTTTTTTTTTCTTACTCTTGAAATCGATAAAATATTACACGGTGTGTGTAATGTACACTTTTTCGAAGAAAGAACGTTTCCGTGTAAAATCACTGGCGGAACCAGGAAAACAGAGAGGAAGTTCAATGCGAGAGCACCTATCGTCCAGTTTACATAAGTTTGGTTCTTAAAACACGACGGGGAAACCCGACGAATATGACAAATTCCATAAAAAAAGTCATCGGTTGTACGATTTTGCATGAAAAATGTAAATTTGGTTTCATGTACGATCTCGGAACTCATCTTATTATATTGTGATTTATAACAAAAGTCGTGGTCACTCTAAAAGGCCGATGAGTTGAAAAATGTTATGCTCTGATCAAAAGATTCATCAATATTTATTCCTTAAATACACGAATTTTTATATGTTTCGGCCGTACATAGATCGTAACTTTTGTTCCCGACACTAAGTATACAAATAGACGTTACTTATCAAATTGATAATGCTAATTCGAAAGTTCGATATGCTGCCACATATTTTCTCCGTACTTTCTTGACTTTAAAAAAAGCTTGTATCGATGGTAGTAACATTTTGAACTAGTTCATAACCTTTTTTTTTTTAATTTGAAAAATCGACCGATTAATTTAAGTAGTTCTCTACGTTTTTTCAAAAGCTAGATAAAAAAAAGCACCGAAGAAATTGTACGATAAGAAAAAATGAAACAATAACGCACAACTCATCTGATAACTGGCCTGGTTCACTAAATTTTAACAAAAATTCGTGTACTTGAAACTAAAACGTACCTAGACTGACCTAGATTGCATTAAACTTTCATGCTGTTGTTCAACCAAACAATTATTTCCGAGATTATTTAAAAATGTTCATTGCGCACTTGAAGAACACGTTTTAGTTTCTGAGCAGCTTTTGCTGGTAATAAATACAGTGAAAAAAAAGAATCAATTTTTTTCTAAACATTTAAAATGTATTTTTTACACTTTTATTTAATAATCGTTGGAATCATTGAAGTCTATGTAAATCTCCTGCCAACTTTGCAGGGTGACCAAGATTTGTTTTATTTGCCTCAATTTACAACGAAGACCCGAAGATGCACTGGACTTTGAATATAAATTTCGTGGAATCGAGCATACACGCGTGATCATTTCGACAAAAAAGTGCATCATCAGAGTATGGTCACCAGACAGAGAGAAAGTAAACACACAAAATTTATCCCCCCGATTTTTACTTATAACAACAATGATTCCTCGAGAGCCGGACGAACGTTGACGCAATCTCGTGCGCGTTATGTATACAAAAACACTCGTCTGGAACTCTGGGAATCGCAAGATTGTAAAAATGTCATAACGCAACGCATCGGAGATAATCATCGGTGCACCTCATCGGCAATCAACGAATGGGTTGAAAAAAAAAAAAAAAAAAAATCAATAAATAATTGTCCCGCACACCGAAATTGCACGCACAATTTGTTATGGTACTTCGCCACGGGGACGCGTTCGCGGCACGAAAAGACACTTGACTGCAACAGCTGCGCCGTGCGGCATATATGTACTTATTGTACAAAAGTTTTGCGCTGCACTGCGTCGCTTCCGAAAAGAAAAGACCGATATGATGCTTTAATGTTGCAGGTTGGGTTGTGCGGTGCACGAACGGTTGTGGTGGTGGAGGCGGCGGCGGCGGTGCACACACACACATCGAGAGATTCCGGTCCGACAGTCCGAAATTTCGGAGCACGCGCACACAGTGTATATAAGTATATAGTATACACAAATTAAACATTTACAAATGCGAGGAGGCCCGCGTGTACAACCTTTGTCTCTCCGTGTGTATGCATACACGCTCCCGTACACATGTACATTTTCTTTTTCTTTCACTATAATACATACACAGGTGCATCTCTCTTTCTCTCTCTCTCTCTCTCTTAGTTTGTGGGGAAATTTGGAAAATCATAAATTGCATAAAGGTATAACTCATTTATTACTAGCTTCTTAGGAGAGGGCCGCGCGTGTGCGCACGCAGCTGATGGGCTGAAAAAGCCCTCTCTCTCCGTTTCGCTCCCTTTTTTGTTTTATTTTTCATGTGCAATATATGTATATACCTTAATCCTTTATATATTCTTTGGTCTCTTTCTCTTCGGAGTCACCGTCACAAGGAAAATTTAACACACAAACAATTTAACGTGAATACTTATTCTGTAAAGCCTTTTTTTTTTTTTTTTTTTTTCTCACGGCACCGACAATTGAGCGTCGTGTATATATTAAGAACGAAATCAAGTTACGCCCAATTGCTTCNAAAAAAAAAAAAAAAAAAAAAAAAAATCAATAAATAAATAACCGTTGACAACTAATAAGCACAAAAATATATATATATACCTGTCGCCCTTTATTAAAGTATATCCAGTCGTGGATGAACAAATATCCGTCGTCGCAGCTGCTGTTTTATAATATACACTTGTTTGTAAAAAAATGATAGACGAATCGAGTAAAAATGGCGAGTGTGCCCAAGTTAAATTCGAAGCACGAAATGAATCGAGTAAACGCACAGTGCAGGATCGAGCAGCTCGAAGAGAGAGCCTTTTTACACACCCATGTGGGAGCCGCGATTGACTGACTGAAACGGGCCGCGCCGCGCGGCTGCGAAGTGAATGGTGCGAGGAGCACATTGCCGATTGCTGCAGTGTATAATATATTGCTATACTTATGTATATAGGTATATGTCGTGTGAGGTGAGAGGATGAGAGAACTTGTCGACTTATTGAGGAGAGCAGGTTCAGACATATTATCCTCCCGCTCCAAAACCACTCGTTCCCCTTTCCTCGCTCGCATATTCATTTTTCGCTCAATGCGTCATCGGATAATCGCGTGTTTCTACGATTCCTAAAATGCAAGTGATGGCGGGAATGTCCCAACCCCGAACACTTCTTATCACTATTTTTAGATGGAAAATCAGTGCATGACTTGAGTTCATAATTATAGGTACTTATGTACGTTTTTAGAAAAGTACAAACTTCTTTATTATTATTTAACGATTCTAAAACTATAGTGCTTCATGTTGGGGGCACATACAATGCTTCTCAAATTCGTGAGAAATCATGCGATGCATTAAACATTTATGAATTATTTGTTTCAAATACTTCAATACTTATGTTCCGAATACTCGAGAAACTACGACACTGCATTTTATAATTAAATATTTAGAAAACGTATTCCTTTGTCCGCAAAAGTCGTGAAAACCGTGAAAGCCGAAATCTTTGATAATGCATTTTTCTGACAATTTTGTTGAATTGAAAATCAACATAATTAGATTGTTCAACATTTCTTGGTTCATTTACTTAGTTCTATCTTGTAATTGACAGTGTTTTCCAAACTTTTCGTTAGGAAAAAAGGATATCTGTATCTACAAGTAATTAGGTATATTATGATGTGCGTTTTGCGAGTTTTTGAGCGCTCGACTCGGAGTGATACTTATCTCCTCAAACAGAACTATTGTTATACGTATCAGGCGCCAAAAAATTTGAAGTGGCTCAGCGTCTTTTTTTTGGAGGTGTAAAAGTTTAAATATTGGATTTTCTTAAAAACAGAATTGTGTATTGGAAAAAGTTCTAAACATCTCGATCCGACCTCATGTAAACTGCATCACGTTCGGATATTATACTATGGAGTAACTTATTATAATAATCATTTTTTTTAGTAAAAATAAATAGCTATAACAATTTAGAGACCTGGTCTGAAACGTATTCAAAGTTTTTCTTGATAAGGTAAACCTATGAGTGCACTATATCTAAGTTTTTCTTGATAAGGTAAACCTATGAGTGCACACTAGATTATACCATTGAATTTTTCAACAAAAGAGGCGATGACGTTTTAAAGACCTTGAAAACATATAAAGATAAGATATATATTTGATAAAACTCCCCTACCTCGACGGTACACTGATGTGTGCAACTATTACGCTTTCAGCTGTGATTAAATAGATTTCGTATTTATTCGCTAATTATAGGTCGACCATTAGTTTTTTCGTTCGAGGAAATGATTATACGCGTAAAGGTTGCGTATGAAAATAAATAGAATTTAAGGTCTTTCAAAATCCAAGAATGAAAGCAAAGAAAATTATTTAGAATTGAATAATACATCATAGAAGAAATCAAGGTTGATGATCTTTGATGATTAACATTATCAAATGATTATGTTGTAAAGTGGTAAACTTTCTTGGGATTTGTGGTTGATTCTATGTTGATAAGGATAAAATCTTGTATAAAAGTTTGGAAATTTTTCTTTTAAGAAACATATAATCGCATATTGTATGGTTCATCGTCTATTTTTTAATAATGTTTTTCATCTCGTTTAATACGTGGCAACCAATTTATTAAAAAATATGATTACCGTTATCACCATAACTATCATGTATACTATGAGTTTAAGTATCGATTGCTGCAAAAATGTACTTATACACCGCACCTAATAAGGTCAGCGACATGAATTCTACCGAAAAAACGATACACCTACATCTGAAATACAATTATTTTCAATATCAGTTTTTAGTTTTAATCGATAAATTTTACACCCCAGTGCAAAAATGACTGTTTTACTTGAAAAAATTGTTTTCTCTCGCGTGAGAGATCGTCGAGAAATTTACTGCAAATTTTAAATTCGATACAAGTAGATCGATAAACATGCAATTATTCCATTAAGACGTATGAAAAGCAATTCAATTTATTGAAAAAGTTTTCCAATAACCCTAAAATTACAACAACAAAAAAACTGGCACAAATCAATTGCAATCCATTCGTAAGAAGACACCGAAAACGGGTAACTTTTTTAATATGTATCACACACCCACACACACAACGGGCAGTGATTGTTCATCGTCTGCTAGCCTCACAGCGCGTCATAGCTGTCAGGAGATTTTCTGCTGACGAGAAAAATTCAAAACGCGCACAGAATGCATGCCCGCGGATCTGGGAAAGAAATGCCTGGGCAGTTTCGACATTTGCAAGCATTCCCCCCCAAAAAAAAAAAAAATGAGCACGTGAGACATTGTTTTCGTAAAAAAAACACTACAAGCGACTACACGAACTATAGGTGTATACTTACCGTCGAAAACGTGACCGAAAATGAATGCAAAAAGTCTGGCCGGAGACGGCCTGCGGAAGGTAAAAACGGCCATCGCGCGACTCGATCCACAGCACCGGCCCCCCTCGTGGATTTATTTATTTTTCGTCATCCATCGGAACTTGACAGCTTCTCTTAACGAATTAATTCACCCATGTATGTATACAATAGCAGCCGAGATTGGTGGTGAAAAAAGGCGCATGCGCGAATTAGAACACACCTTTTACTACCGCGGTAAAATTCGAATGCCACAATGTGGGAGAATCTTGTCTTTTTAGCCAGTGCTATCGAATTATTGAGCCAGCGAAGAGAGAAAAAAAAAAAACGCTGTGCTTGCAATGGAGCGAAAAATGTTGCGTATGTCGATGAGCAACTGCCACGGTGTTCTATACTTATATACTATACTTGTATTACGAAACTTAGCGATGATGGATTAGTATATAAAAATATATCCATACGCATATTTAATTTAAACACGTGCATGTTAACAGTTAACATATATCTTAACAATAAACAATCCGGTCTCTCAGAGTACCCCCGATTTTTTCCTTCGTTCGTGAAATAAGGCTGAAATTTTCCTCATTATTGTGTCCCTTTTACGCGCATCGGAGAAACATGTGACTTTGCTTTTGTTTTACGGAAACTGCGGATGAGACAACTTTTAAATACGAGCCTTCATAGATGACAGTACCCATGTACTGCGCGTGGGAGGTTATTTATAGCGCAAAAACTGCAATTGTTGCGTTACGATCGTGGTGGACTCTCTGTCGGTGCTACCGACGTTTACGGCCAATTTAAATTTATCAATTTTACAACCGTGTGTCGAACGTAAAACATAACGAGATGATTTTTTTTTTTTTTTTCTCCACGATTCATCGGTAAAAACTCTTTTAACCTCGTACGAATTGACAGATATAGGCACGAATACTCGAAAGAAAAAAATAATTCCATAGCTTCAGTATCGTTTGGTCGAAAAATGCACCAACGAGACCTTTTAATTCTCCATGGCTCTCTCTCGAAGAGTCCATACCGATTGATTTAAACGCCCGTACGAAGTGTCCCTAATTGCGTTCTGGTTAGTGCTCATTAAAATTTCATAAAGCATCAGGCCGAGGCGGGATGGAGGTAAGCACTTTTTTTTTTTTTTTTTTTCTCACGGCACCGACAATTGAGCGTCGTGTATATATTAAGAACGAAATCAAGTTACGCCCAATTGCTTCGGGGACATCTTCGCGCCGAACTTGCTTAACGATCGCTCCTATAATATACGTATTTGATGTAACATGACGAATGGTCTTTTGTTTCCATTACTTGTTTTCATTACCGATCATACATTTTTTACTACCTTACAAACAATTGCAGCATAGAAGATCCGATGACAAGTATGCGACTGGAGCAATGGTTGTTCAAAGGCAGCCCGATTAAAATTGACTTTCGGAAAGGGATATCGGTATTGCGCGATGATATCGAAAAGAAATAGGTCCGAAGGATGTACGAATAAGCTGGCCTCGCACGATATTCCATACTCATTGCGTACCGATCAGATGTAACGGTAGAGGCGCGGCGAGGGCCGCGTGTCGAGTGTATACAATATAGAGATCCAGCGTGCAGTGGCGAGAGCGCAAAAGGTCAATACTAATTTAGCGGTAATTTATTATAATCGTGCCCCGTTATTGAAGTCGTTCGTTTGTTCGTTCGTTCTCCATACCGATGCCGAGACTCTTGGAGCTTCTGGTGGGGCCAATCGCTCGGTTGTTCACTTTCTGCATCTTAGGTGCATACGGCGTTGTCGCCTCCATTCACAAATTGTTGCGGAACGAGTCGTATTTTTTTTTTTTTTTTTTCTCGAGGGATTTTACCTTATCTCGTGCTGATGATCGTCTCTGTATATCTTGAGTTCGGGGAAATTATTGATCATCGGTGATACGAGAGGATCCGACGAGCTTTCCACCGAGAAAATTAATCGGAAATGCAAAGTCATTTCGTGAATTACTCATTGCTGCGATAATGATTAATTTTTAATTTACCATAAAATATCATTTGTTTCGTCAGGTATGACAGTAGTAAAATCTTTAATCTGTCGTGAACTAGTTTAACATTAGCAGGCATATTGGCGCTGATGTGTAGAAATAAGAAATTGATTTGAGATGTATCTCAGTTTTTGTAGAAATAAAAAGATATAGTATACCTAGGAACAATAAAAAAAATCAATTTCATTCATTTCCTTACCGATTGGTGTACTTATGGACTCAAAGTGCTTTTACTTGGTTTGTACATACACGTATTTCGAGATAAATATCGAGGATCAACCCCGAGTGTCGTTAGATAACCGATTTTCTTATCTAATATCCGCTTTCCTTGGAAGTATATACATATAAGTACTTTGGATGGATGTAAAATTTTATCAGCTAAAATAAATTACTTGAAAAATAGTGAGATACTGACTTTTCCCACCAGATCATGAGTATGAGATAAAAATTGTTTGAGGTTGAAAAAATGTTAAATTTAAAGCCCTATGTTATAATCTTTGGGACTTCCCCCTTATCACTGTTAAGAGAGTAATATTAAGGTTTGAAAATTTCTTATTTTTAGACATAGGTACGACTATTTTTTTAGGAGCACTGCATGTATTTTCAACATCACGAAAGCGTGTTATGTTTAACAAATTTTGAATGTTACGGTGGTGTGTGTGGAAAAATACGAGAATTCAGATGTAATTACGTTTGAGTTCACGAAGACGTGTATTGGCTACATAAAACATATGGCATCCAAACAGACTTGAATTTTAATGGCAACTTTATTTTGTCATCCAAACAAAAATAATGAAAGTTAAATTTTACTTGTGTGATTTTTATACGAAACTTCGGGTCTATTAACAGATGACGAAAAAATACAACTTGTTTATCAAAGGGAAAGTGGCAAATAAAAAAAAAAATTTAATTTACCTTTCATACTTACACTAATATTTGTAAAAATTACCTGCATGGTTTGAAATTGAAAAATAATTGAAAGTTAATTTTAAAAAAAATTAAATTGTCGCTATAACTTATGTAATTGATACTTTACGGGTGAACGTACACGATTAAAAAAAAAAAAAATTGTGTATCGCAATGATTTAATTAAGAAATTGGAATTCTAGAATCAAGTATTCAAAAAGTTCAAAATCTCAATACTTAATATTTTCAACGCTTTTAATTTGACCTAAGCGATAAATCGTACTGAAACTAACTTTCGAAAGCGAAACACACAAAAAAAAAAAAAAAAAAAAAAAAAAACTAAGAAAATGTGTTTTTCGGTGGTAACAATAAAAGTTGACATTAAAGGTACTTGTATAGTCAAAAAAAAATACAACCTTGAAACTAATTTGATTCGTACGTTTTTTTGTATTTACAAATACGTTTTGTTCTCCTTACATGGAAATAGTATACTTGTTATCTCTAATTTGTTTGTTGTGTACGAATTTAATAAAATCTTTATTAAAAATTCTGAAAATTTGTCAATTCACCCGAGTGTGTTGAAACAAACATTTCAAATTCACTTTTCACCTGTTTCGTAATCACGTAAATTTACCATTATTCACAAAAAATCTTTTTAAAAAAATTCTAAATTACTTGTTTCCCTTTAGTGAATAAAATACTATCACAGAGGAGTCAACCAGACCATCACATTAATAATTTGTGTGATTTTTTAACACAATGACAATCGGTTGAATATTTCACGAGGTTCGTTGTATACTGTTTCCTGTAATTTTTATATATAACGTAGCGCTAATGCTTATATATATATAGTGACGTACTTCTATACAAATTAAAATTACTCGTACTTAATGCAAACCCGATAAAACTAACCATTAGTTGAGTAAATGTTTTGACGCACTAAATAGCGAGTTTCGTTAATTGCCATTTTTGTTTCCTTGATACTTTGATAATTATTCGTGCAACAAAGTAATGAATAAATTTTATTTCCGCAAAGTGTTTGGAAACAAAAAAAAACAAAAAAAAAAGATTATAATGATCAAACGTTAACACAAGGATAGATCGGTAATCTCATCAAATTTGCTCTGTTTTCTCATACCTCTGTTACATTTTCCGTTTAAAAGATTTCGATCGATTCAGAGATGTACCCGGTAATGGTGTACAAGTGCAAAATTGATCGCTAAATGAAATAAAGACCGAAATAAGTGTCTATATCCCCGCAATTGAGTATATCAAAACACCACGAGGGTGAATCAAAGCCAATCATAATAAAGGCTCGTCTACTTGTATCTCTGTACTATCGAGAGTATAGGTAGATACAACATATATATATATGCACACCCAATATACATATGTTATAGGAAATGTCATCGTATGTTTTGAAAGGAAGTGTATAATGTAGTTGCATTTTATCTCTGGTGTACCCAGACATTCTGTAGTGTGTAAGTACACGTGTGGCGTGATGAATGATTTTCAAACGCGATTTTGAATTTCATGAATTTTTTTATTATTTTTATTTTTTTTCCTCGAACAAGTACACGTAGTCTCTCTGTGCATTTGTTTTGAAGCGTATGAGAATTTTTTTTTTGGATCGCTCACGCTTTCGATTAACATGCATCATTGTTTTTCGACTTATTTAAAAAAACAAAAAAAGTCTCGCTCAAGTGGCTAGGAATTTTTAACGAAATTTCAAAACTTCCTTGTTTTCGTGAACTTGAAATGCCAAATTATCTCTATACGCATCCCCCTACACGAGGAGTATACACACATGATAATATTATTTATCATTTGTAAGTCCTTACGTCATTCTGCAAAGAAAAAAAAAAAACAAAAAACATCCGAGGTAACTTTTGCACGCGGGCACGATTTTACTTTTGTTATCCAATAAATGGTAATTTAACAGTCAAGTATAGGGATAAAATGACAAAGGTAAGTATATATATAATGTATAAGTAAGAACATCGACCGACGTAGATCGTCAGCTGGCCGACCACGTAGGGTATACACGTATGAACCAATACTCATTCGAAACGTTAATTGACGGTGGCACGGCATCGTCCAACAGCTAAAATGTCTCAAATGGCCATGCACGGACGCTTCGTCAAAACTACGCACGAATCCAGAGTTAAGATAAAAAGAGATCGGTCTTATGCTTGTTGCGCAATATACTGTATCTATTATACACTCGACAGGGTTAATACATAAAGGTTCGAAGAAAAACCACCCTCTGTTTCCTGAAACTCGTGTCATGCACGCGATATAAATAAAAATCGGTATAGGACAGCCTATACGGTAAGAGATCGGTAATGACAGAGAGACGCACCGCAGTAGGACGTCGCAGCGCCGATGCCAATGATCTTGGATTTGCCGGAGTCCTGGAGGCAACAACACTCGGCGGTCGTAGTGACCGCGCAGGAGGTGGTACTCGACGAGCTGCACCTGCCCAAGGAGGACGCGGAGGATACCTGATGCTGGGCTGCACCCATTTTTCTCACCCAAAGCTCCCCACGAAGCTTTTTTTTTTTAATCTCCGCGCTCCGAGGTCTCCTCCGACAGCTTCTTACCCGCGAGTATAAATCTCCTCGAGGTTTCTATTTTTTTTTTTTTTTTTTTTTTGTTCCTCGTACAACGTACCCACCACACGCCACCAACACTTTTAGATAATTATATCGTGGGTGTGTGTAATTAATCGGTATTATTACGAGTTACACGTAGGTATATATACCTACTCTGCACGCGGTCTCGAGCCGACTGCGATCGTGCGCGGGGCGCGAGCCTCATCCTCGTGTGTTCTCTCTCACTCTCTCTCTCTCTCTCTCTGTTTGTCACTACATATATACAAGGGGACCGGCGCTTTTCACCCGCCCCGCTGTACTCGACTACATTTATTATTTACATATACTTACATGTAACGACCTTTTTTTTTCCTTTCGTATACGCTTTTATACTTATCTTATAAACAACGTCTGGTCGAACGACACGTGTGCTTCCGTGTATCGATCCCGTGTCGCACGATGTTCGGCTTCGTTTACGACCCTCCCCTAACACTAAACTTGTATGCCGTGCGGTCGACTGCGAGGGAAATTTTTTTTTTTTTTTTTAATGCTTCCATTGGCGTTGTAACAACACGCGTGTTACAGCTGACCGGGAGTATACGTATAACATTCGCGTATTAAGTTTATTTCCGACTTTGGAATTTCCGTGAACGGAGATGCGAAATCCCTGCGATGATGATGACACGACCAAAACCTGGGTATTTTGTACGTTTTTTTTTAATTATACTCCAAGTGGATAAATTGCTTGGGTAAATAGTGTACATCGTTGTATCATCATTATGGAGGATATATATATATACTGTGGGTAGATAAATAAAAACAAGCGCGCGCTCTCCGACACCTGCGCGTTGTAAAGTCACGCGCGGGTGTTCATTTTTTTTTTTTTACCGAATCTTACTTCTAACTGCTAAAAGAAAAAAAGAAAAATAATTTGAAAATCGACGCCAATGAGGAAGTAACGAGTTTTTACGTTGCCTACACGGATCACGCCTCGTTTACTCGAGAAACATAATTGTTTTGAAAAGTGTATCGTGCTTGAAATTATATCCCGTCCATCTCCTCGGTTTGTCGCTCAATCGAGTTTTTACCTCTATTCGTGTACCACATAGGTTCGAGGAAAAGTCTGCGAGTAGCCGATGCGTACAGCCCCGCCCTGTGTAAATCTCAACGTTTAGCGACTCCCTTGATTCGTTGGAACGAATTTCCTCTTTTTTCATTCCAAAACAAAGTGTACCGATGCAGGTGTCGCGTCGGCAACTTCCTCGATTCACCATACAATGGAAGCGAGTCCTAAAAATAGCCGAAAACCGATAAGGCGCTTAATTGCCCGAGTTATCGTGCAACTCCAGGTGTTGTACAACGGGACATGCATTATATACGTGTATCCAACCACGAGCAAGTATATATACACGAAAATCTCTGTACTCTCGGAGCAGGAGGAGAGAGGGAGGCCTTTTTATTTATAAGCTCAAAGCGCCGGGGGCCAAAAATAACACCCCCTTGGCGCGCGCACCCGTGCGTGTATACGTACAGAGAGAGGAAGAAGGGAAGAGCGCGGACAGTAGAGCGTGTGGCACGGGAGAGAGAGATATCGCGGGTGAGAACCGATGGGTTGCTAGTCGTCCGGGTGCGCGTGGAGTTTTTGCGGGTAACATCCTCGGAGGGGAAAAAAAAAAAAAAGAAAAAGTCATGACGGGTGGTGTAGGGCGACCCGGGCACCAGAGTGGAGAGTAGCGTCGAGGCAATGAGGGCTCGGCCGGCGACCGGCTGCCACCGGGGGCGACTCGTCCTGGTCGCGGCCCTGCTCGTCGCTTCTACCGTCGTAGAGACGAAAATCAACGAGGAAAAACTGTGAGTCGTGTGTTTTACACCTACCCCCCCCCCCCCTTCCTCTGCTTGGTTTTACAATTGCACTCACTTTTTTTTTTTTTATTCAACATCAAACCTCGCTAGTGTACCGTACACGTAAACTTGTGTGCGCGTGCGTCTGTTTTTCGGGAGCTATTATTAAAATCAGCCTATACACACATTCCTTCTCGTTTGTTGTTGTGCCGTTGCGTCTCCGCGGTACTTTTTTTTATTTTTTTTTTTTTTTTTTACTTGTCATGTACAAACGACCAAATAACCCCTTGGCTCAATAAGTATATTTGTACCTTTTTTTTTTTTTTTCGATATAAATTGGCTTTTTCCCCCGACTGATCGATTTTCGGGTTGTACGTAAATTGAAAAGAAAAAAATTGATCCATGTATAAATCGTTCGAGTGTACGTACTGATTGGCATAATCGGGGCATAGCGAGATGCTGATTTACGTGCCTGACGGGCCTCGTCGTTAATCACGGGTACGCGCGCGACAAGAGGGTGAAAAATCGCCGTACGTCTCGTCGATTCTCATAACGATTTCCCCCTCACGTCCCGCGTATGATTTCCCGATCAGTCTGTACTGTTATAGTATAATGAGCAAATGGCAATGACAGTGTACGTAATGGGCTCTCGTTTGCAGAGTCGATCGATGGGCCGAGAGCATCGGCAACGAGCTATGGAGATTGGCGGACGCGGTGTCGCAGCCCATAGAGCTGCTCCAAGTGAGTACCGATGTATTTTTTTTTTTTTTTTGTTCGAAATTACCTTATCCCGTTTAATTACACCTCATTGTCCTCGATCGGACGAATCGAGAGCGCTCGTTTGACTTGTTTCGCCTTTGACGTAGATTATATTGTACCCGCGGTGAAGATTTTTTCAATGCCATACACGTCGCGTGTACCCTATAATTGTTGGTAAAAAAAAAAAAAAAAAAAAGATAAACAAACAAATAAATGTGCCATAGCGTTACAAAAAAATGGGGGTCCGTGTGGAGCACAAGTCGGGGGAGGACATAATCCAGAAGATAAGCGAAAACGTTGGCCGGATGCTCAGCCGAAAGATGGACGCGGTGAAGTGCCTGTACAAAGAGGCCGAGAGGGTCTCCGAGACCTGGATGGAGGAGTTTGACTACAATTTCACGTACTACTCGGCCAAGTACAGCAACGCCACGGACGACGGGGTCTTGAAAGTCCCGAACGTACCCTCGAACATGCAACACCTCACCTTTTCGTACCAGTGAGTAGTATACATATGTATATAATACTTATATGGTGCCGAGTCGATCCATCCATTATTGGTTTTGGAATGAAAAGTAAGAAAATTGCTCGCAACAGGCACATGTACGTGGAGCCGGACACGCACTTCAACAACATATCGGTAAACACGAGTTTTTCCTCGGTGCACATACCGACCAACGTGTTCGACAGGCTGCAACGAGTCGGGGAAACGATACTCTGGTCGAAGAGGCTCGACCACGTCTTCAAACACAACTACCGATCGGATCCTGCGCTCATGTGGCAGTACTTTTGCTCGACGACGGGCGTACTTCGCCAATATCCGGCCATGCGGTGGCCGGTTGGGCTGAAAAAGGACGGCCGGGAGCTCACCGATACGTACGACTGCCGCGTAAGGAGCTGGTTCATCGAAGCCTCCACCTGCAGCAAGGACATGGTCATCCTCGTCGACAACAGCGGCAGCATGACCGGCATGAGCAACACCATTGGTATATACATGTACAACCAAGTGGGATAACTCATGACAATCGTTGCGTATGGAGTGCGAAAAAATACAATCATAAATCGGCAAAAAGATCGGTTCGCACATTTCATTCCAATTGCTTCATTGGCTACGAGCACCTGAAGAAAACACAATTCTCAAAACCAAGACAATATATTGTATGTTTACCAAAACAGTAACAACTGAGTATTTTCTCGAAACAAGATGAAATTCTTTCTTGCATGAAGAGAATATTTTCTTGTTGCGAGTCCCCTACGTCTTGTTAAAAAAGTAAGAAAATAATAATAATAATAATAATAATAATAACCTTGTTTCGAGGGATTATCTTAGGCACGTATTATCTTGGTTCGAAGAAATTGTTATTTAGTCGCGAGTTAAAAAAAGCGATACCTCGGTTGGCAATGGAATTTATGTATAGTCAAGCGTTGAGGCGTGGTTGTTAGAGAATAAGCTCTCTGTATGATGCGCGAATGAAATTAAACAGCAAAGGCAACGGTGGCGACGATCCTGTCCACCCTGTCGAACAACGACTTCGTGGCGGTGTTCAACTTCTCGGACACGACGAACCAGGTGGTGCCCTGCTTCCAGGGCAAACTCGTGCAGGCGACCCCGGAGAACATACGGAAATTCAACGTGGAGATCGAGACGATGAAGCCGGAGGGCGTGGCCAACGTGACCGAGGCCTTCCTCAACGCGTTCGCCCTCCTCGACAATTACAGAAACGAGTCGCGCTGCGGCACCAACATGTCCTGCAACCAGCTCATCATGCTCGTCACCGACGGCATCGCGTCAAACATCACCGAGGCTAGTATACGATAAATACATGCACATATATACATACGTATATGTGCACCTTGGCCATTTGTACCTATATAGCTGTGGCAATGTGACGAGCGTGTGTGACGCAGGTGTTCCAAGAGTACAATTGGTTCGACAACGGGACGATACCAGTGCGCGTGTTTACGTACCTGCTGGGCCAGGAGGTGACCAAGGTGCGGGAGATCCAGTGGATGGCCTGTCTGAACAGGGGCTACTACGCGCACATACACACCCAGGCCGAGGTGCCCGAGCAGGTGCTCAAGTACATTCCCGTCGTGGCCAGGCCACTCGTGCTCCACGGCAAGGTACATCCGGTCGTCTGGACCCACGCTTACGTCGACATATCGGTGAGTTGGCGTTTACTTGAAATGTTTTTTTCTTTCGTCTGCGCCTATAATATGTTGTCATTTTTTTCATGCAGAACTAAGAATCAATACCTTAACGATGGCGATTGAGGTGTCACATAATAAATATATATATATATATATATATATTTACAATATGCATTGATGAGTAATGAAGATGATAGTGGATTGTTGAGATTTTATAGTAGATTAAGTAGGATAACAATGTGTTAGGCCATTCGAGCAATTGTAGCTTATAACTCTCGTGTACGTAATAGGTGCTAGAGAAGCGCGGGTAAAATAACTTCCAGCAATCGATCAATCAATCAATCGGTCAGGAGATTCGAATTTCACGTTAATTGGGAACGGGAGACATCACTGCGTCCTGCATTGCATTGTAAAATATTGTACCAGGGTCCCCTCCTTCTTTTTTGTTTTTATTTATCTTTTTGGATTCATACCAAGGGGTTGGGAAAAATAAAAAATTCCCCTTGAAAGTACCATTAATCCCTTGCATTTTTTTATTTTAAGAATATTGTTCACTATATAAATTTCACACCAAATAACGTTTGTTTGATAAATCAACGAAAAAACCTGGCAATACTTGATTTTTATTTGCATCTTCAATAAACATTTTTTCTGATGCATATCGGTGACACTTATTTTGTTTCATTTATTCTACCATTCGCGTCATATAATACTTTATTCTTGCAACTAATATCCTGCAGCTTGAAAAAAAACAAAAGTTCAAATAAATTTACTACACAAGTATAAAAATAGTATATTCAGTGCAGGACTTGCTCGACGCTCGGTCGACAAATTATTTTGTCATTCGTGTATGTTGCTGCAGTTGCGTCGATTTCGAGATTATTTTTTCCCCCTGCTCATTAAATATACTGTTGCAAGTACAAAATTTTTAGTTATAGTCTGTAAAATGAATATTCAGGAGCGTGACATGTGCAAAAAGCATACTAAAACGTGCTGTAAACAGACGGATTTTGCTCACTGATGAATTTTATGTAATTTTTTAACTCACGAGTCAAGCACCAGCGGTGAATTTGTTTCGCCTTTCTTCTTATCAAATTTTTTTTTTTTATTCATGTAGCCATAACGAGAATAAACTTAATTCTGATGCAATCATTGAATAACCAGCATTAAGAAAAAAAAAAAAAAAAAAAAAAAAGAAAGTAAGCCTTGTCAACCTTCTTTTGCATGAAGCGCTCAGAAAACATGTCGCCAATCACGAAAGACAACAAATTCGTGCCCGAGGGCGTGGATATAACGGACGAGGTAATTCAACCATCGTTTGAACTGACCCCTATTACCCCGAAATACATACCACTACAATAATACCACCCTCAAACTTATATCTTTATACACGTTTGTTATACTTTCCAGCACTTAATTTTCATTTTGGTTTCTTCTTTTTTTTTTTTTTTTTTTTTTTTTTTTTTTTTTTTTTTTTTTTTTTTTTTTTTTTTTTTTTTTTTTTTACCCATGTAGGTGTAATGCAGTTGTTGACCCTCTCGCACTTTTGACTGCCAAATACATATCCATAGTATATATCCAACAACATCGAATTATACACGGCCAAACACCATACTTTGCACGTATAATATATACAACACAGAAACGTATCACAAGATAGATAACAATAAAAAAAAAAAAAAAACAGTAAATTAGTTTCCAGTATTTTTTTGTTTGTTTTTTAATAATTTTACATTCCAATATTCACACGATTAATGTTTTGTGTGCACAATTACCCGTAGAATGTGTTGCGCTTCCAGTATTGTGGTACAGCAATTTTTGTGACGATATTTTTTTTTTCACCTGATTTGGCTTCAAACAGCTACCGGTATATACATTTTTTATAGCATGCAGCTGAAGCTAATACCATATAGTTTAATATCGCTGCGATCGGCAAAAATCGGCAGCGAAAAACCTGCTTCTCTGTATTGAAAAAAAAAAAAAAAAATCGTTGAACCACACAGGACGAGATAGAGGTGAAGGACCAGACGACGGGGAACCCGAAGAATTGGTCGGACCGGCTGTTGATAAGCGTGAGCATACCGGTCTTCGATCGCAAGGGTAACGCAGCGAGCGTCAAACGCGCGGCCAATCTACTCGGGGTCGTCGGCACCGACGTCCCCCTCAACGAGATCCGGCGGCTGACATTGCCCTACAAGCTTGGCGTCAACGGTTACGCGTTCATTGTTTCCAACAACGGCTACGTCGTCCTGCATCCGGCCCTCAAGCCCGACTACATGGGCGAACTCAAGCTCAACTTCAACAGTATCGATCTCACCGAGGTCGAGATACTCGACGACGGCAGGGGACCGAGGTTCTTTTTTTTTTTTGTTTTATCATTTCCCCTGAAATCGAGAGGGTTGAATATGTCTTACTTACCGATCCAACATTATTTCTTTGGACCAAAAATCGGTTTTATCCGATTTCAATTACTTTCGTGGGTTTAAATAGTATAAAATTTTAAAAATAACTCGCTCAAAACTATTTTGTAGCTATTAACGGTACATATTATTACGTATATTGTCAAATATCATTACAACTATTCGAAAAATCAGACGCGTTTAAATTTTGTGTTAAGATTTGAAAATTTTCTTGACCTCCATTATTATTAGTAATATTCTCCAAAAAAATCGTGATTATCATCCTATGTATTGATAATGTTGTAAAAGATCGGCGTAAAAACATTCATTTTGAGACGAAATATTTAGCATGATGTATAATAAACCGCATATAATTCGATACCGTGTGACTCTGGTCAACCGAGAGCTACGGTGCGTAATTTCATGTTTATGTGTGTACACGCGACAACAATAGAGAGCCCGGGGACGAGATAACGGAAATACGCCGGGCCCTGGTGAACCACGAGTGCGGCTCCAAGTTGGGCGTCAAAGTGAAACTGCACTACGACGACTCCCGGCGCGTCAATCTCGAGAGCCGCGATTACTACTACGCCCCGTTGCCGCTGACGCCCTTCGGCATCGCCGTTGTTTTGCCCCAGTACGGCAGATACTACATCAAGGTTGGACCAATTGATTATTATTATTTTTCCTTCTTCTTTTTGGCAAGTAACAACGTTGTTGTGTAGGTGAACAAGGAAATCGAGAAGCACAGAAACCGCAACATCTCGGACTACTTTGTCGGGGACAACTGGGGCATCCATCCGCAATGGGTGTACTGTCGGTACCACTACCTCGAGGTATAATAAAAACGAGTGATTATTTATTTTTTTTTTGGCACTAAATAACTAACGATTTTATACCAATCGTAAGGGCCACGAGTTTGACACGCCCGAGGACGAGCTTCGGCACTTTCTCGCGGTGATCGGTAACTTTTCGATGAGCGACGCCGAGCGTTTCCCCGAGCAGTACAAGGCCTACTCCTTCGACGTAAGTGTTGTTTCACCCTCAGTTGGACCGTTCAGTACTTGAAGGGTAAAGTAATGAAAAAAAAAAAAAAAAAAAAAAAACAATTGTCCATCAGCAGAACAGCGGTGGAGGCAGAGCGACGGACGAGCCGGGCAAATCGTGCGCCAACGCGTACTTCGACCAACTGGGCTCGGACGAGTACGAGCCAGACTGCGGCAGCGACAACCTCGAGGAGGAGCAGGAGGACTACAAGCGCCACCAAAACGACCACTACTGCAACAAGGAGCTGATGGAGCTCCTCATAATGGACGCTTACGCGACCAACGACAGCTTCAACGGTGAATTCAGTGGGAGGAGGCGCGACGACCGGAGCCTCATAGCCGACTACGAGGTGTTTATCCGGTTCATCGCCACCCAGAGCGGACTCACCAGGTGGCAGAGGATACGGGACTCGACGGCCGAGAGGATCGACGAGAGGATACGCGAGTTTACCAGCCACAGGAGAGCGCTCGACGAGCCCTGGTACAAGGGTGCCATTTTGCGGAACGAGATAGACCCCGAGAGCATATCCATAACCGGTAGGTACACCCATCTTATTTTGGTCGGAGTCAAACCAAACTTTACTCCACAGTGCCGCCGATCAAGGATACGGAATCCGGTTGTAACGCGACGGTTACGATATCACTGGGTATATTTCCGCGCGACGCGGGCATGAGGGCAGCCGCGGGGGTGTTGGGCATGCAGTTGCCGATGAACGCCTTGTTCAGGCGGTTCATGGCCATCGTCAGCGAAAAGGTGCCCATACCCGGTATGGATTGTAACAGCAACGTCGTCGATTGTTACCTGATCGATCAAAACGGCTACATCATCGTGTCGGAGGCCCACGACCACGACGCCGGTAAATTTTTCGGCTCGTTGGACCAGACGGCGCCCATCATGCGGGCCCTCGTCAACGAGGGCGTCTATCAGGCCGTTGACATTTACGACTACCTGGCCGTTTGCACCGACATCGTGAGTTGTCTTTTGGATTTTTTGGTCTTCGAAAAAAGGCTTTTTAGATTTGTGTGACGCTTTACTCGCTCGAAGATGAAAATTCTTCTTTTTTTTTTTTTTTTTTTTTTTTTTCGTTTCAATCTCATGTACGTACTAAAGTGGGCACGGATACTCTTACAATTGTTTTAGAAACGCTATACACATATACTCCGCAGCGCGTGTGTTAAACGACCCCCTCGTCTGTTTTAAAAAAAAAAAAAAAAACCACATACAATACAATACTTTTCGTTTTAACCATCTATTTTCTGGATTCAAAAAAAAACAAAAAAAAAACAGCAATTCGAGAGCGAGGCCAACGGGCTGTTGAAAACCCCGTTCGTGTGGGCTTGGAAGCTCGCCAGTTGGTTCTTGGCGAGGTTGATCCTGTTCGCCGGCGACTTGTACGACTTGCCGGCGATTTTGGCGCAAGAAGAGCCGGAGGAGGAGCCCGACCTGTACGCCGACTACGTCGACAGCGAGGAGGTCGACTTCAAGAAGCCACCGAAGCTGCTGAAGAAGCGCTACCGGCGGCCCTGCGACATGAAAATGACCCTGTACATATTCAACGAGACCAACGTCAACAGGGTCTTCCACAACCGGCCCGACAGTTGCGCCCTGCCCTTTTACGCCCAAAGGGTGAGTCGACCCCCCCAACAACCCTCCGTTGTATATATAACCGCGCGGTCGTTTTTCCAGGTGCCGCACACGAATTTACTGCTGATTGTCGTGAAGACAGACCGGAGCAGTTGCTACGATAGGATGGACGTGCTGCCGTATGAGATATTCCCGTACACGGCGGACAGCGAGAACGCGACCGAGTGGCCCTGCCACAAAATTCCACTGAACGATCTGTTCAGGAGAAGACTGGAGCACTGTTTCACGCATCACGAGGACGAAAACGAGATCGAGACTTGCGGTGGCCAAAACGGCCTCGGGCCCACCGCTTTTCTCATTCTCGCCGCTCTAATCGGATCGTTGCTGCTACTGTCTAGCTGATCCTCGTCGTCACGCGAGAGTTTACCATTTTTTTTTTTTCCTTTTTTTTTTTTTTTTTATTCCATTACTGTTACAATATATTACACTTAAGTAAGTACACTTTCGCACTTTTATCTAAAGATCCGGCACGCGTGTGTCAACGTATTGAAAAAATATTTTATTCAAAACCGTTATTTTCTCGAGCAAGTAAGTATTTACATATGCATTTTGTTTGATCAAATCTAACGGCACACGTGCCAATACAATGTTTACGACCAGTTGTCAACTCAGAGGTTTATCCGTATACATTTTTACTTTGCACACTTGTGTAACGCATTATAATGTACTTATCTGGAAACGGCATTTGTTTTTCTCATATATATATATACACGTATGGACTTGTATTAATGTTATTTGTACCATTGTTTATTGTTGTATGCGCCAAAGAGATTTATCGAATATGTTTACTGAGAGAGAGAAAAAAAAAAGGAGGAAATAAATGAAAACCAAGTTTAAAAAACACCAGTGTCGTCAATGCGTGGTTGTCAATGAAACAAGGCACTCCCCTCGCCCCCCATGGAAGTAAAAATAAAAATAACCAGCTGTCCCCAACGAGCCCCTCGCTTCGCCTCGGATCAACAACCTCCCGGCGTGTAATGCACCCACATGCGTATACCGATTATCGAGTCAGACGATATATTATATATGTCTCTGTCTGTGCATCACCAAAAAACGTGATGGCCCGAGAGCGCGCAAACTCCTCATCCGTATAGGTATGGTTGGTGTTGAAAAGAAAGCTGTGCGTAAGTAAGCATATGTAGGGAAAAAGGAACGTGCGCGACGTCAACACGAGTTGGAGGAGTAGGGCAGGCCCGTGATCAATAACGGCGGGCAAGCGCGCTCGGTGCGACGGTAGTTCCGGAGGAGGAATAGCAGTGGCGCCCGACGCGAGCGTGCAAGAGGAGCCCAAGAACAACGTGGAGGTGGTGGTGGTGGTCGGAGTGCCAGCGGCGTCGGGGAACAAGGGCAAAGGTGGATGCTGTGCACTCGGGTTCTTTGGGGGGGGGAGCCTCGATCGTCATCCTAGTCCGTAGCGACGTTGGCTATGGGGAGCAGTGGTACGAGCGGGATGGCTCTTTGCCTCCTGGTGGTGCTCGCGGCCGAGCTGGTGACGCGGGTACCCGCGCAGAACGAGGACAACATCTCCATCAAGACGTGAGTCTAGTGCTCCTTTTACCCCCCCCCCCTTACCCTGATGTACACCGATGTATTATACTGCCATCGTGTGTCACGCGCTACCCGATGCCATGTGCTGCGTCGGACATGGCCAACGGAGGGACGTTATTTTTTATTTTTTTTATTATTGACCGTGAAATTTCATAAATGAAATGGATACGTCGAGTGACTTTTTACTGATTGTCCGATGATGGGTGAACTTTTATTGGTGAACCAGCGCGCGCTCTATACAAACCTGTTTACGGTGTGTATAGGTACTTTATTGTATATTGCTCGGTGACGTTCAAGAGTGGAATCGTCCGGATCTCTTTTTTTTTTTTTCATATGGCACAATAAAATTGAGATCCGCATACAAATGAGATAACACGAGATAATAAAGAGGTGCTACTTGGCTCGAATTTCCTTTCGAGGATCGAAAAAAGTCACGGATGGGCTAAGGGAAAATTCATCGTGTGATCGATTTCATGGGGTAAGGGTACATATATTATATACATCGGAGCTGCATGCAGCGATGGCATGCGTCGCGTTGTACATGGTCCTAATACACATGTGTTACATATATACCTATAGGTACTGCCCAGAGAGAGAAAGAGAGATAGGCAAATGTAGGTCTTTGTGTTACCGGGACTTTGCGTGCAAGGATTATAGCGCTATACACATATACTCCGCAGCGCGTGTGTTATACGACACCCTCGTCTCTTTTCACCCCCCGATGTGTTGCTTGCTGTACCTATATGTATGCATGTGTATACGCGTTGTCGCAGCTGATGTACTTTTGAGTGTTTAGATTTGTCGTCCCGCTGTTCCTTTTTTTTTTTTTTTTCTTTTTTTTTCCTCACCGCGTTACATTTCAAAAATTTTCTCTTACTTGAATTTTATCGAAGAAATCGGCAGTACTTTACGTTTAAATATAGTATTGAAACTTTTGAGCAAAAGCGAGTAAAATCAAACGACTGCATTGATGTTCAAGAAAAAAAAAATTCCAAGTAAAAGTCTTAGTGCAAACACGTGGCTACCACAATGTATAAATAATGCGTGGAGGCACAAAAGCATGGCTATTGTGTATCGTTTAAATTGCACCCAAAAATTTTCATTTGAATTTCACAACTGTAAGTTAAGTAGCAGCGCAGATTGAAAAATAAAAAATAAAATACTTCTTATTGCTAAGTAAGATGATGGGGGGGGGGTTGCAATTCACTTATACATTAAATTTTAATATACGAAGCAAAACAAAGCCGATCTGAATTTAAAACCATTTCATTGGTAAACTAGAATTAATCGTGTACAATTTACGAAAAGGTAAAGCTTGACGCACTGGGAAGCAATTATTTCAGAGCCAACAACGTGTTGGGGGGGGGGGAAATTGGTTTAACGACGCGAATCATAAAACAAGTAGTCCTCGTTTGAGAGCGTCCCGGTTTTTCCCATGAAAAATCGTCGCTCGCTACATGTAATATACACGTATATATTACAATATACGCATATACACAACACAACCGAAACAACAATAAAGCTCTTTTAAACGACGAAAATTAAAGAGCCGAGTACCGCCGTGCACGCGCTAAAATAAACGCGGATAAAATCTTCATTAGACCTCTGACCCCGATTTTTCGAGCACCCAATGACGTATATATTTTTTCCTTTTCCCATGAATGGAAGCGTGAAAACGTGGTCGGAAAAACTGGGCTTCGAGCTGCAGCAGCTCGGCAAGTACGTCACGCAGATCGACAAGTTCCACGAGAACTACAAAGACGTGGAAATAAAGCTGATAGTCGGCAAGAGCCTGGTCGAGACGATAGCCAGCCACATCGAGGTGATGATGAGGTCGAAGGTGGACGCGATCCAGCGCATAATGGATGTGGCCGAGTCCTCGGCCCTCGCGTCCTCGCTGATCGAGAGCGAGCGCGAGCAGCCCATTGACGAGAGCTACACGTACAAGGACGCGAAGAACTACTCGCAAGTGACGACGAGCTACAGCGAGCACTTTGGCGGCGACGTCAATCTCAATTACTCGGCGGTCCACGTGCCCACTACAGTCTACGGCCGAGCCAAGGAGACCCTACGGGCCATCAGGTGGTCCGAGGAGCTCGACAACACCTTCAAGTACAACTACAAACAGGACCCGTCCCTCTCCTGGCAGTACTTTGGCAGCTCGACCGGTTTCATGCGGCACTACCCGGCCCTGCACTGGAAGCCCAACGGCAGCAATCCCCACGACCCGGATCTCTTCGACTGCCGGACACGGAGCTGGTACATCGAGGCTGCCAACAGTCCCAAAGACGTTCTCATCCTCGTCGACACTTCGGGCAGCATGACCGGCATGCGCAAGGAGATTGCCCGGCACGTCGTCAACAACATACTCGACACCCTCGGCAACAACGACTACGTCAACATCGTCAAGTTTTCCAACATCACCGAGCAGGTGCGTTATCCAATGTACATATATTTGTACCCCCATGTAAAACAAACAAACAAATAGGTGCGTATATATTTATACTTTGGATCGGTTGGGCAGGCGGTGCCTTGTTTCGAGGACAGCCTGGTCCAGGCCAACCTGGCTAACATCCGGGAGCTGAAGATCGGTATAGCGGAGATGAACACCGAGAGGATAGCCAACTTCTCGATGATCCTCACGTACGCGTTCGAGCTGCTCCAGGAGTTCAGGGAGACGCGCCGGGGTGCTTGTTGTAACCAGGCCATCATGCTCGTCACGGACGGGGTGCCGGACAATTACAAGGAGATCTTTCAGCGCTTCAATTGGGCCGACAGTCCAGAGAACCCGGACAGGGCGGACATGCCGGTGCGGATATTCACGTATCTCATCGGCAGGGAGGTCGCCGACGTCAGGGACTCGAGGTGGATGGCCTGCGCTAATCGCGGCTACTTTGTCCACCTGTCGACCCTCGCCGAGGTCAGGGAACAGGTTGGTACCATCAAAAGAATAGGCACAAGTACGAACGGGTGGCAGTGTTGCATATGGCCGTGATTATCGTGTGGATAGGTCTTGAATTACATATCGGTGATGGCTCGGCCCCTGGTGCTCAACCTGACGACCCACCCGACAGTGTGGACGCCGGTTTACGCGGACATTGCCGATCCGAAGATCACAGACTGGCTCTGGGACAAGAAGGAGCGCAACGACCAGAAGGAGCGCTACTGGATCTACCGCAGGAACAAGAAGCTCAGGAACCTGCCCAAGGAGCTCGAGCAGTACGTCAAGAGGACCAAGAAGAATCCCAACCTCGCCGGTGACATGTACAAGTACCGGCTCATGACGTCGGTCAGTATGCCGGTCTTCGATCGGCGCGAGAACGCGGTGAGTCTTCCGTCTCGACATGACGATTTTCAGATACGATTCAATCTGTTGAAAGAATTTTGGCCTTTACCCACTAAATACCCATCCTTTTCTATAATGTAAACAAAAAAAGTGGTTTTTAACAATCCATCATTCATCTGCATTCTCATGAAATTCGTATGGTAATGTTGGAAGAAGTAATGCGTGTGTGCGCAGACGCAGGGATGATGTATAGAATACATGAGCAAGTGCATATAACATAATGATATACTTAAATAATGAACCTAAATATGTGAGGTATATATATTTACTATATGTGCCAGCGGGTCGTTTCAACTCCGTAATTATGTCCGCAGAACATCACAGAATGGGTGCTGATCAAAAACGCCTACTGGGTTACAGAGACGAGAGAGGTTGGCAGACAAAAAGCAAATGCTAACGCAACAAGTTGATTTCGATTCCATAAATACATACGTATATGTATACATAGAGCTCCCCAGTATTTTGTTCTTTTTTTGCCCTTTCATATACGTTATTATCATATACACTGTATAGCTATATCTTATACATAAACACACTTAGCTTCGCACTTATTACTCTTTTACTTGCTTCGAATTTTCATCGATTATATTATCTGCTGCCGCTTCTTCTTTTTCTACTTTTATCATTAGGCGAAATTCGAAGGGAGAACGAAAGATTCGAGTGCGAAGAACATAATATACTATATATTTATAGGCGTAGTTACAATTTATACACTAGGCCCACGCTCACACGTCTCTTTTCTTTTTAAAACTCTTTCTTATATACATAATTTTAGTCTGTTATACATATATTTCAGGACGTATATACGTATATAGTTTTGTTTAGGAATAACCAATTTATCACTAGTTCAACCCTCCAGTTTCTTGCGAGTAGAATGAACAAAGTGCTATTTGTTTTTTTTTTTTTTTTTTTAAAAAAAAAAAAAAAAAAAAAAAAAAAGTTTAAAACGTGTTACTGATAAATACACGTTTGTATCCAGATACTATGACTGCAACATTTTTTAGATAAAAGTATAGCATTGACGTAGAAATTTACGAACCATTACGATTGAAATACAGAGACCGAAGTTAAATATACAATTATTTATAGGTGTAGTATGCCATCGACCGAATAACGCGAAAACAATAGCTCGAACTTTGTATGCGTAATGTTTCGTAAATAAAACACAATATAAATATGCTACATTATACCAATATAAATTGTGGTGTAGAAACATAATACTTTATAGCTTAGTTTCAATCGTATATATTATATTATACATCTTACAAGAGAAAAGTTTTTTTAATCCTCATATTTATTGCTATTTTTTTTCTCCTTATTGTTTTTTTTTTTTTTTTTATAATAGTAGATCTTACTTGCGTAACATATTATAGTTAATCATGCATTATTATTATTATTATGTACTTTTGACAAAATAAAGGCGCCCATTCGGACGTCGTCATTTTATTAATGAGCCGTAATCATATAGATCTAATAAATTATATAGATAATTAATATTATCGCAATAGTAATCGTTGATTAAAAGTAGGATTGTGTGGTTTTTCTTATAAAATTATGTCTAGCATTTAAATTAGTTTATTTTTATCGATGTATACCCTCTAAATTGGATCGAGAGAAAAAAAAGTTAATTTCAGTTTGAAAGTTATACGCGAGTGACGTTGTTTAGCTAAAATATTGATTAGCTTTGGGGGCATTCGATTGAATTTGGAGAGTATATAGACGTAATTTTATTTTGGCGGAAAAGTATTAATCACAGTAGTTAACCAAAAGTATATATACATACATACATTGTACCGCTTCTGACAGAGCGAGCCGTCGACGGGAATCGATAAGTAAAAATACATATCGCCATGCCCGATCCGACGTCGCCGTCGAAGAGACGACAGATGTGATTCAGCTTGTGAATTTTGAATTTTGCAGACGAGAATAGCCAATCTCCTTGGCGTTGCCGGGACCGACGTCCCCATTGATGATATCAAGCTGCTCATGATGCCTCACATGGTAACGTTATTTTTGCTGTTTTACTCACATAAAAAATGTTGAGATCTAATAAAACGCGATTTTTAAGTATTTTTTCACTAAGTTTTGGGATGTAAAAACCAGAGTACTAAATTTTTAATTTAAAACATGTAAAAAAAAAAAAAAAATCTTAAAAATAATCCCAGTACTTTTTTTAAGACATGTCTTTTCGCGATACAACACTTTTTAACATGGCTACTCACGCATAAAATGTTAATTTCTTTTAATTTACACGAAAGCTGGGAGTTCACGGTTACGCTTTCATCGTGACGAACAACGGTTACATCCTCACCCACCCGGATCTCAGACCAGTGGTAAGATGATGATGATTCTCGCATTGGTTACGGTGAATTTTTTCACACTTTTTTTTTTTTTTTTTTTTTTTTTTTTTTTTTTTTTTTTNCTGATTTTTTCATTTCTCTGACCCATTCCCATCTGCTGCTTGCGCATACTAGAAGCTGATTTCATCTGCTTATCAAGTTGTACTTGATAAAGCTTACTTCTCAACTTTGCCATTGCATTCTTACGATTTTTCAATTGTGACCTATCTGTCTGACATTCGACCACTGTTCCAGTAGGCAAGTGTGTTATTCTTACTGCAGAATCTGTTGTGTTAACGTGTTGGCCACCAGCCCCAGTAGCTCTCATAGTATCTATCCTTAAATCTTTAGGATTTATTTTGATTTCGATTTCACTTGGCTGAGGCAAAACAGCTACCGATACAACACTAGTGTGCATCCTGCCAGATTTTTCTGTTGCAGGAACCCGTTGCACTCTGTGATTTCCTGCTTCGTGTCTCAATTTTTCGAAAGCTCCACTGCCAGAGATCATAATACTGGCATTTCTAATGCCACCTTGTTGAGCATCATTTATTTCTATTATATCAAATTTGTATCCCAAGTAAGTGAGATGATTCACATACATCTCCAAAAGATTTTTTAAAAAGAGCATTGCCTCCTGACCACCTACACCTGCTGTTATCTCCATAATGACATCATCGTACGCGTTTGAGGTCACATTTTTCAATACCAATTCAATCAATTCATCATCTATCTGTTTCAATTGCTTCTCATTAGCACACTTTTCTTCCTCGACGAGCTTTTTCATTTCTTCTTCTCTCTCTGCAAATTCACGATATCACGAGATAATGTTGGCACAGTAATATAATTATAATATCAAAATAAATCAACTTACCCAATTCTTTCAAATTTTTTATATTATCTGTAATTCTGAGTCTTTCGTTCAATAAAGTCCTCACTGGTTTGTATTGCAAAAGCCTGTCAAACTCCGTGCTCGTTCCATCCGAGTGAGTTTTGATCAAATAATTTAAAAATTTTTTCAAATCGGCTTCTTTTACCGCAAGACTGGCTGTAGACATGTACCTAAACCATCAAACAATTAAAAGTACAAGGTCAGCCACTTTGTAACAGTTGGAAATCTTTCATATCCTCGTAAAGTAATGTAGTTGCATGTGAAAAAGCTGTTAAGTATTATCCTCTATTTTTTTAGAAAGTAATTAAAAAAAAAAAAAAAAAAAAAAAACGATCTTTTGATGCACATTCGAACACAATGATTTATGTAAGATTGTCGATCCGATGTACATTCAAAACGAATGAAAAAGCAGAGATATCTCTTCCAGGTATCACTTCGAGAACGCTTATAATTTCGCCACCCCGGAAGAGGAGCTCAAGCACTTTTTGACCAAATCGACCCAGCCTTTCTGGAGATGGGGCACCATGCCCTCCGAGCAATCGGCACGTAAGTTTCACCGTCAAATACCTACACTAGTTGAAAGAAATATATAGATAAACAAAGGCTTGGTTTAACGATAATTTTCTGTTTCTCCTTGCGCAGAAAGCGGTAAAAAGTCCGACGAGACGGATTCCCGTTACTGCGACAGGGACCTCATCATGAACCTGGTGTTTGACGCCATGACGACCCAGTGGTTCGCCGATCCGCGCACCAGCCGCAAACCGGAGGAAGGGTATGCGACTCGATTTATCATACCGATTTACCCGACAAAACGAATAATCAAGCTATATATACCACACTTTTGCGATTATTATTATTGGTACTATCCGTATAGCAAACGAAAATACGTAAGAAAGTTAGCCCAGAGTGTCAACGAGGATCGTCAGTGTCCCTCCCCGTACATTATACGGAATTATTATGTCTACTTCATCCACATTTGGCTCGTGCAAATTGAAAAATATACATTACACAATTGACATACATATGCATTTATATTGTACTCACGGGATAATAATTAATAACTATCGTAAAAATCGTGTACGAAATGTATAATATTTTTCAAGGTGCAACGAGGAGAGCACAAAAATCTGTTTTCGTACATATTGAAACATCACACGATTGTGTTGTGGTGACAAGTAACGATAATCATTTATCTATATATTACACACACGCACCAATGAAAGTTTGCACGCTCGCACCAACGTTTCGTTGATAATGGCACCTCTATATTTCGTTATTTACATTATATACATATTTTATATTATATATAATTGCACCTTTGATATTATAATCACGCGTCGACACTCTATATATATATATATATATTCTTTTATCGCACATTTGTTATTGTTACATTAAGTTTTTTATCGAACATTATTGATATCAATTATGATTTCAACTTATTGTTATATTGTTATCGTGAAACTCGTCGTCTAGCCGACGAGACACGCATAAATCATACCTGTTCCTCTTTACTAATAAACAACTTACAACTTTGACGCCCACGCAGACCTTTAGCTAGGCTGATGAAGCTCCTGTCCAGGTAACGTCACGTCAGATCGCACCTTACATTTCTTATAGTCTAAAGTTAAGTACAAAGTTTTTGATCACAATAGCCGCGTAATCGCTCTAATTCTCTGTATCTATCTATGTATATATCTATTTCGCAATCTCGTTTTGCCACTTGACTGTCATTCTTTGGTATATTTATATCTTCCTCTTCTAATTACTGTTGTGACATGAGTTTTCTTTTTTTTTTTCATTTTTCTTTTATTGTTTTGTAATGGCATTGTCAGTACTCTATACATAATCTTGTTTGATTATTCATTTNGAAAAAGTACCACAGTAACACTCACGATAAGCATAGTAAAACCTTTGATACAACATCATTACATAAAAAAATTATAATTCTAAAGAACACTATGAAAACACTAATTGTGAAACCAAAAGCACGCTACGTTCAGAACATCTTACGATACATACGATACATACGAGAAAGAGGAGAACTTGCGGCGACCTGTCATTTGTCAGCCACATCAAAACAATACACATGCACGCGCTGGCACGCGGCGGCGAGAGGATAGCAGTGTCGCGCCACCTCACATGTTTTTTATAAATTTAAAATTTTGAACAATTCGACGCGCGTGCTTTTTCAAAATTTTTTTGAATGCATAGAAAAAAGCTACGTAACTTTGGCTCTGTTCAGAAATCTAACCAACCGTGTGTTCGCACATGTAAACAATAGTTAATCAGCTGATCACGTTTTGGCGCACTTTGAGCGCTTTCAAGTGAGGGTAGGTACCAACTTAATACTTGACCAACCCATCATTTCCGAACAGAGCCTTTACTGAGATCCCCTCCCCCCTGCATGTAGCTCAACGTGGTCTGAGATCAGATCCCTCCCCCCCCCAAATGAGGCTACGTGATTTATGGATAGCCCCTTATAGAGACGATACCAACTGACCCCAATTATTTTTGGTTGGTACCAGTGCTAGCTGTGACCTCTATGAGCACTTTCGTGAACCGAACATCTTGTTAATTATATTTTAAGTATTTCGTCGCCAATTTTTCTGCTAAAAATCATTAGATTTGTTCGGCTTTCCGACCCAGAGCGCTCTGAATTTTTAGCCCGAACACTTGTTCTTGCTGCAAGCTAATCCGAGTGACCCTAACCAGCTTCTATATAGTCGGTATATCTATATTTACAAACTTGGCTATAAATATTTACGTTTGGACATAAATATAGATATACCGAGTGTGTAGGAGTGGCTCGGGGTCACTCGGGTTAGCTTGGAGGAAGAACAGGTATTCGGCTTAAAAAACCGGAGCGCTCGGGATTCGAAAGCCGAACAAATCTATTGCTAAGCACGTAAACTATCATTATATCGAAAAAATTGTATAAAATAATGTATATTTATTTTTATGTATTGAAAATTTGAAATTTGAATTCAAAAGAAAACAGTGTACGCGGGCGCCACAGTGAAATTTTAAAACTTGTCTGCGTGGCGCACCCGCACCACTTTATATAATTATAGTATGTATGGATGTATTTTTTCATGAATAAATTGCGGAAAAATGGTGTCACCGTCATTGAAGCTAAAAAATTGCAAATCCTTTGGGCCATGAAATAGCCTTGGAGACGATGGCACTTAGCTGACAAAAACTACTATTATTTTCGGTTTTATTAATGTTAAAAAATTTTTTTTTTTAAATTGATATTTCAGGATTACATTGATAGATTTTAATGAAACTAGGATAATTTTCCAGTGTATCGGGGTTGGTAATTGTAATCCTTGATCAAATGACAATCATATCGACTTGGGCATACTCTATTTATCAAAAAGTACCAAAAAAAAAAAAAATTATTATTCTGAAATTGACGAAAAATGCATCAACCAACTGGAAGATGAAAATCTGAAAGGCGTGTGCCAAAAACACCTGCCGATTTCAAGGGACTCCTAATCGAACTTTTTATTTTTTATGAAGTTTTTCGTAAATTCAAAAAAAAAACCGACGGGCGCGACGCAAATTGTAAAAAAAAAAAAAGAGCCAAATCCCCTCTCAAACGATCAGCCAAAAAAAAGGTCTCACGTCGCCTCGTCTGCCATTCGGCGGCCGACGCCTGTTTTCTCCGTACACAGGGCGGAGTTCCACCAGCGCTTCGGCTACACCCTGAGCTTCGTGGCGACGCGCAGCGGCCTGACCAGGTGGCAGGACTTCATAATCGACGAGTCCGAGGCACCGAGCGAACCACCCCCGGACCACTTCAGCCGCCTGTACCCCCGAGCCATCGACGAGACCTGGTACAAACGAGCCGTCGAGCAGTACTACGTCCAACCGGACAGCTTCGTCTTCTCCATACCCATCGACGACGAGGGCGCCACCAACTCCACCCTCGTCACCGCGAGCCGAGCCATCTTCGTTGGTCAGTCCCACCCCCCACTCTTTGACACGTAAAATATAACACGATGTAAAGCATGTATGTCGAAAAACCCGAGGCAATCATCCGGTCGGCGTGTCTGTCGCAGGTAACGAAACTATGAAGGCACCGGCCGCTGTGGTCGGCTTCCAGATGACCCACACGGCCTTCCAGGGCTTCTTCCAGAACATAACTTACGGCTGCAACGGCGACAAAAAGTGCGTGAGGCACTGTGGCGACGACGACATGGAGTGTTACCTCGTCGACAACCACGGCTACATCATTGCGGCGAAGGAGGCGACCAAGGCCGGCCGGTTCCTCGGCGAAGTCAACGGCCTCGTGATGAACAGCCTCGTCGAGCGCGAGGTCTTCGAGAGGATCGCCGTCTTTGACTACCAGGCGGTCTGTTTCAGGGACACGGGCGAGTCCAACGACGGCCACATCCTCCTATCGGTAAGTGTATAATATAAATATACTTTGATCGAAGGGGTACTGGTAACGAAAAAATACATTATCCCCTTGGTATATAGCCCCTGAAGACGCTGGCGTTCGCGGCCTCGTGGCTGTACGGCCAGCTGGCGTTCGCCTTGGCCAGGATGGGCCTGTGGAGCCGAGAGTACGCCGAGGCGGTGGCCTACCCGAGCGACGACGAGATGGAGCTCGACAAGGCGACCGAGGCCGAGGAGATGGAGCCCGAGACGATCCAGGAGAACGTCAACAAGCCCGCGGCCGAGGTCAAGGACGACTTCATCTACGACCAGTTCATCCGGATTCGCCGCACGAGACCCGAACCCTGCGACCAGATGGTAAGCTACATCATCTCCAAAGGTTCGCATAAATTCGTACATTACATGTGTGGGGGTGTGTGCAGACGACCCTGTACTTGCTGCGCAACGTGACGGAGACCAACGCCGTCTACGACAACCCGAACGAGGGCATAGTGGGCTGCGACTACCTGAAGTACATCGTCCAGCCGGTGGCGCACACCAACATGATACTCCTGGTGATAGACACGCGGGGCTGCCGGGTGGTCACGTACAAGATGTCGGTCGAGCCCCAGGAGATAACTCTGGGCAACAGTTCGCTCGCCTGCGTCAAGAAGATGAGCAGTTTGCCCCGGGTACGGCCGGCGAGTTGTATACGCAGCCATCCGCGCGAGAGCGAGATCAAGGACCTTTGCGGACGCGCGGCACACGGCTCGAGGCTCGATCTCCGGCTCCTGGTGGCTCTGTTGCTCGTAGCTGCCCGGTATCTGCCCCACTGAGTGTACACTGTTTTCATTGTCCTTTCGGTTCATCTCTCGCTCGAGCGTCAAAAGTCCCGGAGGAGTTGGATCGGTCGGCGAGACAGGGCGCCGGCGCCCGTCGCGCGCTTGTTTTCGCTCCAAGTGCTCAAGCCGATGGTCAAGTCTATACATATAGGGTCCGAGTGCGCGAGGGGAACTTTTTCTATAATCGAGCCACTCTTTTTCCACGAGCCAAATGTCAAACTTACACTATTCACACACATGTCGACAGGCAACGAAAGATAGACACGCGCATGTGGGAACGACAAGCTTATTGTATCAGACACATGATATAGTACATATATATATATATATATATTATAAACTATGGACAGGTGTAAATTTGGGTGCCAGAGAAATTGTTGTTGATTATATTATGCGTTGCTTTATACGTATACACGTAGTTGAGTTGCCGTATTGATGTTATTATCATGATACTTCGTGTTGTCTTTGTTGTTTTCACAAGTGGACAAGTCGAGTCGAAATTTTAAGAGATTTCTATGAGGATCGTTGATTTTGGAGAATTCTATCGAGCTTGCAGACGTCACAGCCCCTTGTTTTCTTGCTTTTTTTTTTTTTTTACCAATCTGTTGAAAATTATGCGTTTCGTTGTCAAGTGTTGTTACTACGTACGTGATCTCAATTAAATTGTCGGGTTTGCACTGTTTGTTTATTTTTAAACACTCGGTTTGGCGGTACGTTTTGTTGATGATTAGAGTTTTAAGGGATCGTTGATGTGAGATGGACGTGTATATTTTATTATCTTGAGCTAAAGTATCTTTTCGTTTGAGCCGAAACGTTGGTTGACAAATCGTGTTGAGGAAACAAACACAAACAATGGTACAACTCGGGGCTCAAAGACTGTTCTCTGTAAGCATTATCTTCGTTGTTCAAGAGTAAATGAAAAGTAAAAAATAAAAAAATGAAAAATTTTATTCGTACTGCCCATGATGCAATACGAGATGCGTTTTCTGTACACATTTTATGTATGTACACACAAACAGCACTGTCTACGGCCATTGCCAATACGTGGTATGACTCGGCTGTTGTGTTTAAAAAGGCTTTCTTCGATGAGCAAGCATTTTCGAATTTTGAAACTCATTGAGCTCCATTTCAAATGCATATATACGTACTAAGAGTAAAATAAATCGTATATTTATCGGTAAGTTTCGGTGATAAGTGATTTTTCAAGTCATTGAATACCTTTCTATAACAGTATAAGGAACAAAAACCAAAAATCACAGACAAATTAATGAATAAGTGCAATACAATGGACTTATGAGGAGAGCACGCAGTTTACAATGTGTATAACATGCACATACACTCTACCTTGTAAAAGCCACTGCTATTACTACTGATTACTATAACTACCGTTACAAAAAATTCGTACATTCGCGCTTTGTACATTTATCGAATTATACAAGATATGTAATTTACTATTTATAGAGACCATAACTATTATTAATTTTGTAAATTACTGTAAAATATATATAAAATCCAAAGAATGTAAAATTGTGTGCCTTTGGTCACGCGGTTAAAGCAGATCTTGTTGTATGTTTTTCAAATAAATCACTAAATTCTTCTTCTTTATCATTATTATCATTATCAATTCTATTTACGTTTGCATGATACTGCATCCTTCGTTCGAATAGTTAAAATTGTAAAATAAAGATTTTTCGTAAAAATGTTTAATAAATAAACATTTTAATCAACATTAAATATAAAAACTATGTACATTTATCATTAATGTAGATATATTTCAACAAGCATTTGTAGTAACATTATATACACACCTTCAACGGCTATTCCACACTTTTTAGGAGTTCTAAAAGTATTTTGACATTTAAATCTTCATTCAGTTTGGAATGAAGACTGTCCAAAGCCTCGCCACCCTCAAAAAAGCCTTTTAGATTGTGCAACGTCCCATCCGTCAGTCTGTGATCTGTAACTCTATCTTGATTGAAGTTGTAAGTCCTGATTTTTTCATTTCTCTGACCCATTCCCATCTGCTGCTTGCGCATACTAGAAGCTGATTTCATCTGCTTATCAAGTTGTACTTGATAAAGCTTACTTCTCAACTTTGCCATTGCATTCTTACGATTTTTCAATTGTGACCTATCTGTCTGACATTCGACCACTGTTCCAGTAGGCAAGTGTGTTATTCTTACTGCAGAATCTGTTGTGTTAACGTGTTGGCCACCAGCCCCAGTAGCTCTCATAGTATCTATCCTTAAATCTTTAGGATTTATTTTGATTTCGATTTCACTTGGCTGAGGCAAAACAGCTACCGATACAACACTAGTGTGCATCCTGCCAGATTTTTCTGTTGCAGGAACCCGTTGCACTCTGTGATTTCCTGCTTCGTGTCTCAATTTTTCGAAAGCTCCACTGCCAGAGATCATAATACTGGCATTTCTAATGCCACCTTGTTGAGCATCATTTATTTCTATTATATCAAATTTGTATCCCAAGTAAGTGAGATGATTCACATACATCTCCAAAAGATTTTTTAAAAAGAGCATTGCCTCCTGACCACCTACACCTGCTGTTATCTCCATAATGACATCATCGTACGCGTTTGAGGTCACATTTTTCAATACCAATTCAATCAATTCATCATCTATCTGTTTCAATTGCTTCTCATTAGCACACTTTTCTTCCTCGACGAGCTTTTTCATTTCTTCTTCTCTCTCTGCAAATTCACGATATCACGAGATAATGTTGGCACAGTAATATAATTATAATATCAAAATAAATCAACTTACCCAATTCTTTCAAATTTTTTATATTATCTGTAATTCTGAGTCTTTCGTTCAATAAAGTCCTCACTGGTTTGTATTGCAAAAGCCTGTCAAACTCCGTGCTCGTTCCATCCGAGTGAGTTTTGATCAAATAATTTAAAAATTTTTTCAAATCGGCTTCTTTTACCGCAAGACTGGCTGTAGACATGTACCTAAACCATCAAACAATTAAAAGTACAAGGTCAGCCACTTTGTAACAGTTGGAAATCTTTCATATCCTCGTAAAGTAATGTAGTTGCATGTGAAAAAGCTGTTAAGTATTATCCTCTATTTTTTTAGAAAGTAATTAAAAAAAAAAAAAAAAAATAGAAGCCTCCTTGGTGTTTAGCTTACCTGCTCAAATTACGAATGTAACATCGAGGCTTAGATTGGAGGTTAGCAATTGGAATGGAAATGCCGGCTCGACTCAGCTCGAAAGTACGCCAGTCGCAAAGGAAACGACGACCCCGCGAGAGGGCAAACATCACTCCTTTTCCCGTAATCATGTTTTCTCAACAATCCCAACACCCATGACACTAAAAAACCAAGAAACTTTGGCGCTCTCACCTCATATCCATATCTTCGATATAAAAAAAATAAGTTAAACTAAGCGATGCGTCGTCTGCTCCGCAATGCCGCCAACATTGCAAAAGTGTAAAATTCGCGCATCACGCACATATATACACACTATATATACGCGTACACACATGCAATGACAAGAGAGACGCATCAGGTAATCGCATCATTGCTGACTGGGCCGTCGTCAAATTCGGATCTCTTAGCGAACAGTTTTTTTTTATTTTTTTTTTTTTTTATCAACATCCCATATATAAGTGGGTACTTGTATTCCGCTTAGGTATCATCTTGTAGAGTTCCGGAGGCAGTGCGAGAGGTGAGTAATTGATACGCTTTCGGTGTTTGTAAATAAGTAAACTTTAAAAGAAAAAGTTTACGGTGAATTCGCTTTGCGTGCAACAACATCTTATACTCGCTAATCGAATTCGGTCCACATTAGAGTGTATAAGTTTATATACACGTGCAAAAAATAAATATACCAGTACCTACCTACACTTGAAAGAGTTTGAACTAAAACTTGATTGATTTCACTTTCGTGCGATTAAACGACGATATACCACGAGCAAGAGTTGTACGAATAAAATATGTAAGTATATTTATATTATAAGGTATATACATAGCGCAGCTACACAAGGAGAGCTCTGCAAGCCTATATGCGCTTTTATCCCGCGTCTTTGTTCTTATCGTTATATGCTTACGACTTTTTTCGTTTTTCAAATAGAATAAGCCCTTTCTTCCCCTTTTTTTATTACCATAGCAAACCATTGAGCTACAGCTGTAGCAAAAGTTGCGTGTTTGAAGCGAAAAAATGTTGGTACTTTGATACTTGGGTAAATCAAATCTGCTGAAAAAATGTTGTTATAGGTACGTGTATGTGTATACACAGGGGGTGGAAGGAAGGGAGGAGCAGGTCCGCAAGTGCTCCGAATATATTTTCTCTGGGCACTATACACTTGTACCTACTCGCGATCGAAGCTTATACTTACTTATTATAAAATACGTTATACGCGAGTCGACTCTTATATTGGCCAGGTGCATATCATGCAGTGCCACCCTTGATGTCAAAATCATGCAACCGCGGGTACCCACATTACACGTCAAGAGCATACACCGATGCACACTTTTGGTAATAATTAATTAACTAGCAAAAAATTAGTGTATTTATTCATCTGATAATGGATGTTATCATAAAACAGGCTATAGGAATATCACGCACTCGATTTGTTTTAACTCTGAAGCCTTAAAAAAAGGTAAACAGTTGGTTGAAAGTAGTCATGTGTGCGTTGTTACAGAATTTCATAGTGATGAAGTTAGCAATTTGACAAGTGCCGTCGTAATAAGGCAGACCTCGATCGGTAACTTCAGCTCCCTACAAAATTAACCTGCATGTACGTTTTATTTAGATTATTTTGAAAATTGTCCAAGTTGCAATGCACATGAATATTACTTTTATTTACAGTTGGATAATCATTGAAATTTATGTAATTTTACTCCCTACTGTTATACTGAACGACACAGCACTTTCTTACACCCACATTTCGTAAACGTTTAAATAATAGAAATCACAATTGATCATGTCTTATTTCGCGTATTTATCTTTCTTTTTGCCGTCTGCTTCTGAGGGTGTGCTCTGGATCGAAAACTAACGAGGCTTCATTAATAAGTATGTTGTTACATTCAAACATTTTACAACCGTTCTTGGCACCACATAGTTCATTTTTTTACATTTGTGTAACTGCAATTTCATAATATTGATACTATTTATGCATATGTGATGATAACATCTGTAAATTTGACGAAATACTGTTATTCTTTCCTTAATCAAGCAAAAATGACAGTAATTTGGTACCCCAGCTTTCCTGTTTTTGCCACTATATACGCACGCTGGCGTCGACTCATCTATCCCCTCCCATCACTTGCAAACAAATCCGGTCCTGCACGTTTCGGATCGATTCAAGAGGTGAAAAATCGAATTTTCGTTGTCACCTCACTTTTCGTGCGCAAATCAAAGATCACATCACGTACTGTGTAAAACGTGATGTAAAACCTCGTAATATACATATAATCAGTCGCCGTAGCATATACTTATCTCCTCCGACTTCTCAAACACCACATCGATTGCTTTCAATGTCGAAACGCGGATAAGTATAAGTACGTAGTTTTTGAGTGTGAAGTACTCCCGGGAAAAAATTCACAGCTGAAAATATATAATATACGCACATGCACCCGATAAAAAATAAAAACTTTTAATTGCTCACCCGTTAATTTACACGAAATTAGCGGCCACATTCTATCGTGCGGATGGCAACACCTAAACTTCAGGGGAGAGTGAAATAATTTACATGCGAGTTGATAAAACGAAATATTGTTATTTCTGAAAATTTTCATAAATTAGCTTATAGTCCCCCCCCCCACCACTTTAGGTGTTGCCATCCATATGATACAATACTTACCTAATGACATTGTCCTGTAATTTTGTGTGTACATTTACGTATAAGCAAATAAAAATTGTTCACCGAGCGCAGGTGCATACGGATTTAGTAAAAAAAATACACATTATACAGCTAAATTTTTTCCCCGAGCTTGCTGTCAATTTCGGCATGTTGTTTTCGAAATTTTGGAAAAATATTTTCTAACCGTCTATTTATTGTTTTTCGCTACAACTTGTACAGTTTTTAAAACAATAAAACGCGCTCAACACGGTATTTTGGGGGAGGAAAAAAAAAACACACGCCTATGTGTACCTACATTTTTTTTTTTTTTTTTTTACACACACCTATGACTCCGTGCTTCTCTGCTCCCCACACACTCTGCCGCCGCGTGTATGTACTATACGTATGCGTGAAATTTATATACTATTGGCTCTATTCACTTGGTATAAGAACGTCGTCGTGGAGCGCGCGTTTATTAGGTAAGTTTACAATTTTACTCAAATGCGGTCCCATCCTATACCTGATGTGCGTGAATTTGTAAAACAAAAATTTTGTTTTTCACTGCAACGACGGGCGAGAGATAGACAGACACTTACGTAGTAACATTAATTTTAACACTATCTTTGATGTTGATAAGTAAGTAACGGGTGTATTGTACACGCATTGGCTTTATACAGACACGCATGGTCTTGTACAGGCGGTATTATCGATTTCGTTAGTCGCGAAGTTTTGGTCCGGTACAACAAATATGGGTATAGTCGTTGTAAGTATTCCAATGGGTTTTTTTTTCTCTGCTATAACGCTTATCTACTTACTTACAAAATTTTGTACGCTTGGAGGTATGAGTACGCGTGTGTGTGTATAGACACGTTGATGCATATATGTACACTCACGCGCGTGACTCAAAACCTTAAAGTCGAACCAAAGAGTGACGAGACGAACAATTTTGATTTTTACACTCTTCCTCTCTTTCGTTGCACGGACGCACCTTTTGAACATTCACTTCGAAAGGAACTTAAAGGAACTTTGGGGCAATTATTGGTGAGTCAACGATTTATGGTTACTCCAAAAATGTTCCATCAAACTATGATACATGTAGTTTAAATTTTTCTCTTTAAATTAGATTAAAATACAGTTAACAACTAATACAAATCCGAAATTTTAAACATACGGGTACAAGATGTAATTGTTATTTCTTTGAGTTACAACCATCACGACGAGGCTTATTAACAATGACTCGGTCGTTTTGTGATTCAGTACGTGCATATTAAGCAGTTCCGGGTTATAAATTTCGTGAAGCTTCATTTCGTGTATTTCCAAGCACTCGAGTTCTTTGGTTAAACTATATAATCACCATAATTTTATCTACAACCGAGTATTTTTATCGATCATGGTTTCACTTTTAGTACAGAGAAAAGAGCCTTTCGCTGGTTCTTGCAATTCATCAACCGTTGACAATCGCTGTGTATTGGTATACCGTAAATGATTCACACGTAGTACTTTTTCATACTGTTTGCTTGTTTTCTTTTCTTTTCTCTTCTTTTATACATTTATACGAAAAGTAACATTTGTCCTGACAGTATAGATGTACAAAAAAGCACATTTTTCTCAAGGTACGTTTATACATCTTTGAAGTACTCGTTGCTTCCTCTGTATATTATGTACTTGCAAATCTATTTTTTTTTTTTTTTCTCTCTCGACTGAAGTAATGTAATTAGCAACAAAAGTGATTTGTCATGTCCTTTAACTCACTTAACCATCAACGAATACCATAATGACTCACAGGTCGACAAGAGCCTTGTAGCGCAGTTAACCTTCGCGCGACTAAATTTCGGGACGTACGTTTTTCGAAAACCTCTTGCCCGCAAGCTCGGCACTACATTTTTTTTCTACCCAACCGAGTGAGTATGTGTGTGGCGTCTCACTTCTCTCGCGCTTCAGGCTCCACTCACCAGGTGGCCAAGCCCCTCATAGTTCGCTCCCGTCAACCGGCGAAATTCCCGCACGATTACTATATAAGCGCGATCGAGATAGTCTAAGCCCACACTTTCTCTATGTCTAAGGCAGGGAGCACGTCATCAGCCTTACTGATGAGTCCTGGCGTGCTCTCGGGACGAAACACCTTTTTCTCTCTTATAGACGACCTCTTCGATCTCTATATGTGTATACCTAAGTACAGTCTAACGAAAAAGAGTGGAAGAGAAAATCATAAAATAGTATTGATAAGAATCACGAGAGAGAGACACGGACGTATTATATAGGTGGACGTGACATTATACGTGTGGGGTGTGTGTACACACAAGTAAGTAATATAATAGAGGTAACATTTAAGCCGCGGGAGAGTGAAAGGAAGGAAAGATGCAGGAACCCTACTTTTCATATGTATATATATACACACACACATGTATATACTTGCACGTGCGCACACACTGTAAAAGCTGTGGAAAAGAAAAAGAGAGAGAGAGAGAGATGTGTGTAATATGTATAGGGCGCTGGCAGGCGCACCACGAGAGAAGAGGAGCTTCGACGAGGAGTTTTAACCATTCCAACTTTTACAGACTTACCTCTCTTCGGCACGTATACCGTTATTGTTTGTTACACAAGTAATTCTTGTATTTTGAAATAATCATTTGGATTCTGTCGGTATTGCGTTGATAATAATTATTCGCGCGAGTTTCGTTTGACAAAAACAGAACGTATCGCAGCGACGAATAAAAATATGACTGTATGGGCGTGTTTTCTCGCGAGCGATTTTTTGTTTGTTTGTTTGTTTGTTTTTTTCTTCTTCTCTTTTGCGATGTAACAAAAATGTATAAAAAAAATGTTCTACTTTTTTTCGTGAAATGTTACATGTCATAGCCGCGACGCACGTTTGGTTGGCTGTTGTTTTACCCATGAGAGAGAGCGCGCCCACACGCGTTCACTTAAAGACAAATAAGAAGAAATTACAAAGGTACTCGCGAGTAATGCAAAATATTTGTTTCAGCTCACGATATACATATTATCATCGAGTTGCAGAGCTCAAATTTTACCAGCTATACACTGTACCACAGATTGAGATAAAACCAAGCGGTGGATGCATATAGCCGGTCACACTCTTAGGATATGATGGACGAGGAGAGCCACCGGGAAGATAACAGTGGCAGGACGCTCGTCGACGGGGGTAAGATTTTTCCACGACATAAATTTTCTTTTTGCACCAACTCGGTTTTTGCGAGAACAATACATAAAGTTTATTAAATATATATCGTAGATTATTTTTGTTTTGTTTGAAACGCGCAGAATAAAAAGAGTTACGTAACGAAGCGCCGTTTGAAAAAAGTTTCTTTCGATCGGATATTATATATGATCAATCAGATTCCGTGGTACACTCGCTAACTTGATTTAAAACGTGATACGCGTGTGTAAGTACAACACGTATATATATATATGAAAAAGCCGAGCTGCAATGTATATAATATATATATTAAGCAGCAGCTGAGCACGAATAGATTACACGCTTCTGTGTGTGAGTGTACGTGTGTTGTATGTATAGATATAAACGATGTACGGCCGCGCACTGCTCAACCGCCTGTGTGCCCTCGTGTGTTACTACACCTCTTATTATAAAAGTATCTGCAGAGTAGGTAGTGAGATTTCGCTTGGCCTTGCACATCAGGAGAGACAGGGGCAGGTGGTGGTTCCTTTTTTTTTTTCCCTTTTTACTTCGCACAAAGACGTATACAAATGTTCGGTTCGATGTTGAATCGCAGACCTCTCGGACTTGTGATGCGTCGGTTTGAAAATTGCACAACGTCGGGTGAAAAGTGATTATAAAATATGGGTAAGAAGTTGGTGCTTTTTGTAACTAAAGCGCTTTTGAATTTCGATTGTCCAATCGCAACTTTTTTTTGTCATGGTATTTTCATTCCAAGACTGTGGAGTTTCTTGTTTTCATATTAGTTTTGCAGTTTTTCGTCATTGTTGTTATTAATAATAAACTCGAAATGTTTGTTCGTTTGTTGTGGTAAATTTTGAACCAAGTCAAACTCACTCATGAGTTTTATTAAAAAAAAATATCAACAAACGGTATTTTTATTTTTTATAGTTTAAATAAAAAAATTTTAATGAATTTCAGATGGATTCTTTTGGCAAGACTATCTCGAGGCGAAGAATACCGTGGAGGTCCCGCAAATTTCTTTCCAGCATGTGGAGGACACGTTGCAAAACGGCATCGAGATTGGCATGTCTCTGGAGGTTCCTGTGCAAAAAAGTGACAAGGGCGAACCTGCCTATTGGGTCGCCTCGATCGTCATGGCGTGCGGTCCTCTCTTGAGACTCAATTACTTTGGTGCCACGGACAAGTCTTTGGAATTTTGGTTCAATTTGACCAAGGAAACTGCACATGAACTTGGCTGGTGCTCCAAAAATGGCCATCAATTGAGACCACCGAGTGTCGTTGAGGAAAAGTCTCCAGACTGCTCTGAAAAGTTACAGAAATTTTTGGCCACAGCTAAATCCATACCGTTTGAAATGCTGTCTGGGGTAAGGATCTACATGTACTTTTGACTGATCAGTCCATCAAAAATCTCTTTTTTCATATCTCTTGTTATACTAATCATAATTACGCTTCATCTAGGATGGACTTAGTTTGGTCGACAGAATAAAGTCAGGAATAAAGGTTGAAGTCAGTGATATTCGTCATCCGTACAAATTATGGGCTGCTACAGTAAGTTCGAATTTTCAGACCTTCTAATCGTTCTTTTGCTTTTGTATTTAATGTATTTTGCACACGTTCTGATCATTAAAATTATAAAACTTTTCAGATTAAAGATAATGTTGGTGGGCGCCTACGACTAAAATATGATACTCCAGGTTCATCGACAAAACAGTTTTGGATGTTTTGCACCTCAGAGCATTTGCACAATTATGGATTCGTGTCAAAGACTGATTCCAATTGGTTTGTAGAACCACCTAGTTCAATTGTAGATATGCACTCTTACGAAGAGTGGAAAGAGCTCACGGAAAACAATGGCTCCAAAGACCTTAAAGTACCTGATAACTTATTCAACAATAGTGTTGATCATCAAAAGCATGCTTTTAAGTTGCACATGAAGTTGGAAGCTGTCCTACCTTCTGATAGGACAAAAATTTTCCCAGCCTCAGTTATCAAAGTATTTGATGACACTTACTTTTTAGTTCAAATTGATGTATATAAAAAAAATTTAGATGAAAATTCTGATGAAAATGCTGTACGTAATAACACTGAAAAGAATACTTGGCTCTGTACCGCCGAACATCCATACATCTTTCCAGTTGGTTGGTCCAAAAAACGTAATATTAGGTGATTGTTATTTGTTTTTGAATTTCGTGATTAGTTAAATTATGTCGTAATGCATTATTTATTGATTAAAAATAAATTATTACAGCATGTCATCTCCTCCAAATTGGATCCCACAATCAGGAAAATTCGATTGGGATGAATACCTAAAAGCAACAAACGCAGTTGCTGCTGACGACAGTTTATTCTCTCCTCAAGAAAGTGCTTCGGACGCTGGATTCGAATGTGGTATGATGCTGGAAGCCGTCGATCCAAAGGACGAAAACGCGATCTGTGCTGCACATATCACAAAAATCTTAGATAATTTACTATGGTTGAAACTTGACAGTTCCGACAAAGATCGTCCTGAGCACATAGTACACATGCGTTCCTTGCAAATTTTCCCAGTTGGATGGTGCGAGTCAAATCACTATCCACTAAAACCACCAAAAGATTACATAGAACTTTGCAAAAAGACTGAAGTGGCACCTGTGAAAAAGCACTCTACTTTAGAGTTTCCACTTACGGAGCATCGGTCGTCTTTGTGGTGTCCTAAAATTTACTTCAATTATCGATGTTCCACTGGGCCAATGATTTCAAAGAGACACCTGGCTACTCTCCCAAAGTCCGTCGGTCCTGGGCCAGTGGTTTTAGTTATGAGAGAAGTTTTATCGATGATTGTTTCCGTTGGCTACAGGAGCGCTAGAATCTTAAAAGTATTACAATGCGACACAAAACCAGAGCCAGGCTACAATTTAGAAGTATTAAAAGCAAAGCACAAAAATAATACGTACAGAGCAAACGTTGCCATTATAACGTCTGGCGATACGGTGACCGAATTTTGCCGGAATATTTGCAAAAAGTTGCAGGTTTGTCCAAACCTGTTTGGACCTCTGTGTGTTCGAGAAAACGAGTGCCCAGACAAATGCTATAAAAGCACGAAAAACAAATTCATTTGTAAGTATTACCAAATGTTACAGTATGGTTTTTATGTTTTTTTAAAATATTTATTGGTATGAGGGAAAATTGATTGATTTGTTTGATTAAACAGCAACGGCATTTGGAAACAACAAGCGAGGCAAGCCCAAAGGCTACACAAGTATTTTGGTGGAGAAGCAAAAACCCTGGGGAAAGAGAAAGCGAAGAAGAGGCAGATGGGCCAACCGCGACAAAGAGTTACTCAACAAAGAGCTGGAGAAGGAGGACGAAATACCTTTTCTCTCCATGGACTTGACAAATCGCATCTCCGATACTCATCAAGATACGTACGAATCGAAGAACAATATCTCTGACACCGAGTTGATGGAAAAGAGTTTGGACAAATTGGACCGTGTTGACGACATAAAACAAGAAATACCATCTAGCAACGTGTCGGAGGACTCGCGGAGTAGTTTTAACGATAGGAAAAGTAAGGACAGCAACGACAGTCCGAGTAGCTCGGGTGGAGGCAAGGTACAGCCGATAAAGGCCAATAAAAACGCGACGATCACCAGAGCGAAAAAACGAGAAAGAGGCTGGGATTCGAGTGTAGAGACCGATGGCTCGGATGCCGAGGAGGAAGAATTTTTACAACTGCAAAAGAAGCAGAGACGACCCAAGACCAGAAAACTAGAATCGAATCCTCTTTTCTGGTCCGTTGACGATGTTTTCCGTTATCTTCGTAAAACGACTGACTGCAAAGAGTTGGCGCATCGTGTTCGGCAAGAGGTAAGAGGATCGAAATTAATGTAATTAAAATGTTATGATTAATCGACACAATAAATTAAATTCCAAAATATTCGTATTGCAGGAAATTGACGGATTTGCATTTCTCTTGCTGAATATGCCATCTCTTGTTGCGCATATGAAACTAAAAATCGGTTCAGCAATGAAACTATGCCGGCACATCGAGCAAGTAAAAGTGACGTACTTTTTACGACACATGAAAGAAGAAGAACCCGATAATTATCGCGTAATGTAATTTTCCGGATCATTCGAGTCGTGCATTAATGATTCGTCGCGGTGAAATGTATTATATTGTATTTTTAACGTTTTCTTAGGAATTGAGGGAAACCTGCGCTGTACATATCAAGTTTGTAATTTCTTTTTCATTTAATGCCTGTAATTTATACTAGTAGTAAAAAGTCATATCCCATCGACACTTCTTGCTGTAGTTTTATCATGATTGCCGAATGTGCTAAGCGTGTAATTTCACGCCATTAAATTTGAAACACTGTCTTGTATTTTCATTAGTGATTATAACAATTTACACACGTATTTTTTGTAAAAAAAAAAAAAAAAAAAAAAGGAACGAATTGTAATCAAGTCCAGCTTCCAAATATTAAATACAACATTCTACGTTATAATGTTTGACAAGTGAGCATGTTGAAGGAGTATTAATTTTAAATTGGCTGTAACAAGTTGACTGACGTTTAACAGCTACTCACTCTTCTATTTTACACATTAAGATGATTTTTTTTGAATTCCAAACGAATTTGGGTGTAATCGTAGTCATCACAATTTTAAGTATCCCGAAAATTGTAAAAAAAAAAAAATAAATAAATAAATAAATGTTACTTTACCATCAAACTCGAGTAGCTGCGTATTTATTGCAATTGTTATTCTACATACGATACGGATGAAGAATAAAAAAAGAAAAAAAAAAAAAGAAATAGCTCTCAGAGTCCGTAAAGAAAAATAGACAGCGGGCAATCGGAACTTCCGTCTCAAATGACGGTCGACTAATCGGCGGTGATTTATTTATTTTGCCTCGTTACTTTTAATTGAAAGTTCATTCCTTCAACCACTGCCTTAGTTGACCATACAGTGTACGGGCAACTCAACGTAAAAAAAAAAAAAAAAAAAAAAACATCCGTGGGCGCACGAATCAGCGAATCTCTAAAAATAAATAAATTAAAAAAAAACACCGAAGCAAAGCAGCATTTTTGTTTAGCGTCGCTGCAGCGAAAAAACACGGGCCCAACGACTCTTTTGATCGTTTGCCAAAGCTACAAGGCATTGCTCGTAAACTAAATCGGTGCGAGACTGAAGATGTTACGTGTATTATTCTCCCGAATGCCGATCGGGTGCACTTTCGTCTTCCAGAATAACCCTCGTCTCGCGGTATAGGTACCTACATAAAACACAGACGGCGCGCTCACCTCGGGGAGAGGAATCGGAATACCGGGTATATTGTTATTTTTAGTGCTGCTGCGATGCGGATCCCGGTATACAGGTTTTCGCGCAAAAAATGCCCAAAGCGCGAATCACCCGAGTTGGGTGTGTATTTTTACACGCGCCATACATACGTATATATACATTGAATTTAAAATGAAACAGTTGCGAGAGGAACATCTTCCGGTCTGATGCAGATAAGAGCGTTACAGCGTACGCGTTATGTAGTTTCAAGTTGCGAATGTCGCCAACTTGCACATAAGTGCAACCTATACACTACGCGTGCCATGATATGCGTCTTGCGCGCTACATCGGTACGCGTTGGAAAAAAAAAAAAATAATAATAATAATAATTTGCAGTTTTGTCGAAACATGTAGAGCCACGCATTTATCGTGTACATATACATACGTTAATTAATCCGTGTGGGTATGAGTGCAAAAGAGCCGTCGGGGAGGAAGATGAGCGATTCAAGTAAGACCGGCCCTGTACGGCGGATATAACAGTAATTGAGAGGAGCGTAAGTAACTGGAGACTATGTGGCTCGTTACGCGGTGCAGCGCTTTGCATTCTGCACTTGTGCGCGGCCCGGGGGAACGCTTGCCGTGGTCTTTGTTTTTTTTTTTTTTCTTTCTTTCTTTTTGATCGCTTGGAAAATGTAGTTGGCACCAAAAAGACCAAACTCTTACACGAGCCATTCGGCCAATAAAAATCAGCACATTTTCCTTATCAAGAAAAGAACAGGCTTTTTTACCCTTTTTATTTTAAACTTAGAATCCAAGAAGACTTTGCCAAGTAAAAAAAATGGGGGTAAGGGCGCTTAGCGTTTTTCGGACAAATCCACAAAGGCCTCAAATATCGATTGGCGTACAAAAAAAAAAAAAATGTCACTTGTGTACCTTGTTTTTTTATCCCTCACAGACGGCTATATATCGTTCCGTTCTGTTCGCCGAATCCATATCAAACACGGGGCGTATTTAATTTCACATCGATCCAACAGGTATATACATATATATATATATCTATAGGTACAACNGCGCGTGTGTGTGCATGTATATACACGGGTACAAAGAAAGAAAGAGAGAGAGAGAGAGGAAAGAGAGCCTCGCGTCCTCCTCCTCCTGCCGTGATGCTGTTTGCTAAGCGCGAGCTTGGATCTTCTCGGAGAGGAAGAAGGATATATATATATATATATATACACTTACACTTACGCACCCACTAGCATTTCGGAAACGCCGGATATCGAGTTTCAGCATGAAAAATCGCTCGGCGATCGTTATCCTAAAAAGAAAAAAAGAAGGGGAGGGAGGGTCGAGGGTGACATTTTGCAGCGTCGACAGTAGCCAAGCATCTTGATCACGTCCCCTTTTCGCGTGTAGGTACCTACTCTTATTTTACTCTCGCAGACGCGTCGTGCACACATTGCACAATGAAAAAAGCACAAGCCGATATAAACTATGAGTGTTCAATACTGCATCCATATATGTGCACCGTATACGTGCTCTCGCACGCGTGCCGGCTGCGTTTACAATATACAAGTACATGCATATATAGGTGCACTCCATAAAATGTGCACACGTAGTGCGATACGCATGTGTGTGTGTGTGTGTGTAATGCGTACGTTTTGAATTTAAACTGTACGTGTGCAAAGAGAGTAGGCGTATGAATGAGCGAAAATCGGCCGTTCCGAATGGAGTTTTACTACAAGTTTTTTTTTTTTTTTTTTGTTGTGCGTTGCGAAAAATCATGGTTATTATATAGTTAGATGTAATCTGTAAAACGTACTTTGTTAACAAAAGAAAAACACATACATTTGTATCGTAGTGTCGTTTCGTAACTTTTGCTGTATCACGAAATCAAGTATAAGTAGCACCTTCGGGGAAATTTTTTTTTTTTTTTTTAGCCCCGAGGCGTGCACGCGTCTATGAAGGTATGCGTGTCAAGCACAATCTAACTAGTGCGACTATTGCAGTGAGTATATATATAATGTATCCATGACTCGAAAAACGACTTTAAACACATTTTATCGTCGTCTTTACCGCTCGAGTGATACGGACAATTTTTTATGGGTTCTGAATTAACGCGACTCTTAACTTTTATATTCGTTGGAAGTAAAAAAAATTTTTTTTTTTTTTCATTCTCGTCTATATGTTAGAAAAAATTGTGCTCATTTTCAGTGTCAGAACTGAAAAATCGTTAAAGACGCAATTTACACTCGTAACGAGCCAAAGAGCGCCAAGATTTTCTTTTTTTTTATCATTTTCCAAAAAGTGTAGGTACTTGATTGCTCTTTACCTCCTTTACCCAAAAACTGCACACAACGGAGGTCCAAAAAATTGATTTTTGACCTTAAAAGCCACAATTCGAAAGCTGTGTTTTTGCGTACCCGATACATTTGACACATTTTCGATTCCTAACCGGTTTTTCATGATGGAAAAAGCTACACGGTGAAGTGAAAAAAAAAAGCACGGTTTGTCCAAGCCATTGGTTTTTTCATACATATTGATATAACAAACTAACACGAGCTCCACAGCAATTATAGGCCATATACGTACTAAAAAAAAAAAAAACTCGACTCGTATTCCGCCGATTTTCCACTCAGAATCTCACTCGCGAGCATCCCCTTGTGGCTCTTTTCGTATACAGTACAACCGAAACCAACGAAAATTCGTAACTTCGCGCCAGAGCACCAAGCACTTTGTCCATCTCTTTCTCCAACCGATCGTTGCGCACCAGAAGCACAAGGGCGTGCCTGTGTGTGGGAGACCGGCATCGAAGTACCACGTACACTATACTAACGTATACGTAAAAAACACCGATCTCGCGTAAGTTGAAAGTTGGGCGCATGCGCGGGCTTCTCCTTTTTTTTTTTCTACCCTATTCTTCTTCACGAATCGTCTTTGGATCGGTTGCTCTGCCGCTGCAGGCTGGCTAATATACGGAGAGAAAACGGGACCACCATCATGCGCACACACACACACACACGGTCACCGTCCCTCGTATATTCTCGGCTGTCCGTTAAACGGAGAAAGCTACATATTGTACAGCAGATAGACGAACAAACGTATACATCCACGCGTAAGTACACCCAGTTGAGTCGGTGCCGCGTCAGGACGAGGACACGCGCGGGCGTCTGTTGTAAAACCGACTGTTGAATATACTCACCATCGATTTCTTTAGTACTTTGTGCTTTTTTTTTTTAATTTATTTTATTTTTCTCGCGATAAAACGAAAGAAAAAAAAAAGGGTAAGTTTTTGCACGATCAACCCTAATGTGAGTGTACATAGAAGCGCAAAAAATTCAAATTACAGTGTAACGCGCGTATGGTTTGATTGGCCGTAAGTACGAGCACGCAGTGGACACACACACACACATATAGAGTACAGCAGAGGAACATATATACAGAGAGAGAGAGAGAGCGGCGCGGCGCCGCGCGAAAAAGGTGTGGAGGAGCGCGAAATAACAGTATATGTACGTGAGGTCAGTGAGTCGTCTCCCGTCGGCGTCGTCGTCGTGGTATACCACCAGCATCCGCGCTGCAGTGCGGCCGCATCAGCCATCACGGAACATACATACCGAATAATATAAAAATTGGTGCAGTGCGCGCGAGTAGTGCAAACAACAACGGCTCTTATCCCGCACTGCAAAGTATACGTGGTACATGATATATGTAAAAAAAAAATAAAATAAAATCCATCAGGAGGTGCGGACTGTGCGGAGGTGTGTGCTCGGTGGTGCAGTGTATTCATATTTAAACTGGAAGATCGCGCGGAGGCAGGTCAACCGAGTTCGCTGCCGCTGGTTGCACCTACATATATATATATACATACACGCATAAATCATCTAAGCGCGCACAGGTATAGCCGCGCGACCGGAGGATACCTACCTACCCTGGAGGATGCCTTAGAGTCGAGGACGAGCAGGAAGCGCGTCTAAACGGAGCCGAGCGAGGGAACAATACGAGGGACCCCGTCCAGTCACCGTTGCCACAGCTGTCCTACCTGTGGATACACTCCGGGGGTAAATAGGACTTATTACATCCATTTCCTATACGCTCCCCCTCCCCGTACCTGCATACGTATAGGTGTATGTCTATCAATTCATCCCCCTTTACAACCCTCCCTTGTACATGTACGTATGTACCACACGGCTATCTTCTCCCGTTTCTTCTCTGTGTATCTATTGTGGTTCCAGCTACCCTACATTTTCGAAGCACATTGCACTCGTCCTGTTGTATAAGGCACAAGGGACGCGGTGTGTCCATATATCCGTGCCAAGACACATTGGTATCCATATATATATATATATATATTCATGTTGTATGATGATGCGCGAGGGCAATTTGACAGCCAGCAGGCAGCCACCACCGACGACGTCTTACTCGATCGATCGGTGGTGCTCGTGGTGCGTCCCTCTGCAATATACTCTGCATATATGCATCAGGGTTGTACCTATAGATATATATATATATGTACGTGGATGCATGTGCATGGTAGAGCTTATGGGAAAAAGAGCTGCCCCCTGGGGTATCCGATAGAACATAATCGGTTCCTATATACGAGGTACATATATGTATTATAGGTCACGATAATGAGCATTGCACGGGTACGTACATGGTTTTTTTTTCATTTCACGTTCAATCTCGAATAAAACTCGTATATATATATATATATCATTTGGCCAAGTATATACACTTTGTACATAGGTATATGTATGTGTGATTATGAAAACTACCTGTGCCCATATACATATATAGTTTAGCTACGGGAGTACGGGTGTTGGCCGTGTCGTATATAATATGGTGTACGTATATATATATGTGGCGTTTCGTGTCGCGCCTTTTGCTTCTATATATACATAATGTAGACTATATAGTACGGTGTACTATAGTATGAAATGTATACATGGGTATAATATGTTAATGTACTCGTAACTCCATTCATTTATATTGTATGCATGTATGCCGGGCAAGTGATTTTTGAAACATCGGCCGGTTAGACGAAGATCAAACAGTAAAGATGACACATTTTTATATGTCGTGCCAACGCCTAGCCTCTGTTCCATAATGCACTGTACAAATTATACGTCGCACGGTCAGCGGTTCGTCCCTGTCCCTGGATTTAATTATAATACTTACAGTTGAGACAATAACATTTTATTGTATCTCTTCGGTTATACTGCGTGCCGATGCGTCTAATACATATATATATATATATATATATATATATATACATATATATATATCATCTTGTTCGGTGTATTTGTATGTACGTGCAGTAAGTATGTATCCATAAACGCTACGGGCTACAGGTAGTCGTTGAGAAATATACGGGGGAAAAGCTACTTACTCATAAAACAGAGAGACAGAGAGGAGGAAAAAAAAAACCAAAGAATGTAAAACCACCGCTAGAAGACTATTGATTGCAAATATTTTAAGGGTTTTACCTGCCTTTTTCCCCTTAACAATATTATACCTATACAATTGGAGGACGAAGGAATACAATATACGCGTATGTGTGTGTGTGTGTATGTAGTAGTAGTAAAGCAAGCGATGAGATCATCCTGCCGCTTCTGTATACATAGTTATATACCACGAACTTTTGGTTCGCTCGAGCGCGCGCCCGTGCGGGTGCACTTCGCCATTAAAGCGAGTTTGGTCGATGATTTTTTTCTTTCTCTTCTTTCTTTGTTTTTTTTTTTTTTTTTTTTTAGTTTACGCAAAGAGAGCGACTTCTTTTTTACCTGCTCGAGCGTAATTTACGTAACAAAAAAAAAAAAAAACAATTTTCAATCCGAGCAATGACGAAAGCGTGACGATCGTGATCCTTTGAATATTGATTGTAATCATATTATAGCATGGATTTTGATTCGAACTCGGGTCATTTGGAAAACCCGAGGACAAAAGCAACGATGATCGGAGCAGCCAACGAATTTATATATATGTATACAGATGCTAGAGCGCGGCATAATGAGCTGGAATGCGCCCGTCCACCGGCCGACGCTACAATTAGTGGGTTCAAAGTTTAACGGCGATTTCAAAAAAACTTTATCGGTTACATCGACGGTATGTCCTACTTATTTCTGTTTGAAATCCCAAAATATTTTAACGTGTCGTTTTATATTTGTACGTAAGAGTACATTGTTGAGCCTCGATGAGTGACACATTGAAGAAGTCGTCGTTGGCTATGTGTATCATCGTTACTTACTCGTTACTCATCATTCGTCCAAAGTGCTTTCTGTACTCAATTATAATATATACATACACGCGTGTGTGTGTGTGCCGGCTTACTCGTGTGGGGAGAAAGAAATTCACCCACATAAATATTAGTATATTACGTTACGAGGCCGTAAAGTGGCTGATGTACGGCCGAGTGACGTATACAATTTTTCGTCATCCCGTATAGGAAAGTTTGTTCAACAGGTTGATTTGGTTAACGCAAGGAAAAATGAATCGCTTCGTGAACCGTGCGTTCCTTACAAGCATTGATCCTATACACCGAGGTCCTAATGAAGCGCGAACGAACGAACGAACGATGGATAATCGAACGTGCCCAATAATTGAACTGACCGATCGATCATAAAAAAAACATACGCATAATTCAACAGTGAATGCTAGAATACATATTTTTTTTTTATAGTTCTTCAAAGTACACTAAAAAAGAACTTTCATTAAACGATACTTCAATCTTGGTTTTCCAGTCCATGTATTGAATATGTGCTTTTTCATGTAGAGCACGAGACATAGATATAAATATGGATAGATAATCAGAGTGCATTTGAGAACATGGACCTCGGAAGCGCCTCGCTCAGCGGACGGTAAGAGATCCAGTGGCCGTACATTTGTCGCTTTACGTCCTACTAAGCGGACGTGAACAACAAACTTTACTGTCGGGGATGACGAAAACACACGTACGATCGTTATACTTGAGTGGTCTCGAGGTTTTTCTTTTTTTCGCTCGCGTATACGGCATTAGAAAGATAGATGAGTTATGGGGTGATACAACGAGTTGATGTTCCTTGTATACAATCAAATACACGACGAGCCTCTCTCGGAGCGTATAGTACAACGTTATCTACGTATACACATAGTCTCTCGATGTTGGCAGTCGAGCCGGTCAAGTACACGCGGCACTTGACGAAACGTTAACTTCGCACATTATAATATACACACACGTACACCCGTTAAAGTGTTTCATTACACGTAATATTAAGGCGAGCGTGGAAAATTGGGCTGTGCTGGATAAATAATTCAAACGCGACGCTCTCACGACCCGGTATTATATTTATACGTTATTTTAATACGAATAATGCCGGGTAGCCGGCATCGCTTACACTCGAGCGCACACACACACGACGATCGGCATTATTGTAAATGTGTACGTATACATAGCTTAGCTCATTTTAATTAAGGTTTTGCACGAGTGCTATGGCTTGTCCCATTGTTATATTGTTTCCATTGGCGGAGGAGGAGGGGGGGGGGCTTGATAACGCGCCGGCAGCGTGATTAAGTTAGTATACTGTCTGTACACAGATGTGGTGGTTGGTTAACGCCCGTTCGTTGTTGTGCGTGTAAGATGTTATATATTTTTTTACGGAATCGAGTTTCCGTCGTGTAAAAGTGTGAATAAGGGAAACTCGCGCGTTTATAAACCGGCAAAATCGGATTATCCCCCCCCCAAACGAGGGTACGTTGCAGCGGGTGATGCACTTCTCGAGCAGTTGTGCAATCCGAGAGGTCGTTCACACGTTTATTTTCTTCCGCCCGAGCACCCCCGAGCGTTCGATTCTTTCTTTTTTTTTCTGCTCAAACTGTCTGAAAATGTAAATTGTAGGGGCGGACGTTTGTTGTTTTCATTCGCTGTTGGGAGTGTGGGCCCTGCAAGTCTAAGTACATTGGACGTTTCTGTACCGAATGAATAATTTTCCGACTTTCTACGTGCAAGTTTAATTGTCAAGCACATCAGAGTTTAATTTCATTCAATTGAAACACAGATTTTGTGGAAAACCAAACCTCCCCTTTTTTTAAATATATTTGCATTAAATGAAAAAAAAAAAAAAAAAAAAAAAATAGCATTAAATGTTATAATCTGTTGACCTTATTCCGTCAAATTTTCCTTTTTGCACTGACTTGATAAGGTCAAACAGAGGTATAGTATTGGACTATAGTACCAATGACCGAGTTTGCGGTACAAAATTCATTTCGGAGGATTTATCTGAACTCAATGACCTTGCGATTTTCCTTGACCTTGTATATTTTTGGTACATACTTTGTTAACTGATAAAAAGTCTTTAAATGATGATCATAGTTTCAAAGCGGTAAGATCGACAAATATGAGATACGTGATGTTTACAGAGTAACAGAAGCCTTTTTTTTTAACTTTTATGTGCTCTTTGCTTATCTTGTCAAATGTTTACTGTGTTTGTGTACTAAACGATAACAACATTTTTTTTCAGGTAGATAGCCGGAGCTGATTAACTACAGTAAAGATGAGATTTGCAGGATGCATCATCGCCACACTCGTATTGCACGTGGCAGGCCTGAGTGAGTATATTATAACGCCAGGAATATTATTGTGGGCTATATTTTCATCGGAGCGAAAAATGTAACGTCACATGACATCACAGTTTCATTTTTCATGTGTGAGTCGAAGGGAAAACCATTATTGGGGGAAAATTTATGTTTTACTCATTTGGCGTCGAAGAGAAAGTTACTTATCTCGAAAAATGCAATGTTACATTAGTCGTGCTTTAAAAATTGTAGAAAGTATATATGAAAATAGTTGTGTCGACGATACATTAGATTTGCAGGATAAGTTTTATCAATTTAAAAATAGCTGTGTTGATGACAGATTAGATTTACAAGATATTCTCTATCAATTTAAAGAAATCAAAAGAAATTTATGAATAATCATCAATGACGTGTGGATTGAAACTATACTTTTTGCTCTGATGAACAATATATCAATGGGGCTCTATGTACCAAAGTTTGGTTCCCAACATAAATGTAAAAACTTTTTTTTTAAATTATCTTACTTGTTTTATTCGAAGAATAACATCAACAATGTTTCTTGCAGACCAATCCCCGCCAAGGATTACAAAACAGCCCCCCACAGATGAAGTTCTGTTTCAAGTAGCCCAAGTCAACGAAAATGAAAAACCATTTCTGATCGAGTGTGAGGCCGAAGGAGAACCGGCACCAGTGTAAGTAGAAAACGAAAAATTTTTTCGTTTATTGTTGTTGTTTTTTTTTTTTTTTTGCTTCCAAAAGCTAGTTAAATTAAGATTTGTAGGTACAAAAGAAATCCGAGTGCGTACAAGTCCAATTTTTATACATCGGTTATAGTTAAAAATCGTTTCGTCTGCCGTAACGTTAATTGATTCAATTTAAATTTTCCGACAGTCTTTTTGCCTCTCATTCACAAGAGTCTTACTTCACTGAAAACGTACGGCCACGTTGTTACACCAAAGCTAGTGTAACTACTCTTAATTACACGGATGACCTCATAGCCTCCAGCAGATTAATCTTATACTAGCTCCACCACTATCTTCTCTGATAAAGCGAGCGTGGACCCACTCGCGACCATCTCTCTTGTGCCTTCCTCATGATTTTTTTCGACATTAGAATTTGTTAATTAGCAGCTATGACGAAAGTAATTTAATCTAATTGTATGAGGGGGAAAACGAACGCTGCTATTTTTCCTACCGAGGGCACAGCAAAAATGTAGAAAATTGTGCATTAGAAAAAAAAAAAAAAAAAAAAAAAAAATGGGTCTCCCCCGCGATCATTTTGTAATCGAGTCGTGAAAAAGGTAGTTTCTATTTGCTGTTTATGAAGTATACGTATAAAGAAAACGTGTACGCTTCGGCTGGAGTTGGNCATATTATATTATATAAATTTTCAATTTTCACGTGGGTATCTTTGGAGACATCCACAAAAAGAAAGTCATAAATGAAGCAGCTATGCATAAATGTAATTTATAAAAATTAATTTACCTAGCAATAGCCGCTATTACTCAAGTATTACGTTTCTCTCAAGAAATGGTATGGCTCTTTGTTAATTAAAAACAAACTATACCTTTGTTCGATATGTAAGAAAAATTTCTGCCCACTTATCATTAATGTATTAGTGAGAAATTTATTATTTACATAGTTTTACAAACTAACTGAGGTTATTAAAAAATTTTATCGTCGAATTTTTTTTTATAAAATTTTTTTGGTATTAGCATATTTTATGTAGCAGTTTTACTGATGCATTTAAATGCCACATTTGAAAAAAAATTTTTTTTAAATGGTATAGGTCTTGTCATGTATGAGCGCCGTTGAATCTCTGTTAGAAGTAGTGCGTAAACTACACGCAATTTACTTTCCTTCGTATATAAACTTCCAGTATTCTCTTACGAGTGATCTGCAATTAATTTTGATAACTTTTACAAACAAAGCTTTTAATTTCATACCTCCAATGTTTAAAAATTTTTCGTGGTTACTTTTAAGTTTTAGTATGCAGCTCTTGATTTATTATTGCGTGGAATGTCTTTTGCATTTTACAGTACAAATTAAAAATGAACAAAAAATGAGAAAATTATGACAGTAGTAGAAAATAGTATACAGATGGTGAAAAAAAAATATTAGTAAAAACGATATCAATTATATCTTGTGGTCAAAGAATTATCAAAGAAAAGAAAATGTAAAGAAAGTATATGTAAAAAAAAAAAAAAAAAAAAAAAAAAATCTTGTAGAAAGAGGTAGAAGTTGATTGATTTTGATGTAAAATTTTGCAGGTACGAATGGATAAAGAACGGCAAGGACTTCAAATGGCAGGCGTACGACGACCGCATATCGCAGCAGCCGGGCCGTGGTACGTTGGTGATATCGAAGCCACGAGACGAGGACATCGGTCAGTACCAGTGTTTCGCGCGCAACGAGTGGGGCATAGCCACGTCGAACTCGGTGTTTGTGCGCAAATCCGAGTTGAGTTCGTTCAAGGTTCAGAGCTCGGAGAAGGTCAGCGAGGTCGAGGGCAGTCCCCTGAAACTGACCTGTCAGCCGCCCGACGGTTGGCCCAAGCCCAACGTCTACTGGCTCATCCAGGACAAGGTCGGCAACATCAAGTCCATCAACAATTCCCGCATGACCCTCGATCCCGAGGGCAACCTCTGGTTCAGCAACGTGACCAAGCACGACGCTTCCGTGGACTTTTTTTACGCGTGCGCGGCCACCTCGGATTTTCGCAACGAGTACAAGATCGGCAACCGCGTCGTCTTGGACGTCATCTCGGCGGGATCCAGCGCCAATTTGAACAAACGCGAGCCCGTGAAGCAGTACGTCAGCCGTAAGAACGAGGTCGCCCATCGGGGTAAGAAAATCGAGTTGTTTTGCATCTACGGTGGTACACCGCTGCCCTTGACCACGTGGTACAAAAACGGCCAGAAGCTACAACCGAACGATCGAGTGACGGAGGGTAATTACGGCAAGACGCTCGTCATCAAGCACGTGAACTTCGAGGACAAAGGGACGTACTCGTGCGACGTATCCAACGGCGTGGGCTCAGCTCAGTCCAATTCCATAAATCTGGAGGTCAGATCGGTGCCCTACTTTACGGTCGAGCCCGAGATAATCAACGCTTCCGAAGACGAGACCGTGGAATTCAAGTGCGAGGCGAGGGGTGCACCCGAGCCACAAATCAAATGGATATACAACGGCAAGCCCATATCCGAGGCGCCGTACAATCCCAGGAGAAAAGTAACGCCCAACTCCATCATACTCGAGAACTTGCTGAAGAACGACACCGGCAACTACGGTTGTAACGCCACCAACTCTCTCGGCTACGTGTACAAGGACGTGTACGTGAACGTTCAGGCTCTCGAGCCAGAGATACTCCAGCCGCCCATGGACGAGGCGACCGTCGATGGGAAAACGATAAGACTGACCTGCCACGTGTTCGGTGCGCCCAAGCCCGAAGTCAAGTGGTTGAGAAACGGGCAGGAGCTCACAGGCGGAAGGTACAAGATCTTGGAAACAGGTGACTTGGAGATCGAAGATGTTTTATTCTCGGACGCGGGCGAATACCAGTGCCACGCGTCCAACAAATTGGGCAAAGTCAACGCCTCGGGATTATTGGCGGTCAAGGAGCACACGAAAATTACGGACGTACCGGAGGATTACGAAGTTAAAGCCGGCGACATGGCAACGTTCAGGTAAACAAAATTCTAAATATATTTCGAAGTATACCTTTAATTGTTAATTGTACACAAAAATCAACTTTACCGTGGTCTTCGACAGATGTAACGCCGTGACGGATTCAACGTTGAAACTGAAAATCGACTGGCTGAGCAAGGGGGAGCCGATAATATTCGGAGCCGAGCCGCGTTTCGTGAAGACATCCGACCACTCGCTAGTGATCACGAAAACTACGGAATTGGATTCGGGCACTTACACTTGCGTGGCGCGCACCGACCTCGACGAAACTCAGGCTCAGGCGACTCTCATCGTGCAGGACGTGCCAAACTCGCCGACACTGCAAAGCGTCAATTGCGGGGCAAAGGAGGCGTACGTCAGTTGGATTCCCAAGGGTGACAACCGATCGCCGATTCTGAGGTACACGATTCAGTACAACACGTCTTTCACCCCGGATACTTGGGAAAACGCGAAAGACCACGTGCCAGCGACGGAACAACGGTACGCCATACAGATGAGCCCGTGGGCCAACTACACCTTCCGCGTCATAGCTTGGAATAAAGTCGGTAAGAATCAAACGAACCTCCTCGATTTTTATTCGAAATCGCAAGTACTTGATGTTCGTTGTGGCTGAAGGTCAATCATGAGTATATTTTTTTTTGCAGGACCATCTCAACCATCGTCCCACAGTCAAGTTTGCACGACACTGCCCGATATTCCTTTCAAAAATCCTGACAACATCAACGGCCGAGGAGATGATCCTCAAAATCTGATCATCTCGTGGACAGCCATGCCCCAAATAGAGCACAACGCGCCTAAATTTATGTACCGAGTGTATTACAAACGAGACATTCCGGGAGAAAAATGGACCATCGAAGATGTACACAATTGGAAACAGAACACGTTGAGAGTCAACAATCAGCCGACTTACGAAAGGTATAGAATAAAAGTCGCCGCTATCAACGAAAAGGGGGAGTGCAGAGTGCAGCCGGAAGAAATCATCGGCTATTCCGGAGAAGATGGCAAGTTCGAGTAAACTTTTTTGCATTTGGATTTTAACTGTAAATGTTCATTGTAATCTTTTGATTTTAGTGCCCTTGCAAGCTCCAGGAAACTTCTCGTTGGTACAAGTGAGATCGAGTACAACGGCTCTCTTGCAATGGACCCCAGTTCCACCAGAGTCGGTGAAGGGCGAGTTGAAAGGGTACAAAATTCAAACTTGGACAGAAACTGATGGAAAAGAATCCATGAGGGAATATAACGTACAAGGTGGCAACAAGACGTACGCGCTGGTCAATAACTTTAAGCCTTTTAGTATGAATTTTGTTAAAATAAGGGTTTACAACGGAAGGTGAGGTGCTAAGCTTTAAAAAAAAAAAGGAAAAAAATCAAAAAAACAAATTATTAATTTTGCTCTTTTTTTTTCGTTCCTGGTTCACAGATACAATGGTCCTCACTCCGAAGTATTGAGCTTTAAAACACCAGAAGGTGTTCCAGGAACGGTGATGGATTTACAAGCTCACCCGATTGGTTCGACAGCTATGCTGTTAAAGTGGAGTAAACCCATTGAAATAAACGGTATCTTGACAGGATACAGGATATCCTACCAGTTAATTAATGGTTCTAAAGTAGGAAGCGAAATGGAGAGGCATCCACAGATAACAGATCCCGAAGCTTCAAACGCGATACTGCCGTCTCTCATGCCTAAGACAAAGTACCGAATAAGTATTCGTGCGACGACGAGAGCTGGACCGGGAGAACCGTTAGTTTTACATTATTTATGCCACAGTGCACTCAATTAATAGATGTCTTCAAAAAAGATTTCAAATCATTAGCGTGAATAAGAGTAGTACGACTTTTAATTCGTAAACTTCCACAGGTTCTTCGTTGAAAAAAGTACGCCTGTATCGAAACGTCCAGATGTACCAACGTTTTCGTGGTTAAACATTTTAAAAGAAAGTGGACTGTCGAACGTCAGGATTACTTGGGACCAAAAAACGGAGGGTTTCGCAGGGAGTTACTTCTTTGCCAAATACCGCTTGAAAGGAGAAACCATCGACTTGGTTACAAAGCCTGAAAAATTGGCCAACGAGATTGAGGTACATAGGTTTAATAATTTTTTCTTATCCGTGCAAAAATCAACCCAATTTTTTTTTACAAATTTTCCTTTCCACACAGATTCGTGGACTTGAGAGCGGGCGCACATACATTATGTCGATTGTAGCGGTCGATGGAAACTACATGACGGAAAGTCTCCCTCAAGAAGTTGAGACCAGTAACGAAGGTCCCATCATCGAAGCACAGCAAAACGTAGCCACAGCTGGCTGGTTCATCGGTAAATACGAGACTTTTGTAAAAGTTAACTCGAAACATCCTTAATGAAAAAAAAAAAAAAAATTTCAGGTATGATGACGGCCATTATAATCCTCCTGTTGATTCTGATAATCGTGTGTGCAATCAAACGCAACCGAGGTGGCAAGTACGCGGTACACGAAAGGGAATTAGCAGCAGGCCGAGGAGACTTCCCCGACGAAGGTGGCTTCCACGAGTACTCCCAACCACTGGACAGTAAATCTGGCGGTGGCAGAACATCGATGGCTTCGTCCCATCACGACAAGAACCCGGAGTCTGATACGGACTCGATGGCGGAGTATGGAGAAGGCGATACGGGTAGAGTGTTATACCTACATTGTTGACTTTGAATTGCCTTAGAGGATAATGTTACCCTTAGTTTATTAACATTTATATACATGTTTGTTGACCTTCTTTTTTTACTAATCTAACTTAAGACATAAGAATGAGTTTACCCGTGAGCTTGATTTGCTGATTGAATGCCATCCACCTCACACGTCATTGTCTCATTTTTTAAACCCATACTTTCACCCAGATCTACAGCTCGACTTCGTATTTTTTTAATCCATCATTCGATTTAACGTGTACCCTACCTGTTTGGTTTTTTTTGTTGCTCGATTTTGACATAGAAGGTATGAACGAGGATGGCTCATTCATTGGTCAGTATGGCCGGCACCGGAAACAACCACAAAACTCACAAGCGCTTGCTACGCTTGTCTAAGGTAAGTGTCGACGCACTCTTCAGTTCTTTTTTTTTTTTTTTGTACATGTACATACATACATACATATCATACCAAGTTACAACCTAAACTGTTGCGTAGAAACATTTTGAACGTTTGAGGTATTTAGGTAGTTTGACGAATGCAACTATTGAGCATCTTGATGCACATGATAATTGTTGAGTTATATTTTATATTTATGATATCTTTAAGGTAGTCCTGAAGTTGAAGAGACGATTACGATAACATTTATCGAAAAACCATAACTTCGACTGACGAAACTTTGTAAAAAGATTTGAAAAATCCAAAGCTAATTGTATAAGTGTGCAGTGTACATCATAAACATACACTTGATAAATGGATGAATACATTGTGGAAGTGATTTAGCGAAGTAGTTTTGCATGGCATGAGAAAAACGAGTTAACGTACAGCAAGTAAATCTTGCTATGCATGTAACAAAGGGTATCTGACTGACTTTTCACATTCATCTCAAATATATTTTTATAAAGCCAATAATAAGATTCATACAAGCTTTCTAACGTCAAGTTTTTGAGTTCGTGAAAACAGGATCGTTTTTATCTCATAAACCATATCGAAAATTAAAACTAAACTTCGTAAAATGCTGTATATTGAAGAATCAATTTTCATTGTTAACGATCCCATCTCCAAATTTATAAGGTAGTACATCCCAACTTTGTAAAGAATCCCTCAAAGTTTCATTGCGCTCTGCATATTTATGATGTATGGTTTAAACTAGAGTCACTTTCGAGGTCACTTTAAATAAATTACTTGTATTAATCTTCAATGGAAATTTCTTTAACCATGAAATTCGTAAATTGAACTTGCAAGTAACTATAAGCAAAATTGCTGATCGACAGCTCGTCAACTGAAAATTTTTACTTATATAAGGTTATAAAACATCTTTGATTCCAAAGTGGAAATACTTGAATTGTTAGATTTTATCAAACTTTGTCTTATACTTTTGGGTCTAATCATCGCTTGGGTTTAAAAGCAAAAAAAAGGTCATGCTGATCCAAAGTTAATACAGAAAACATAAAGCATATGTGTACGAATATTATTGCTTTTGAATTCAAGTAAACGCAACATATACAAAAATCTAATATCTTACGCTAAAACTGCTGCTTCAAATTTCGTTACACGTACATTCCGTACTTTTGGTTATGTTCCATACGTTTTTAAATTTTTCTTTATAATTTCATTGCTTGTCCCAGATTTGCAATGTAACTAAAATTTTTACGTGGATATAGTTGGATATCGCATAGTTTACTGCTATGTTGACACATTGATACTTAATATAACTATTCTTCGAACTACTACAATTTCTTAAATTCAAAAATGTTTCTACAGTTTAGATGCAACATACTATACACGTGCTTTTGCTATTTGATTTTCAAAACATTTTCAAGTCACTTCAAACATTTGACACACAAAAAAAAGATAAAACGTGTGCATCGTTATGCTTTAGTTACACGCAATCATGATGAAAATTTTTAAGATACATTTTGACATCCATTCAAAACAAAAATTTTGACACGAAACCACACTGTCATATAATTACAGTTGTTTTTTTAACAAGCAAACGGTTTAAAAAATGTTCGAGTCCTTAAAATATCTCCAGTAACAATAAGTATGATGAAAGTTTTTCTAAATATATTGATGTCTTTTTGTAAAGTTAATCTTAAACCATTACAGAAATGTAAGAACCTCNTCTTGTCCCAAAAGATGAAATACAATAAGATTTATAAGAAACTGTAATTAAAAAATGTAAATTTATTATAAGCATAGCCTGATAATATGCATTTTATCATATAGTGTAGACAATCAATTGGCTCAAAATTTTTTTTTTTTTTTTTTTTTTTTTTACAAAAATTTCTGTAATGACATGTAAGAAAATTTTGAATTTAAATGCTTTATCTCACTTAACAAGTTTTTTTGTATTGCTCAGCAGCGCGTTTTACCGAAGATGGATCCTTCATTGGTCAATACGGACCAAAAGGTAGACCGATTCCGATTGAGGAGATTCCGCCACCGATACCAACTGGCTCAACAGCTACTTACGTGTAACCCCGCACACTTCAATTGACGGAACCAACTGTTCGACGTGGATAAACCATGATGCAGCTTGCGCAAGGTGCAACCTCTGTAACTGATAATTATAAAAATCTCGTCTTTAAGAGTTTTTCAACACCTCTTGTATACTCTCACCATAAAACGAATACTACATTTTGGGCGCTCCATTTTGTAAAAGGATAAAAAAAATCATCATAATTCATCAGCGACCTCATTTATTAGATAGCAAAAATTTTAGCGTCCTTAACATGTACGAGAGTGTTATTTATAGGTCGTTAGAAGAAACAAAAGCACAAGAATGAAAAATGAGAGGAAAAAAATCACTGTTCCGAACGTTTATAATAAGTGCGCCCTGCGTTGCTTTTTTACACGAAAACTTTAATAGGAGAGATTTTTTGCATTTTAATTTGCATCCGGATTGGACTAGTACAGTCCAAAGATCCACTTTGTTTTGAGTAGCATGCAAGCCTATAAATTCCAAGGCGGTGTTTTTGTTCTTCATTATCTTTCAATGAAAGTGTATTCCGGTATTTTCGACCGGAATTATCGCCTGCTTATTACAGGGTACAAGTTACGTTTAAATTGTTTCAAATTGATTATCTTATGTAGGCAAAAATTATACAAATCCTACGTTGTTTTAAAGTTGCTTACGTAGTAGTGAAGAAAAAAAAAAAAAAAAAGATAATTACATGTTTGTAGAGAGCATTAATCGATATGTTTATTCAAAGTATATTCTTGCGTTGCCAGTGTCCATCACTTTAGAATATATTTTATATTCAGTCTTTCTGAGAAAAAATGACTCCCCTAAAAATCTGTCAGTCGTTTACTCAGTGTAAAGTACACTCATAAGCGTCTGACGTTCGACTGAAATTTTTTCAATAGCCAAGAAAAAAACTATGCTAAGCTCAACCATGATATCTCCAATGATAATTCAAACACGATACTTATGATGTATCAAATTTTTACTCTGTAGGCAGTGGGCCCAAATGAAGTATAAGAAATTCTAATACATTGCAAAATATAATGATAATAAAAAAAGAGTTCATCGAATGTTATAAATGTAAACGATCGTACTTTCAAACTTTGTCTCTTACAAGGTGTGATAGTACTCTAAAAGAAAATATAAATTATAAAAGAATTAATTATTGATATTATACTAAAAAAAAAAAAAAAAAAATTATTGTAAATGCACTGTAGTAGTTAATCGCGAACACAGAGCTTCTAAACGTTGCTATTTGTACGTGAAACGCGCTTTAGCTGGATAAAGGAGACGAGTACAATTCCTTCATTTGAATTTTTTTTATCTTTTATTATTTTTAGAAAATATATTTAAATGAACTTACTTCCGAAATTTTTTATTTTTAATGACAGTGAATATATAAATATATAGTGCTATTATTTAATATATCAAAAAAAGCATCAAATATGTATAGAGAAATTCATATTATATTATATAAATTTTCAATTTTCACGTGGGTATCTTTGGAGACATCCACAAAAAGAAAGTCATAAATGAAGCAGCTATGCATAAATGTAATTTATAAAAATTAATTTACCTAGCAATAGCCGCTATTACTCAAGTATTACGTTTCTCTCAAGAAATGGTATGGCTCTTTGTTAATTAAAAACAAACTATACCTTTGTTCGATATGTAAGAAAAATTTCTGCCCACTTATCATTAATGTATTAGTGAGAAATTTATTATTTACATAGTTTTACAAACTAACTGAGGTTATTAAAAAATTTTATCGTCGAATTTTTTTTTATAAAATTTTTTTGGTATTAGCATATTTTATGTAGCAGTTTTACTGATGCATTTAAATGCCACATTTGAAAAAAAATTTTTTTTAAATGGTATAGGTCTTGTCATGTATGAGCGCCGTTGAATCTCTGTTAGAAGTAGTGCGTAAACTACACGCAATTTACTTTCCTTCGTATATAAACTTCCAGTATTCTCTTACGAGTGATCTGCAATTAATTTTGATAACTTTTACAAACAAAGCTTTTAATTTCATACCTCCAATGTTTAAAAATTTTTCGTGGTTACTTTTAAGTTTTAGTATGCAGCTCTTGATTTATTATTGCGTGGAATGTCTTTTGCATTTTACAGTACAAATTAAAAATGAACAAAAAATGAGAAAATTATGACAGTAGTAGAAAATAGTATACAGATGGTGAAAAAAAAATATTAGTAAAAACGATATCAATTATATCTTGTGGTCAAAGAATTATCAAAGAAAAGAAAATGTAAAGAAAGTATATGTAAAAAAAAAAAAAAAAGAAAGAAAAAAGGATCGAGAAAAAAGCCATTGACTTAACGCACGCTTGCGAACGAGATAACTACAAAGATAAAATCATCTTCATGTTAAATTGAGAGACTGCCGAGGACTATCGTCAAAAGGTTAAGCAAAAGAATGTTAAAACTAATTTTTTAGATTATTATTGGTAAAATTGTATACGGAGAAAATCGAAAAAAGTTTTATTTATAATTAAAAGAACATTGACGTGTATGCTTAGTTCCTATAAGTATGCTATTTAATTAATTGGTAAATTTACTTGATATTTTAGTTGGTCAACGTGGTCAATTGTAATAAATGAAAGTAATACACGAAGAAAAAGAAAAAAAAAATTATTTACAGAATTTCAAAAACGCATATCATTGAACAAGTAGACGATTCTTCCTTTGCAATCTCTCGATTAGTAATATTATTCGTACGTATAATTTCTCGACGTAAATGTTGAACGTACTCATCGCGTTTTTCTCTTGTACATTATTATTGTTAGTATTTAAGAACTCGATACGTTGTTTCGCTCCGATCGTCGACTGGTTGCTCAACTTTTGCATTTGCTGACGTTGACGAGTTAAACGTGAAAAGCAGAGCAACCCATACTGGTGACAAGCACATAATCAAGTCGATAAACTTTCTACACCGTAATAGAAGGGGATATTAAAAGAAAAATAACAATAAAATATATAGTACTAATGAGGAGGCTGATTCACCTTTTCATATCTTAAAAAACTGCCGCTTTTTTGTATGAGTATAAGCAATGATTGTATTGCGTACGTGTGTGCACATTTATACAGACACGCTAAATTGCATACATTCGAAAAACATCATTAAAAAAAAGAGATGACATGTGATTCATCATGTGTGTAGTTGTTTTTACGTAACTTCATCAGAGCCCTCTAAAGCGTTGTAAGAATATTTTATTGTAATTATATTAAGTTTTTATCTTTACAAAAATTTGTAAATTTCATTCCTTATTTACCATACATCCTTATTTCTTGTCTTTGAAAAAATCGGATAAAAGTTTCCGAAGCTCTATAGAAAATTATGCTTTCATAACATAAAAATTTGAACTTTAAGTTTGAAATTCCGTTAAGATTCAAAACTTTTATTAGATTTTTTCATCAGGCACAGTGTTTCAATCGTATCGCACATTCCTATGGTTAAATGAGAGTAATGAACTTTTAAAAAACACATTATGTAATTTCTAATTTATCTGACGTTATTAAAAGAAAGATAGTAATTTTTGTAAATTTTTTAAAACTCTTTTTTAATAGTCCGTATTTGCCTAAACTTACGATAATTGAAATCTATAAACTATAAATTAATCTTAATAATTCCAAATGAAAAGTTAAGAAAACCCTTATCCATACCAAGTAATTCATTTCCGGATGAGCATTTAAAACATAAAAAGAAAAGAAGAGACACCAGCTCGAATTCTCGTCCTTTTTTGTTCAGTCGGTCGAGCAGTATATTGAAATCGAAAAAGGTAAGGTCTGGCTTAAATACGAAAAACCAATAGCTTCGATGGGAAAGAGGTTTCATGCTGAGTAAAACGAGCGACTTTCAGATCGAGACTACTCTTGGAAAAAAAAAGATGCCCAAATTAGTATAGGGGCAGTTGAAGTATCCCCTGCGGCTATTTCTCTCTCTCTCTCTCTCTTTCTCTTTTTTAGTTACAAAAAAAAATCATAAAATATAATATGTCAAGTTTGAAGAGCGAAACAGCTATACTTTCCACATGAGGAACCTAAGATACAAAGTAGTGTTGTACAAAGAAGATAAAGTGGGGCAGTTTGGCGGTTTGCTAATAACTCGATACCAGAAACAGCTTCAAATAACTTCAAGCCACTTCGACTAGCTGTCACTGATCGAGATCGCACTAATCCGACCGTAGACGGCATAATTGCCTGTCAGCCAAAACAGGTCAGTTTTCAAGTTGTTAGGCACAACTGCTCAACAGGACTGCCTTACGTTTTCACAAAAGCAAAATATGCGTGTGTGTGTGTGTGTGCACATTTTTATCTTTTCACCAGTACTTAATTCCCATAAATCATTTCTGTTCTGTTCATCATAAGAAACTATATAATAATTTCTCATATCGCCCTCCATGATATCAATACCTTATTGTATTTGATCTTTTGGGGCAAGAATATTTTTGCCAAAGAAATTCTTGTCCCAAAAGATGAAATACAATAAGATTTATAAGAAACTGTAATTAAAAAATGTAAATTTATTATAAGCATAGCCTGATAATATGCATTTTATCATATAGTGTAGACAATCAATTGGCTCAAAATTTTTTTTTTTTTTTTTTTTTTTTTGTAATAATATTTTTCTACCCATACACCGCTAAGGTAGTTTTTTCGGGCACCCTCTCCCACCTTTGTGCGGAGGGTGTTGATCTTAACCCTAAATAATAATCCCTTGCACCCTACATTTTCTATTATCCGGCTAATCAACTCATGAAAATCCAACTTTTCTAACTGATCTACACCCTTGTTTACCACTAACTACACCACCACCCCAAACTAGTCTCGCACCTTATCTGTTGACCCGATCGAGATTCGACCAACTGAGTTCCGATTCTCCTTTATAATTTAAGTTCAAGCACAACCTAATACATTTTTTCTATTTTTAGAACACAACGCATTCGTTCCACTTGCTACTATCTTTCCAATTCGTTTTTAAGTATATCAATGCGCTGTAGCACCTTTGAAGAAATAAGATTTGAATAAGAAACTGTTACTTTATCCGAAGTCGTGCTCATTGAAAGCATAAAAATCTAAGTGGTGCAATTAAGATAAAAGCTATGATAAAATTCTTCTTTTTTTTCCAACCACGAAATACAGTATACAAGTCGGGGATAGTGAATTATTGTTTCAATGGAAATATTGAAGAAAAAAAAATGTTAGAATGCCTGAAAAATTACTAAATTCAATGATACAAAATACAAACTATTTTGATTTCCATTACTTCCGTACGTAAGGAAGTAACGAGAATAAATAGCTTTACAAAGGCCTAATTAAGTGAACCCTTCTAACATGTCCGTAAGGTATTTAAGGTATTACTTATACTTCAACCCATACACGGATGGATAAACCATCTACAATTATACAAATAAATAAATATTATAAAAATCTTCTATTGAGATGTGTTTAAACGGTACCTACAGGTAAAGGCAAAGTACAAATTTGTTTCTCACGGCAGCTGTAATTTTTATAAAAATAAACCTATTAACAGCTATCAGAACACATAGAATCTTAGAAATTTCAAATTTATCTTATCGTTAATTTCAGCCTATTAACGCGTGTTCTCCCACTCTCCATTAATTAATTTTTTTCTTTCAGCGTTGCTACATTTTTTATGCATTTTTTTTTGATGACTTATTAGTCAGTTTTTAATAGTTGAGGTGCTAAGATCGCGTATTATCTCTTGTTTTATTCTTTAACAAGCTTAAGTTAATACGATCGTCTTAAACAAACAGTTTCACTAGACCCCACCCAGCCCAATAAAGCAGTTTTTCTCCACTATCGTCAGCCAACTTGTCAGCGTATGAAGATGAGATTCACGGCGTACATCATCACCGTAATTTTTATACATACAGCAGCCTCAGAATGTGAGTATTGTGATACCTATAGGATACACTCAAAGAGTCACTCTATAAAAATCGATCGATAAAGTTATAAAGTTGATACTAGCAACGATAATTAATACATTACCCGGATTTGAAAGACAAAATCGCAGTTGTGTTATTTGTAAAATATACCTGCATCAAAAATGTTTCATTACATGTAATACGTAGGTCTGTGAACTGATTTAGAAAAAAATGTTTTTTGCACGCAGTGGAGTTATTTTGTAGTGTATTTATCAGCAACAGCCATTGGTTTCGTCTACTTATGTATAAGTTAGTTTGACCTAAGTGCTCTTGACTCAAGTAATGTCGTTAAAACCCAGTAGACTTAATCTTAAAAAACATTTTTAATTTTTGTTTTCGTCGAACATACAGGAAATAATTGCATAACTTTTTGTAAACTATTCAATGTTTCATGATGTTGCAATATAAATCATCATTATTAATAAATTGCAGGATTTTTAATTTTACAAGCTTTGTGTTTACTTCAATGAAATTGCCAATTAAGGTTTTTTATAAGAAAACTTAAACACTTTGTGTACTTGATCAATTAAAATATACACCCTAAATGTATAATAATATTGTATTTTTAGTTACGATCGAGGTCACGATAATTCTCGATGTGACTAAATAATAAATTAATTGTATACTACCGAAATAAAAAAAATTTTTTTAATCATGTGTCATGGAGAGAGGGAAGGAAGCACTCAAACATAATTTTGAATTAATACAGAATTGTGCTTGTGGTTACTATTAGGATATACAAGTATAATAGTAAGATAAAACATAACGTAAAATATCTGATTGATCGGTTTTAACTTTGTTTAAAGATAAATTACCACCTAAGATAATAGCCCAGCCTCCAGCAGACGTAATTGGATTTCACACGAAGAAAGACAAACAAAACGCAACAACACTTCAGATCGTATGTGAAGCCGAGGGAGAGCCAAGGCCAGAGTGAGTATTTTGAGAGTTTATTGCATATTTATTTTTTGACCTCTTCTCACTGTTTAAAAAAAGTTTATGAATGCTCTTCAAATCTACAGTTGAAATTAACTCGCTGCTGAATTAGTAAAAATTTAGGTGCTGTTTGTACTAGCATTATCACTGATCAATCACCAACAACACGCCCCCTAACGAGTTATCACGTTAACATTAAGAAAAAAAATCATAGATCCTTATTTTTCGGATCCCTTTGAGTTCCCATAACTTTGATCAGAGCTTTACATAAAAAAAAATATATCAAGAAGAATGGCACATGTTTGTCAATAAAATTTTTTCCCGACAATTTGTCAATTCTTTTCCTTAAAATTTGCAGATTTAAATGGATCAAAAATGGTGAAGAGTTCAATTGGCGGGCGTATAACGGTCGCATCTCGCAACTGCCGGACCAAGGTACCCTGGAATTTTCAAAGCCTCAAGATGAAGACGTTGGCGAGTACCAGTGTTCCGCAATCAACAAATGGGGCAATGCAACCTCGAAAGCAGTTATGCTACGAAAGATAAATGATCCAAAGCCATTAAGTATCCATCAAGACGTTTCCGATGTAACTGTGGATGTGGTCGAGGGTAGCCGTTTGAACCTCAGTTGTCACTCGCCATACATTTTCTGGTTTACAGCGGATCATTTGAACAATCTAGACTCCATCAATAAGTCGCGCATAACGTACGACCCCAAGGGTAACCTATGGTTCAATAGCATCATGAAAAGTGATGCTATTGATGCTTACAACAATACCGTGAGATACATATGCGTGTGGAAGACGGACAATGATAAGACATTCAAGATTTACAAGTATTTCACTTTGAATGTCACCATAGATGCATCAAGTGCCAGTTTAAATGAGACCGAGCCGGTCAAGCACTACGTCAGTCCTAAGAATATGGTGGCACAACGTGGTAAGACAACCGAGCTATTTTGCATTTTCGGTGGTACGCCGTTACCCTCGATCACATGGTACAAGGATGGAAGCAAGTTGCAATTTAACCGGTCAATAATCACGATGAACTATGGCAAGTCACTGTTCATCAAACAAGTGGATTTCGAGGACAAAGGCACTTACACCTGCAAAGTATCGAACGGCGTAGGTTTGAATCAGTCCCACTCCGTAGAGCTAGAGGTCGAATCCAAGCCCTACTTTACAGAAGAACTCTATACAGTAATGGATATTATTGAAGGGGAAAAAATTGAACTCAAATGCGTGGCAAGAGGACAGCCTGAGCCTAAAATCACGTGGAAGTACATGGAAGAAGACATATCTAAAGCACCCCATAATCAAAGGATAAAAGTAACACCCAACTCCATCATAATTGACCATTCGAAAATCGGAGACGGTGGTTACTATTGTTGTAACGCCTCCAATTCTATTGGCTACGTTAACAATTATTTTAACGTTAACGTTCTGGGCCGTGAGCCAGAACTGAAGAAGAATGTGAAAACCGTCGATGGAAAAACGATAAAACTCCCCTGCTACAATGTTCCTTGTCTTAAAATTAGGTGGTTCAAAAATGACGAGGAACTTAGTAGTGAAAGGTATAGTATTTTAAAAACTGGTGATTTGGAAATCCAAGATGTTTTATTCTCGGACGCGGGTCTATATCAATATGAGCTGCACAATCATTTAGGCAAAATAAATGCTAAGATATTTTTGATTGTCAAACAGCACACGATAATTAAAAATGAACCAGAAGATGTCACAGTCAAAGAGAACGAAACAGCGATGTTTAGGTTGGTACATCTGTTTTTTTTTTCCTTCAATATATTTTGTTTTCTGAAACTAATTTATTTTATTTGTTTCAATAAACAGATGCGACGCCGAGACAGACTCAACCTTAAAGTTGACGATTGTTTGGCAGAGCAACGATAAACTCATAAATTTTGAGATTGACTCGCGCTTTGTGCAAGCACTCGATAATTCACTAATTATCAATAACACTACGGAATCTGACTCTGGTAACTACACCTGCATAGCTCGCACTAGTTTGGATGAAATCCACGCTCGGGCGACTCTTAATGTGCATAAAAACGAAAAGTACCTCGGAGTAGAGTCTATTGCACCACCATTATTCCATAGAGCACAAGCAATAAACGAACTTCCACAACCAACAGCCTATGAAACCAATGCATGGATGGAAAAGTTTGAATTAAAAAGAAAAGTTTATAAGATAACGACTCCTAGATCCAAAGCAACTTTTGAGGAAAGCACTACTCCCAAAACACTAGAGGGAAAAATCGATAGTTGGCAAATTGGTAAATATAAATTCGTATGCCTGAACAAAAAAAAAAAAAAAAGAAAAACGTCCTTTTCAAAGGATCACTGATAAACTAAGAAAATTTATAGGTTCTGTATTGGCCTTGCTCATCCTTTTGCTTATCATTATCAATGTGAGCAAAATTAGTCATGACCACCATATTGGCAAATACAAAGTTGGCAAAAAGAAACCAGTTGTGGATCGCGACAACAATCGGTGAAGCAACATTAAGCTGCCTCCAAACTTCAAACTCAATTGTATTTCTGTAATTATACCATATATATCAATTTAACTTATTTCAATTTCAATTTCTTTCAAGGTTACGAATTAAAGCCGTTAATTTTTATAAAATAAAATAAAATAGACAAAATTTTCGTGGTATTTTTTACGTACGTCGATAATTATTCAAGTAACCAAATTAATACGCTTATTACTGCACACCCAACTTAAAAAAGGATAAGGGGCAATTTATATGAAAAAAATACCACGAAAATTT